AACATATTGAGGCTTGTATTTGTTAGGATTCCTTCCATTGTGAAAAACAGAAACCAAATTTAAGCAGAAATGAGAAATATTTAACTCCTGAACTTCAGAGTTCCAAGGAATTCAGGCATGACAGGATCCAGGGACTCAAACATTGTCACAGATCTCTCTTGGTCTCTCTCTTTCCTTCTCTGATTCTGCTTATCTCTGACTCTTCACTTTTGACATGATTCATTCTTAACGCTGACAAATTCTATCCTTGTGGAAGGAAAGACTGCTACCAGCAAAGCTATACCCACATTTCAGAGACAGAGTAGGAGAGGGAGCGAGAGAGACAAATTTTCCCATCTAATCCAGCCATAAAGAATCTCAGAGGATTTAGGTTCATCTAGCCTGTGTTACAAAGCTGCCTGCAAACTGTGCAAGCCATACCATGTCAGGGTTGACCAAGCCTGGGCATGGACTCACAGGAGTCAAATGCACACAAGAAGCTTTCTAGTGGAATCAAAGGAAGGGTGAGAAAATGTACTGCTCACACCCGAAGTGTAGTCTATTACAAACTTAGACATTCTCCAGGAATAAACTATAGGGTAAGAGGGAAACTGTCAGTGGCATTATGGCTGATTGAATTTTGGAGTCAGCCAGCCCGGGTTCAAATACTGTGGGGTATTAGGGAAAGCAACCAAAAGTCTCTGAAGCCTGATATATGCATGTGCAAAATGCACCTCAGAAGATTCGTGTAAAGGCTTGTACAGCCAGTGCCTGGCACATACTAAATGCTCAACAAAACATGAATCCCTATAGTGGTCAGCAGCACCATTTCATGATGCCGAGTGTAGTTTGCTGTGACTTGTTTGTATGTTTAGACAAAACACCTGCATTCATTCAACATTGTCCTGCCTTGTCCTTTTGTCCAAAGAACATTGTAACACCATCCCCAGAGTGGTACCCACTTATGCCTTCTCCCCACAGCAGCCCACACTAAATGTCAATTCTGTACTCCTTTCCTATAACAAAGCTTCCATTTTGTCTCCTTTCCATCTCAGCCATCAAATTGAAATGCAATCAAAGAAAGTGTGTGAATGAAGCTGTTGGAGACATTAATAAAACACTCTTGCCGATTGCATATGTTAACTATTTAAAAAATTTAATTCTAGAAATGTATGTAGTAGTAGACTGGCCTCCACCAGAGATGTTTTAGAGCAGCACAGTTTTCCAGCATCTCTAAAATGTTACTGGATAGGTAACTGCCTATACAGAAAGCCAGGTGTAACTGAGACACAGTGTCAAGTAATAGGCATTGATCTTATTATTTTTTATCAATAACAAAAGTCTGTTATTGTCATTCAAGCCAATAGCAGGCTTTTATTCGGAACATAGAATCAATGGCCTTTGGTGTTTCAGACACAAGCTGTTCCCAAAAGCTTGAGCCCAGAATAAGGTAACAAAAGCATCCTACATTAAAGCTGGAAGTGAATAAGATTATGATAAACTCACAAGTAACCTTGTGAGACAATCTTAGATTCTGTTTTGTGTGTTATATTTTGCTATATATAACTAATATAAATATTGTGCATATTATTCTGAAACTTTTTTATCAACATGGCTTTGAAGTTTACCCATGTTCATACATGCAGCTGAAGTTCATTCTTTTTAAGCTGCAGATAATAGTGGATTTGGGGTAGGTACACAGCTTCTCTGTACTCCTGTCCATGGACATATTTAGTCTGCTTCCAAATTTCCACAGTTACAAATAACACATCAATAAACATTCTAATGCGCATGCCCTTGTTTGCATGAATGAAAGCTTCTTCAGGCTATGTACCTAGGACAGCTATGAGCTATGGCTAAATGCTCTCCACAGTGATTTTACCAATGTGCTGTAAGTTTAACAGAGAAGCATCCCTACTGCCCCATGACCTCACCAACATTGCCAGGCTCTTTAAATTTTGCTAATCTGCAAGATATAAAGCGGTAACTATTGTGGAATGCCATGTCCCTTATTGTTAGTGAGGATGGGCTCTCCTATGGGTCTTGACTATTTGGTGTCCTGAGGCTTTGAATTTCCTGTTTATATTGTTTGTTCATTTTTCTATTGTCTTTTTTCTTTGGTTTTCAGAAGTTCTTTTAGAAAACATGGTGTCAGATGCCACACAGTATCTTCCTTCTTGTTCAAGATCTTCAGCAGAGGCTGAGGCTGAAGGCAGAACATGCTGAGCACCAGCCACAAGCCCACTGAGAGGGACGTTCCCTAGGAACTGGCCCCACCCGCATCCCCACCCCAGTGAGCAACCACTCCACATATGAGGAGAGCTCATGGGTCGTCCTTGGGCCTTTGTGTTTGGTTCATGAAAAGAGCTTATTTCTTCCTCACTCTACCAGGGTGAGGGGAGATCCCCAAGAGAATTATTCCAAAACTTTGAGTGCCATCAAAAAAGCGGGACTGGATTTTGATTCCTGCTGTGCACCTGATTAGCTGGTAGATTCACTATACTGTCGCTGAGCCCCAGAACTAGAGAAAAGTAGACTTGAGAAGAGGTGGCTTGGTGAGGCCCTGCCCAATGGAGTGGGGCATGAAGGCATGCTCCCCTCAAAGCTGGGCACATGCCATGAGAGATTCTGATTCCTAAGAAGTAGGGAGATGGAGCCCCAGCGCACCTGCAGACCTGAAGGTAGACTGTGGCAGGAAGCTGAGCTAGGAGCTCCAGGCACAAAGCAGCACAGGCCCCACAGGTGTGTGTGTGAGGCCACCCACTGCAAGGCAGCCTGAAAGCACAGCTGGGTCCCTCCAAAGCCCACCTTTGCCAGGGTCTCTCCTCAGATGTGAGCCCCTTGTAGGACATGAAGGTGTCACCATCCAGCCACTTGATGCCCTTGGGCAATGAGCAGGGATGGCAGTTGCGGCACCCCAGGGAGACCCATCATATGTAGTCAAACACGTAGACATGGTTTTTCCCCATCTCTCACTGCTCCAAATGAGGTGGGAGAGACGGAGGAAGAGGACAGGTGTGTGATAGCAGCCCATCACCACCTTTATCCCACCCATTAGAGTCTCAGCTCCCATCTCCCCTGAGCAGAGTAGAGGAAAAGAAAGGCTTTGAATCAAATGATTAAAGTTTTAACATGAACCAGAGTTGAATCTGACAAACCCCAAATGACTCTTCAAAGCACCAGAAGTGACCGCAAAACTGTGAAACCTAGCAGAAATAACTGAAGGGAGCTTCTACCTCATGGAAAAAAAAAAAGGGCTTGACATTGGGCGGAAAAATCATGTTTCTACCACGCTGCTTTGAACTCAATTACCTGGCTACACCTGTCTTCCACCTGCCGCAACAGTCTATGGGGCTGTTGTGATGATAAAGTGAGATTTCATTTGACACTCTTCCTACCTTGATTGCACTTCTCTAGAAAAGCTTACCCCAAAATGTTCACCCATCCAATCCTGAAGCCTAGGGCTGAGTGTTGTGTCTTTAATTCATTCATTCCTCTGTGTTTCTGAGGCAAGGAGGAGGCATGTAGAATCCGGGCTCCAGTCAGCAATCTGCATGCGTTTTTATTGCTTCCTGTCAAATCAAGGTTGCATGTTCTTTTTAGAATCCCTTTAGGAAGTGGAGGAAAAACCCCAGGGCGCCCCCTGCGGGACGCGTGGAGCAATCGCGGGCGCCCTCACTTGGGTTTGGGACTTAACGCTGCTCACTTGCCTGGGTCTTACGGTCCCTTCTTTGTCACTGAGGTCAGACTACCAGATACCTCCCTGAAACGTCCGCAAGGTTCGTGGTGTGGCGGACAGACCCTCAGGGGCAGACAGAGCGAGGCGAGAACGAGCCCTGAGGACAGGCGCTCCTTCTACCCCGCGCCACCGCCACCGCCACCCCTCCCTACGGGCCAGCGGGACCTCCAAGCATGATCTCAGTACTTATTTCAGGCTGGTTTCACCCGATGACAATTTCCCCGAGTACCAAGGGAAAACCACTCTAGGTTATTTATTCTAAATAAGCCAAAACAACGTCCCAAATGGACACGCCTGGTGGAGGGTTTAATTGAAGCCAGACAGCTCGGAGGAGAGCACGGCTCTGTTCCAAGCTCCTAGATGGCTCCTGGCCACAATGCTTTCCCACACTCAGGCCTGATGTGGTGTGGAGCCGGGCCATCACCTGGTCCCTGGGTCAGAAACAGGTGCTGGAGCTGTTGCCTCTTCCTTGGGTTGCGGGCGGGGGTGTCACAGTCAGGTCAGCCACAACCTCTTGTGACTAGTGTTGCATTTTTACAAAGAAAAAGACTCTGTCATCAAATAGCTTTCTTCCATGATTTTCTTCCCCTTCTCTCTCTGCACCTCCTCACTCCCCTACCCCCAGCCATCTTCCTGCCCCTTCCTTGTGACTGTCTCCCCCATCCATTAGGTCATACATGCCATCAGGGCAGAGACATGCCTCTGTGCTCACCTCTGTATCCATGTAGGAGGCCCATGTGTTCAATGAATGGCAGAAGTTGACAATAAAACTACAAAAAGCCCGTTTGGAACTTTGGTCATAGCATGGCTAAATGACCACCCAAGTTCTCTCATTTCCCCCTAAAGTGGCTACCATGCACCTTTGGCTTGGAAACTAGACAGGTGGAGTGGAGGGAAGTACAAGATTGGTTCTTTGAGATCCCTGAATGCTCTTTCACAGAGATGAGGTTTCCAAGAACCCAAGCAAAGCCCACCTTTTGGTCTCACACCATAGAGAGGCGGGCCAGGCACCCTCCTAACACTAGGTTGCCCACCGGACTCTTGGGAGCTGCCTTGAACAAGGCCTGAAGGGAGACCCGGTGCTCAATCCTGAAATGGAAATCCGCCACCATTTGATATTTGTCCTTCAAACCCCCAGGTCGGATTACAGATACAAATAAAAATAGGCCAGATGGTCCTTACCTTGCTTGGAAGCCGTACTACAGATATGCAAATTAACTTGGGCAGGAGAGACCCAAGCAAATCTCACCATTGCTCTTGCGTCCAAGTTCCCATCATTCATTCATTGGGCCAAGCTCTGTGGAAGGTCTAGGGTGCCAGCAGTGTGCTGGGGGTCCATAACTCCAGAGAAGGCTATGGCTGTACCTTCCAAAGCATTTATTGGCCGTTGTAAGAGCTGAGAGAAAAAGACCCTTAATTTTCACACAGAATAAAACAGAGCCTACCTATTACTCATTCAATCAGAAAAGCTTTGTGGGCATTCTGACACCTGACTGATGTTGCTTGAAACAGAAAAACTGGAAAACTGGAAAGGGAATTGATTTTCAAGCATGGGGGCTGGGAGTAAATGTCCTACCATCGCCCACCCACTTGCCCCCAATCAAGTACTTGGCTTTCTTATTTCAATGAACAGATAATTGAGTGCCTATAAAAAGATTCTCAGGACTCCAAGAGTACCCATTAGAAATGTCTCTAGAGCCGGGCATGGTGGCTCATGCCTATAATCCTAGCACTTTGGGAGGCCGAGGTGGGCAGACCACCTGAGGTCAGGAGTTTGAGACCAGCCTGGCAAACATGGTGAAACCCCTGTCTCTACTAAAAATACAAAGATTAGCCGGGTGTGGTGGCACGCACCTGTAGTCACAGCTACTTGGGAGGCTGAGGCAGGAGAATCACTTGAACCCAGGAGGTGGAGGTTGCAGCGAGCCAAGATTATGCCACGGCACTCCAGCCTAAGTGACAAAGTGAGACTCCTGTCTCACAAAAAAAAAAAAAAGAAAAAAGAAAAGAAATGTCTCCAGAGTATCTGTGCCCTGTCAACTGTGATATGTGAAATGAAATCAGAGAGAGTGACATGACAGCAGGGTCGGGAATAGCCCAACATCCCAAACTTTCTCTTCGTTTTAGGGGACTTCAGCCTCCTCACAAGAGAGCAGCTCTCCACTGCAACCTGCTGACCTCAAGCCCCTGCCTCCTCCATCCTCTTTCTCTCTGGGACCACACACATGGGAATCACAAACACAAAAGACCCTGAGACTCAGTATGGGCTTTTGTTTGTTTGTTTTGCCTTGGCTGGGGCTGGGAAAAGAGATAACACCAGTCAGGTTTTAGGGTTGCTACTGTTTTTAAGTAACCTACTCTACCAGAGTGGTTACTGGGAAAGGCCTGATGGTTCTCTCCTTTTGTTTGGAGCTCTGAACTTACTCCACCCCTGTGTTATGGCCTCTTAAGTTTTTAGGATCCACCCAACTGGATGGAAGCAAGGACAGACCCTGACTCTGCAGGAGTGCCTGTGCCACCCCTGGGGAGGCCTGCTTGAGAATGTGCCCTACTGAGAAATCACCAGCAGCAGAGCAGGTGCGATGGATAAACATACAGGGCAGGGGACCAGTGGGGCTGGGAATTGCACAGCCACACCCTGAAACAGAGAAGTGTATTACTAGGTCCTTCAAGACCAAAAACATCCCATCACAGCTTGTTGATCATTTCTTTTGAAACGCACAAAAAATATATATAAAACAAGAAGTTCCCCAGTGTCATTACCAAACTAGGAACTCAGGCTTGAGCCTGGGACACCTTAGAATACGTTTGGCTTTCTGACGTCTTCAGCCAACACTGGTGGAAGCCACAACTGGTACAAGCTTTCTGGAGGGAAATTGGGAAGAATGCATCAGATGATCAGCTATGAATCTATCTATTTAATAGATAAATTCTTCTATTTCCAGTAATTTGTCTAAGGCAAATGGTCAGATGAATGCACTTTGTTTGTAAAAGTAACAATTGGAACACATCTAAACACCCATGTGACGGTTCATGTTATATGGCAACTTGACTGGGCCGAAAGATGCCCAGATTAAACATTATTTATGGATGTGTCTGTAAGGGTGTTTCCAGGGGAGATTAGCACTGGAATCAGTGGACTCAGTAAGACAGAGAGCCTTCCCAGAGCAGGCCAGCATCATCCAAATCCCTTGAAGGCCTGAATAGAACAAAAAGCAGAAGAAGGAGGAATCCTTCCCCACCCCTTTTTAAAATCTGCCTCACTCACTGCTTGAACTGAACTGAACCATCTCATCTTCTGCCTTCAGACTGGGATTTACATCATCAGCGCCACTGGTTCTCAGGGTGTTGGACTCCAACTGAAGAAATACTTCACTGGCCTTCCTGGGTCTCCAGCCCGTAGACAGCGGATTATGGGTCTTTTCAGCCTCCATGATCATGGAGACAGTTCTTAATTTTGTATGTATATAAAAGTCATATTGGTTCTGTTTCTCTAGAAAACCCTGAATAATGCAATTCATAAATCTAAGATTGGTACTGCAAGATCAAATCTATCTGAATATTCATATATACACCAAAAGGATAATGAATAGTTTTATAACTTCCTGTTTTTATCAATTTACCCAATAAGCAAATAATCAGGGAGGAAAAAGCTGTTTATATTTTGAAAGCAAAACAAAGTATCTAAGTCCTTAGTTTCATCCGGCTCTTCAGAATAGCCAGGATGTCTTATTTCACAGCAGACTTGCGTAAGTGTCAGAGGGTTGAGAGTTAGTTTGTTTTTTAAGATCTTTTTAACTGCTCTATTTTTTACTGAATGAACTTCACCCATGGCTAGTCTTGTTCACAAACTCATGTCCTCCACCACTCCCTGCACTGGATTATTTTGAAGTAAATCTGAAACATCATAGTATTTCATTCACAAATGTTTCAGGATGTCACCTCTAAAACATAAGATGCTTTTAGAAACATAACAATGTGACCATTATCATACCTAACAACTTAACAGGAATGCTGTAACATCGTGAAATACCCAGCCAGTGATATATTTCTCTGGGGCCACGTGTAGCAACTGTGTTACCCCTGGGTGGGTTACCTAATCTCTTACACACTTACTTTCTTCATGTTAAAATGGAAAGAATATAGGATAATTGACTGTTCATGAGATACGGTACTTAAAGAGCTTAGCTTAGGGTCTGGCACATGGTGGCATCAGATCATTTGCGATGTTACACACATTTTCCGTTCACTAGGTTTTGTATGAATTAACCCTTACTTTGTAAATGTCCTGTTCATAGTCTCTGGCCCTTTTTGGAGTGGGCAGTAAGGATACCAACATTGTATTATCCCTTTTTTACAGAGGAAGAAACTGGGGCACAGGGTTTGTGACTTGCACGAGGGACTGAGCTAGCATACTCCATTAGCAAGTGGTGGAGCTGTGATTGGAGTCCAGGCAGCCCGACGCCAGGGCCACCTCTCTGAAATCACTACAACTGTAGTCCCCTCTTGCGGGTACATAGCAAGTAGAGCCTGCTGGTCCCCACTCACCACCCTTGGACAGACCGCGGCAGTCTCAGAAGCCCAAGAGTTATGAACATATTCGAAAAATGGCACTATCTCCACCTTCTCCACAGCCGAAAAAGAAGAACGATATCCTTGGCCTTAAATTGGAGAGCCCCGAGAGGCTAATGTGTGCACCCCGGGATGTCTGTCCACTCCATTCTGGCCGCCTAGGTAGGTTGCGACAGCCTGAGCCGGGCTCTGTGAGCTTCAGGCTGGACAGCGGTTCCTCAGGAGCCACTAGAGGGCGCAATGGCGCCGTGGGCAGGCACTGCAGTCCTTGTTTGCCCAGATCAGGCGTGAACTTGTTTGTCCTGTGTCTCGAGAGAGGAAATATTCGTCTCTTTCTCAAGGTTCTTCACCCAATGGGCTGTTTTCTTTTCCTCTTGATGTCATCCTTTTACACAGGCAGGAAATTATGTTCACTTCTACTACCCTGTGGTCATTTAAAACCACAAACAAAGCTGATTGACCAGGAAGTCAGATAATTAAAAGAGCCTTAAGTTCTTGATAAAGCTTTGTTGACCCAGGAAAGCAAAGTAGCCAAAGTATCGTGATTGACGGGGGGACCAGCAGCCAGAGAGGCTGAGCTCTCCAGATTGCAGTGGAAAGGCATAAGTTGGTTATTAAAACAAGTTGGCGAGCTGTGACCAGTATTTTGAAAAACTGAACTAGACTTGAACAAAATAGAACAGAACAAATAACATAGAACAGAGCTTTTTCCATTCCGTGTGTGCATACTGAGTTGCTTACTGAATTATGTTTCTCATTGTACTTCAAAGTTTTAAAAATATGAAAGCCTTGGCCGGGCTCGGTGGCTCATGCTTATAATCCCAGCCTCGGTGACAAGAGTGAAACTCTGTCTCAGAAAGAAAAAAAAAAAAACAGGAGGTAAGAAGAAGAAATTTGGAGAAATGAGGCCATCAGAGAGGATAAGAGGATGAAAATACTCATCAGAACATAAAGCTTTGGTCTCCAGGCTTCCCCAGGCCAAAGGTGGGGGATATCAATTAATCCACCACCGTCTTGGTGGCCGTCAGACTGAGAAACAGTTCATCTACTAAGTGTGGGGGAAAAAAGCTATTGCACATGATCCTCATGTTTCTCTACAGCCACAATCACCGTTTCGGTTGATTTAAGGTGAAAAATATTTGAATGTTGACAAGCTAATTGTCAGATGATTACAGCAGAAATTGGTTTTCATTTTTTAAACTGATAAGAACATGTTTGTGATTTTGACAAGCGTGGTAAACAAACAAAATGGTGATTTATGTTGCTCAAATGAGAATAAAATTTATTTCACAAATTACTGATATTTCTAACATATACAGTTTAATTGTTCATTCTGGAAAAACAGGGGAAAGGGTATACGCTATCCAAGCACAGGCTTCCATGTAGAGCTCAGCCCACCATGACATGGGGATCCCCCCAGCTCACACCCACCATGACACGGTGATGCGCCCCAGCTCTCACCCACCATGACATGGGGATAACCTCCCCAGCTCTCACCCACTATGACATGGGGATACCCCCCCAGTTCTCATCCACCATGACATGGGGATACCCCCCAGCTCTCACCCACCATGACATGAGGATCCCCCACCAGTTCTCATCCACCATGACATGAGGATACCCCCCAGTTTTCATCCACCATGACATGGGGATACCCCCCAGCTCTCACCCACTATGACATGGAGATACACCCCCCAGCTCTCACCCACCATGACATGGGGATACCCCCCAGTTCTCACCCACTGTGATATAGGAATACCACCCCCCAGCTTCCACCCACTATGACATGGGGATATCCCCCCCAGCTCTCACCCACTATGACATGGGGATACCCCCCTAGCTCTCACCCACTATGACATGGGGATACCCCCCCCAGCTCTCACCCACCATGACATGGGGATACCCCCCCCCAGCTCTCACCCACTATGACATGGGGATGGCCCCCAGCTCTCACCCACCATGACACGGGGATACCCTCCATGACCATGGGGATGGCCCCCAGCTCTCACCCACCATGACCATGTTGATGCCCCAGCTCTTATCCCATCCTCCTCTTCTCTAAGCCTGAGCTCAACCAGGTGTGTAGAATGCCAACCCTAGCCTCATCCTGCAGCAGAAAATAGGTGTAGGAATGAGGAGGTGTGGAGCAAAACATGTCATCTTCCAGCCATAGGTGTCAGTCCAGCAAGTCTTAGCCAGTCTTGAGAGTACACTTCTTTCTTCTTGAGCCTAGTTTTGGGCTTGAAATCAGGAAAGATCTATTTCCCCCTTTTCTGATGTGGTGGGAGATGGGGGCCGAGGAGGAAACCTGCCATGGGAATGCGAAAATCTCTACCTTGCAGTCAGTTCATCTGGTGGTATATCCCTGAGGCTTCCATTTCTCTTGGGTTATCTTTGCAAGGTGGTTATGCCAGAGCATCACAGGTGAGCAGTGGCAACTGTCGCCTTTCCTATGAGAGCCCCAGAGGAAAGGTGAATTTGGATGACAAGAGCCAGGGCTCTGAGGTCCTTCTCAAGTGGAGAGCTTCTCTCCAGGGACAGCCTGGGAGATGCGGGTGGAATTATATTGTGAACAGCAGCGTTTCTCAGAAGTTCCTGGGTGTGTGGGCGGGGACATCCACACACAGAGTTCCCATCTCCCAGAATAATATTACTGGAGATGTGTGGCCTCTAACATTCAGACTCAGCAGCCACCGCTCCTAGAGCCAGCGTCACCCTCTGTAGCTCACTCCAGACCTCATCTGGAACAGCCTCTGTTCTTCAAGGAAACTAGGAAGGAATTTTCCACTTTACACAGCCCCAGATCAATAACCAGACAAGCATGTGTTGGAGAGAAGTTTATAAATAAAAAACAGGACCAAGTGCCAAGGAAAGGTCAACCAACTGTGACGTGGCAGGAAGTGGTCTGCGTCACTATGGGGTGCTGATGGGTGTGGGGGGCCCTGGGGGCTGAGGCTCCCTGAGCACATTCCATATTTTGGCAGGCCAGCCCCTCACGGCATCCCATGGTGTGCCAAGCACTTCATCTCGCCTGGTCCTCCAGGGAAAGATCGCACCTTCCCGGGCCCTTTATTTCACGTGACTGGGTCTCTGCCAGGGCCTTTCTCACGAGCCGACTCAGGGTATTTGAGGGGAGATACCAAAGGAAGTGGGTTTTGTGGCTGACTCAGTCATTATAGGAAGGTGAGTGTAAAGGTAACCCAGCAATTCAACACCTATATTTCACCTCTCGGGTCCAATCTCCTCTCTCAGCCCTACCTCCAGGTCAGTCCCTGGGGATTCCCAGGGGCGCCTCTAATTCCCTCAAGCCAGGATCTTGGAAAGGAATGATGAGGACTTAAAGCTAATTTATACTATTAAAAAACTTTGTGAATCATTAAATTATAAACTGGCCTGTGACGAAGGCACACTGGCTCATTGGAAACGGACTTCGCTTTGCTTGGACTAGAATTCTGGAACCCACCTCCAAGGACTAGGGATAGGACCCCATTGACCTCATATTTGCTCCAAGCCCAGTTGGAGAAACAGGAGAGAATTGAGGGTGGCCTTCAGCTTTCCTATAAACTGCCTTTTTGTCCCTTAGCCATTGAACTCTTAAACCTCCTTTCTTATGCAAATTTGGACTTGAGACCATCAGCAGAGCTGTTACCTGCCAACCTGCTTACTTGTCAGCGGTGATGCCAGGCTACTTTAATTATTCGTGTTCTTGCTGCACTGCATCCCTATTATTTCATTAGGAATTAGTAGAACTTTAAAAAGTTTCTTGGCATCTCGATTTCTCTCTCCAACATGGGAGTCGTCATTCCTCATGGAGGATTTGCTAGTTTAATTAAAACAGGCTCTTTCTCCTGTTGCATCCAAGAGGAAAATGGGCGTTGCTGGATCTGTTCCGCACTCTGTCCTGTCACTCGCTGCTGTTCTCTTCTCTGGGCTGGTCTCTGGAGGCTGCCTGCAGTGCTGGAGCGGGCAGGGTGGCTGTGGGCTGGCTGAGGACGCTTCGCCCTTCCTTCTGTGGACTGCGTATGAGAACAGGCCAGGAAACCCCCTGAGGGTAGTGGACACCACCTCTGGCCGCTTGACTAGCCCTGGTGCAGTAAGATCTGGACCGCAATGGGTGAGTGGTCACTGGTTTGTGGTTTGGTGAGGATTTGGGGAATACCCCTACCCCATTCCGATTTGAGGGCATCTCAGCACCCTTCCTCCTCCCTTCCCAGCCACTTCCCTCCGCAGGATGGAGGGAGCCAGAGGCAGCCACAGTGTGGGGAGATGGGAGAGATGCCGGGATGTGTCCTCTCTGAAGGGCGTGCCTGTGAATTTTACAAAACGGATTCTCTAGCAATTAATTATTTATAAGTGAATGATCACAATCACAGGACATCAGTCGAGGCTGTCAGCAAAATAGAAAGCCGACCCGTTGGAAGAAAAGGTATTTTCTGGAAACCTCTGGCTTACAGGAGACCAGCACTGTTGGTGAATTCTTTAACTGGAGTTTTATAAGTGAAAAGGCTTCCCTCTTTCCAATATGTGTCTCTACTTTCTTTTTATTGAAAAGTATCAAAAATGTAATCGTAGTAATGAATTATAGTAGCCATTTTTTAGTGCTGTTCTTCTTAAAATGTATTTTATGTCCTACCTCAGAGCAGTGGGGAGGCAATGGGAAGGCAATGGGGAGGCACAGCTTAATGGTACAGAATTTCAGCTTGAGAGGATGAAACAATTCTGGAATGGATGGTGGCGATGGCCAAACAACAGTGCCACAGAACTATACACTTAAAAATTGTGAAAATGGTAAATTTTATGTTCATATGGTTTGCTGAAATAAAAAATTTAAAAAGCAAATGTTAAATAAAAAGTGGACCAATGTCGAGTCGAGGCCTCTGTAGGATGCTAAACAAATGTGTAATGTGAGGTCACCTTGGAGCAGCAATCCTTCAAACACAGGAATGGGCTCCTTAGCACCTGAAAATCCATCCCACACTGGGCACAACCCACCGCCTGTGAATGAAGGCACAGCGCCTCCCAACCCACCCCACTCCCCGTTCCGTCTGGCTCCCGCTCCCACTCCCGACCCCACCGGCTGTTTCTCAAGGCTGATTCCCCTCCAGCCCGCACTGACTGCTTGCTAAGTCTCAGTGTCAACAACCACAGCTTCAGAGGGTTGAGCTATGTCTAATTCCCTCAGGCCAGGGGCTTGGAAAAAAGCGATGAGGGTTGACAGCTAATTTTTTGTATTAAAAAACTTTGTGAATCATTAAATTACAAATTGGCCTGTGACAAGGGCACACTGGCTCACTGGAAACTGACTTTGCCTTGCTCGGACTAGAATTCTATCATCTGTGTGCTAACTGCGTCTCTCACAGGCTGCTCAGAATTCTGGTTGACGTGTCTAAAAGGGAAAGGAAAGGAATTCTTGCTTGCTTTAGTTTGACAGATAAAGCCTCTCAAAGCATGGAAGGGTGACCAAGCGGCAGTCATGGCCACACCCATGGGTCCCCACTGGTCTAGGTGACTTTTAACTCGCTTCTGGAAGCACAGTGCTAAGGCTGTGGTCACAGCTCTTTGCACTGGCAGAGTGAGAGAGACACGGACACGGCAAATGACCCCTGAGCACGGGGCCCTGCGGACACTGAACAGACGTGGACAAATACTGCTATCCTTGCCAACCCTCTCCTGGTGCTAGACTGCCCTCCTGTCGTCCCCCGATAGCACAGGCTGCCATTTCAGACTCCATGGGTGCCACAGCATGGGCAAACTTCCGGGCATGTCCACTGCCATCTCTAAAACCCTCCCTGTCCTGTTCCCAGGGGGCGCAAGTGCTGTATCCACCCAGGCCGCAGTGAGTGTGCATGTGTGTCAACAAGCCCACAGGCTAAAGAGGGCCTTCTGCAGAAGCCGTGTCTTTCCCTGAAGAAGCAGCTCTGATCGAAGCAAACAAATGCCAACAAATACAACAGACCCTCTCACTAGCACGCAACTGCCAGCTTCAGAGCGGACGGCCCCGATGAAATGCATCCTCCTCCAGCTGTGAGCCACCGCGTAACGATAGACCCTCCATCAGAGCGTGACGAACCTTGTGTCCTCCCACCCGCTCACCTGTCGTGCGGTAGCAAGGTGTGTGCTGCGGCAGCTGGACCGGAGGGGACGGCCGACACCTTCTGGGCGGCATGTGATATCTCACTGTCTTCCAAAACTTGGTCTTCACACACTGTGACTGCTCCGTGAAGTCCCCGTGCCACCGGATGACCCCGTGCTTCTGTCTGATGTACTGAATGGACTCCGGCATGGCTGTGTAGTCCTCAATTTTCTCCAGCTCAATGAGAATAACCTTCATCCCGTCCTGGATGAGGGCATTGTAGACCGCGATTTGTTCTTCTGACAGGTTCTTCAACAGACCAAAGCCCAGCGACTCAGGGACCACAATGACAATCAGTCTCCTGCACAGCTTAACATTTTCATCGATGACACTGGCCACAGCTGGAAATAAAGAAAGAAGGCTCAGAAGAGCTCACAATTAAAACAGCCCGGGTCTTCATGCTAGTGAGAATATTTGAAACAGGCTCTGAGAGGAGAAAACTGACTTTTTTTTTTTTAAATGAAGTCTCGCTCTGTTGCCCAGGTTGGAGTGCAGGGATGCAATCTCGGCTCACTGCAACCTCCACCTCCCAGGTTCAAGCCATTCTCCTGCCTCAGCCTCCTGAGTAGCTGGGATTATAGACACGTACCACCACACCCAGCTAATTTTTGCACTTTTAGTAGAAACAGGGTTTTACCACAAGTTGGTGTCGAACTCCTGGCCTCAAGTGATTTGCCCACCTTGGCCTCGCAAGGTGCTGGGGTTACAGGTGTGAGCCGCCGTGCCTGGCCAAAAATGGACTTCAGAATAAACATGACTTAGTCAGGAATGGATTAATACAAGTTTTGGGGGCTTTTTCTTTTTTTAACATTTGTCACCTCTTCTGTGAAGCCTCCGTGACTTTCCCTGAAGCCTTGGTCCTCTATAGTCATGAATCATGTTTTGCATGTGGTTTCTTTGTATGTCACTTTCCCTGGCCAACAAGTATCTGATGGTGCCTAACTTTGTATCCCCAGACTACCTGAAGGTCTGGTGTATATTAGCAGATGAACACATTTTTAAAAATAGATTTTAAAAGGATAGGAAACATGTAGTTAGCTGAAATGTTGCGTTAATCTTGAATTTGTGTTTTCCTTTTGTCTTTATGGTTATTTAAAGGACCAGGATTTATGCGACTAATTTAGAAACCAAATAACATGCCCTGATGATTGCTTGGGAAAGGGAGGGCTCTTTAAATAACCAGCTGTGCAGATGCTATTCAGTCTACAGTTGCCTCTCACAGGAAATAAGAATAGACTGGAACCTCCCTGAAGACAGGCCCTTCTGCTTGGCTGATTTTTGTATTTCTAGTGCCTAGAATACTGTTCATCACATAGAGGGGTTTTCAGTAAATATCTGTTGAATAAGTGAGTGAATTGGCATTTACTGGTGACTAGAAAAGAACACTTATTCCAGATTTCAGTCATTTTGCTGTATACCCTTCCAAGAAGGAGACTAAAGGGACAGGAAGGTACCATTTTGTGAGTGTCTAAAGTGTGCTAAGTTCTATGCCGGGGACCCCTTCTCAGGTTTTCTCATTCAGTTCTCTCATCTGAGTCAGGGAAGCACCCCATCCCCATTTTACAGATGAGACAACTGAGGTTCAGAGATGTTAACTGAACTGTCCAAAGCCACCTTCCTATCAAATGGGAAAAGTGCACTAAAACTTCCATTGTATTTAGGGAGGGGAGAGGCAAGTAGGGTTGAGGTTTATAAAATCAGCTTTAAGCACGATCTGATTTACATTGTTCAAACCCATGGAAAACACCTAGCAGTTCGTCTCAGGGACGTGAGGGCAAATGACCACTCGCCACCTTTCAGTCCTTTAGCCACAACGTAGTTGTGTAGTTGTAACAATGTAGTTACATCACTGGCCACCTGTTTCTGTGAACGGCTTAACCATATCCTCACTCAAAGTGAGATGCACGCTGCTGCAAGCACGAATCCCAGACACTGCGGGGCAGGGAGGAGCCCAGAGCAGGCAGCGAGCTTGCGCCTAACCTCCTTGGCTGGGGACTAGGGGCTGGCAGGCGGGGGGCGCTGGTCATAGACTTCCTGTGGTTCCATGGGGAAGGCAGGCAGAGTCATCGCCATTAGTAAAGTGGAGGAACAGAAGGGTCACTTTCCTTCTTTTATTTGTTATTTTTATACCTCACTTAAAACACACCTTGTCCAGGGAATTCATCTCTGCCGAATATAAACAACTTATATCCACATTGCCTCTCCAGCACCTCGGGCAGGATCTTCAACACCAGGGTATCCACGGCTTGCCTCTGGCTTTCCCTGCGGGGCTTGGGGTATAAGACGTAGGCGTCATACAGCTTCCCGTCTGAAAAGGAAATGGACACGCTCGTGGAATTGTTGCTATCGAATTCTCTCATGTTAACAAACCGGAAGCCTGAGCGGCTACCATGGTGTCCTTTGGCCTGGGATCCATGACTTCCGAGTGCCCAGCTGGCTGACGGTGCCAGGGGCTGCCAAGCGACATCATCTCCTCTCACAAATGGACCCCTGAGGGAGGTGGTCTTATCCCCAACGCACAAGAGTGAAGCTGAGACTGGGTAGGCTGCATCACATCTGCAATCCTTAACCTTACCCCACGTCTTTTGATTCTAAGTCCACCACTCCCTGTGATGCAGCCAGAAATGAGAATTAAAGGCAGGAGACTCGTCCGGCGCAGTAGCGCATGGCTGTAATAAACGGGCTGAAGCAGGATAGCTTGAGGCCAGGAATTCAAGACTACCCTCGGCAATGTAACAAGACTCTCCAAAGAAAATAATTGTTAAAAAGTTAGCCAGGCATGATGGCTCATGCCTAAAATCTCAGCTACTCAGGACGCTGAAATGCGAGCTTAGGAGTTCAAGGTTGTGGCCAGGCATGGTGGCTCATGCCTGTAATCCCAGCATTTTGGGAGGCCAAAGCGGGTGGATCACCTGAGGTCAGGAGTTCAAGACCGGCCTGGCCAACATGGTGAAACCCTGTCTCTACTAAAAATACAAAAAGTTAGCCAGACATGGTGGTGGACACCTGTAATCCCAGCTACTCAGGAGTCTGAGGCAGGAGAATTGCTTGAACCTGGGAGGCGGAGGTTGCAGTGAGCCGAGATCACACCACTGCCCTCCAGCCTAGGGAACAAAAGCAAAACTCTGTCTCGAAAAAAAAAAAAAAAAGGAGTTCAAGGATGCAATAAGCTATGATCACGCCACTGCACTGCAGCCTGGTGGACAGAATAAGACCATATCTCTAAAACAAACAAGAAAAGGATCTCTAAAATAAACAAACAAAAAAGCAGGAAACTACCCATTTACCCAGGTTACCCTCAGCGTGTTCTGTGTGACAGAGCACTGTCCTAACTGCACCAGGCCAAACTGGATGACTCCCTCCTGATTCAGACCCACCAGTGAATTCCATCACTACAAGCCCACAGACTCACATCTGTGAAACGAGAGAACAAGCAATTAAGCAGACTCTAGTAATCTGCAGTGCCGTTGAGAGAAGTCAGACCCAACGGCGCATGTCATCGTCATCAGTATTTATTGAGCGACCTCAAAAGCAGCCTCTGCATTGGCCAGTGCAGAGATGAGCAAGACACAGACCTCACTGGGCAGACCATTCACATGCACAGACATGAAACAACACAAGACACAACACGGCGATGAGAGCCAAACGAACAGAAAAGAGCAAGAAACAAAAATCTCCATGGTCTGGAGTCCTTGAAAAAAAAAAAAAAATTCACAATGAACATGGGACAGCTCCTGGATTTTTAAATTTTTTTGTTATTATTATTTTTAGATGGAGTCTCGCTCATATCTACCAGGCTGGAGTGCAGTGGCGCCATCTCAGCTCACTGCAACCTCCGCCTCCCAGGTTCAAGCGATTCTCCTGCCTCAGCCTCCTGAGTAGCTGGGATTATAGGCACCCGCCACCATGCCCGGCTAATTTTTGTACTTTTGATAGAGACGGGGTTTCACCATGTTGGGCAGGCTGGAGCTCCTGGGTTTTAAAGAGTGGGAGAGTTTAGAGGAAAAAAAGTGAGGGTCTAAGAGTGGATGGTAAACAGGCTTGCAACGGAGCAGCTTCAGAAGGGCATGGAAGGAGGAATCATTTCCTACTCAGGAATCATGTAAATCAATAAGGAACTTCAGCAGGGCCAGAGGGCTTGAGTGGAAGAAGAGGTAAGTGTGGGCGTCTCGTGGGAAAATGCGATTTCGAGCTTTGGGCTGTTGAGAAACTCAGACAACCTGGAAGGTACTAGAGAGGAGTGGTGTCCTTCTCTACTCCCTTTTCATGAGAGCTTATTGGATGAGCAGACTTGCAGAAACAGGTGATTTTAAGATTAACAAGGGAAAGGAAAACCTTGTAGTCTTCTAGTTTTCGTCCAAATAATAGTAATGAAAACGTGCACACATCTTGACAGTTTGCATGTCACCATTTCTCATTCCATCAGTTCTCACACCAACCACTGCTGACCTTCGGGTCTCTGCTCACCATTCTTGACCATCTCTTATGGAGAATGGTAACACACACACGCATGCATGCACACGCATGCACACCCGTGTGTGCACATATAGTCATACACATGCATGCACACACACATGTACACACTCCTTCTCTGCCTCCCACCCCATCGTGAAAGGAGGCTGTGTGAGAGTGGAGACTTTGTTGGCTCCCTGCCCTACCCTCAGCCCGTGGAGCAGGACTGGGTGCAGAGGAGGCCTTCGTCAGTGCTCACCGAATGTCCAAATGAAGCTTGATTCTACAGAGCCTCAAAGAGCTTCTATCTATGTTGGGGACAAAGCTGAGGTCAGATTCAGCTTTTTAAGGTGGGGTCACAGGGCAGGTACAAAAGGGATAACTGATTTGTGTCTTGAATTGGCAAAAACCCAACAAAGCTGAAACTCCTTGTGGAATCTTGAAGGTCACTGATCGAGACCACCGCTCACATAAGTGGATACTTTTCTGTGTAAAATTTCATAGCACACATTTGACTTTCCAAAGACAGAGGATTTTTTTTTTCTGTAGATAGAAAATCGAAAAAGAAACATTTCATAAGGTTCTTATGTTTCTGAACTTTTGGCGAAGGAATTAAATTTTCCCATTTAAAAATGTGATCATATTTATCCTTTGGTTTCTGATGAAGGGCTGGCTGAGTTGATGCTCGGTTCACCACAGAATACAGTATTTCCTGGTCTGTTCTAAACTACAGCAGACGTGCAGGCTTATTGCCACTTGTCCCAGACCCTGCCACTAGTATCTTGCTTCTCTCAATCTGTTTCTCTTTTTTTCCTACTGTTTCTGATAAAAAAAAAAAAAAAAAAATGTGTGCTAAGTGTATTCTGTCTTTTGCCAATGTTCCCTGTTCCCTGTTTCTAAATGAGATGTCTGAGGATATAGGTACTTGATGCTCTCCAACTTCAGGATCAGAAGACATTTAAGTAGCAAGAAAGTCTCACACCTTTTAAAAATTCAAAATGTACGAACGTGCCCAATTTTTTGGTCATCTTTTTTTTTCTTTCTGTCTAAGCTTTTGAGTAGAAATAGAACTTGCTGATGTTCTCAAAATGTAGTGAGTTTTCATCACTTTCAAATGACTAATTCATAATTTACTGACCAATATATTAAGAGCAAAAGATCAAGTTGTAGTCTTTTGCTTTTTGCATCAGGCCACTGGTTTTGAAGCGCCTTGCCAGGCAACAGCACCTCAACACTTCCTGGATGCGCTTCTCATGACCAACCGTGTGGGACGTGGTTCTTCTCTCCAATTATGAGTAAGAAAGCTGAGACCAGCAAGACGGCACGCTCTCTCCAAAGTCTCCCAGCTGGTGAGTGCGTAGCCTTGATGTAAACCCAGGTCCGCCGTTCCTTTTGCTGTGACTAAAATGAGAAACGGGAGCAGGAAATTTCACAAAACTTATCCCTGATTAGTCCTGTGCAGCTGTGTCAGTCTGAATTTTCCAAAAGTAGCCCCAGCAGTGTTTCCAGTCCCACGTGTTCTTCCAGAACTTTGCCACACCTTTGCAAAGACGCAGAGTCTCTTTCCACTCCCTTAACATTGTTACGTCCTTCTTGGCTCTTGGCAAAAAACATATAAAAGCTCATTCACATAAATTAATATTTATGAAATATTGCCTAAAGATTATTCAATTCCCTACCTTCTCTTAATATGATATTGCTAAATTTTAGGCCGGATCAAACCACAACAGTGGAAAACTCAGATTCAATCTGGCCTCCATGCAAATGCTTTTACTGAACCGCAGGATGTTTGGTGGGTTTAGCCCCAATACGCATAGAAAACACTAGAAGAAAAGTCACACAAAACATGCTATGACATGGGAAAGTTGTTGCAGTCAAGCTTCCCTACACCACGCCCTTTTGAAATGAGGACTCTCTGTTGGAAAAAAAAAAAAAAAAATCTGCCTTTGGAAATTAGTCTCAGAAAAAGCCATGTTCTCTCATGAAAATTGGAAAGGTTGTTGTGAACAGCACACAATGGATCTTGTCGCTGCCTTTACTTTGGCTTGAAAAGCAAATTCACCTTTAATAATTGTCAAAGGTATCATTAACTCTACCGCGACTGGTTTTCCTCATCTCCTTGGTTTCCCTTTGATCACTCCAACTGTTTGCCTTGTCTTCGTTTTAACCATTCTATCCTACATGCACATTCTCCAAAGACCTATCTGGAGGAAGGCGAGGCATTTTCAAATCTCTCTAAGAGATCTGTACATAGACCCTTCCGTCCTCGTACACACACGCAGCCCTGCCAGGAGAATTTTTAAAGCTCCAGTGGCTTGCTGGAGAAGATACAGAACTTGCTGACTTCAGCCAGGGCTGTCAATGGCTTCTCCTAAAATGGTGAGTCATGCACACCTAATTATTAATTGAGCGATACAGCTTAGCTAACCCAGTCAGGGTAAATGACTTATCCTACGAAGGACATTATTTCTCTCTTCCTCATTTTCATCCATTAATTGGCGTTTCCTGATTGAACTCAGAAAATATCCTCAAGGGGAACAAGGACATAAACAGGATCTGGGACTCATCTCAGAATGTCATCAGTAGCTTAAAGCCAACACACAGAGATACTACAGGCAGCTCTCGTAGATGGAACTGTAGAGAATTTCATGACAAAATGCACACATAGTTTTCTGAATTAAGCAAAATAAAAATAAAGATAAAAAAGGACCCCTGGCGGCCTGCGGGCCTCCATCGCCAAATCCTCTGCCCACTGGTGGAAAATCTGGGCTGCGTCCCAGTCTCGGCAGAGGGTAGGGCTGCCTAACTCTGCCATCTGCCCAGCCCCCGCTACTCGGTGTGAGTCACTGTTCCTGTTTTCTCTTCCTGCTAAACTTGACCTCACGAGCCGCTTCCCCACACACTCTACACAACACTCATAAGTCACAGCTGTAATCACGCTCCTGGGAGTCGCAATGACTCAGTGAGGGAGTCAGTGAGAGAGTCACTGAGAGAGAGAGAGAGACAGCGAGAGAGACACGCCACAGGGCCTGAGCTGCCAGGAAGAATACGTCAAGTGACGCAGGCTTCTGTGAGTCAAAAAGTAGAAAGCAGCTGAAGCACTCACATCTGTGTCAGAAAACAGTAAGTGGTGGGGGACTGAACTGTCTTCTTCTCAAAGATGCAAGCAGGAGAGCAGTCATGGGTGTGCTTAGACAGGGCAGCCTCTGCAGATGCCAGAGCCAAAACCAGATGCCAGAGCCAAACCCCGCCATGCCCAGTCGGACTATCCACAGTGCTAGGAGTACTTCAGGTTGCACTGGACACTTAAGGTCCAGATGACTTGTGTCATTAAAAGGAGTTTATTGCTTTCTCCATTGCTCGGGGTTGCTAATTTTGAATGCTGAAATTTAATTTGGAAAAAATCCAAGTTAGGACATCTATGTTTTATCAGACATGTGGACAACAACTGCGCTGTGTATTCTGTGTGCAAAGCAGGTGCTTGATGGCAGTGACCTCTTCTATGTTTTAGCTGCCCATACAACATTCTCGGACACCCAGTTTCCCTCCCTTTCCTGCTCTTGTCACTCAGGCCTCTGGACTTCAAAGGTATAAATTCGTGCATCTCCACACAGGTCAGCTGCACCGGCTTCTTTGGGCTTATATTAATTTTTTCATCTAATTAGGGGACACTAGAGCAGATTTATTACTTTTTCAAGGACTTAATAGATTGTATCTGTTCTGAGACAAAACAAACAAAAAGTAGCGTAAAGAGTCACAAGCACTACGGTGGGAAATGCCAGGCTCTCAGAGAGTCAGGATCACACTGAGGCGTTTCTGTACCAAACAGCACTGGCAGGACATAGGCCCACAGACCAAAACCCACAGCCGTGTTGTTGGGGATTTATCTTGACCTCCAGACAAGCAACAGAGGCCGCCCTGTGCCCCAGGCCCCTGCTGAATGCTTCCGTGTGCTTCAGCTCAGCTATCCCCACTGTCAAAAAGCAGGATGTAATCACTTTCCCTTTCTTTCTTTCTTTTTTCCTTCCTCCTTCTTATTTCCCTTCCTCCCTCCTCCTCCCTCTCTCTCCCCTGCTTTCTTTAGTTTCTTTTCTATGAACCTCCCTTCTTCCTTCCGTTTTCTCTCCCTCCCTCTCTCTCTCCTTTCCTTCCTCCCTCCCTGTCTCCTTCCTTCCTTCCTCCATTCCTTTCTATAGCTGAGAAATAGAAGAAAGTTGAAAATCCAAGTTTACATAGGGAGTAAGTGGAGAAGTTACATTCAAACTTGGTTCGATCTCTCTCCGTGTCTGAGAGTTGAAGACTTAAATCCCTTCAGGCACCAAGTACGGGGCCTAGAGAGAGCTCCAACTGCAGGCAGCTCATCCCTCTCCATGACACCTATTCTGCAACGTGTGCTTACCCACTCTGCTGAGTACACGTCATGGATTGAGAGCACTTTGCCGTTGGAGAAACTTTCCTGCAGCGGGCAGAGGATGGACGTGGAAACCTTTGTAGCATGGTTGCAGCGGGACTCAGAAGATGGTCTCCTCCCGCAGCTTAGCAAATATTTCCTCAATCACTACAAGCCTGCAAACCTTATCTGACCGAATGATGCTGGTGATTAGGGACAAATCATTTCTCTAAAGCATAGGCAGTTCCAAGGAGATTCCTTCACCGGAAATTTGCCAGCAACACAGTAAAATATGACAAAGTATATTTGAAATCGTTGTATACGTATAAGAGGATGCCAATTTTGAGGCATTTTTCAGGGATTACACACACTTACCTTCTAGGGTCTCTGTAGATTGGAAGGTACTTCGATACCAAAGAACAATGTCGATCTTAAAAATGTTGTATATGTACACAACAGACATAGCCACAGCCAAAAAGGCAATAAGCCCTCCTATCAAGTAAGCTCGAAAATCTGGTGCTACAAATGACAGCAAAAAAATAATTATAATTATAATAATGATACAAAGAGTCCATTATATACTTTACTAATACAGATTACACTATGAATGCCAAATGGAAAGGTTCTGGACGTCAGTGAGGGCACTGTTTAAACATTTCTTTAAAGTCAAAAGAGTGGTGTGGGAGCAGAATAATCTGATCTGGACCACAATTGTTAGGAAACAACTCAGCTCCTGGGAACCTATGAGAGTAAAAGTCTGCAGAGCCCTAGTTTCCAGTGGTAGACGCAGGATGGACCCAACTGCACAAAGACTGCTTTCAAAACACGCATGTCCAGGTTCTGCTGAGACTGTCCAGAGGTGGCGCCTGAGTATGTTCATGGGGCACCTTCTCCAGCTGGTTCTGCTGCCCGTTCTTGATTACAATCCTATTGTAACTGCTTTCCCAGCCATTCAAAGTTGAACAGCTGGACGGACACCCATCATCCTTAAAGAGCCAACAGTTGTCCCCTCTGGAACCTGCGTGGCTGGCTCCACAAGACAGGCCAAGAGCCAAACCTCTACCTCATCCTCTCTGTGCCATCGATTTCCAGGCTGGGTGCCTGTGCGAGAGACACAGTCTCAGAAAGAATGTTTACACCCTACCCTGCTTCATGCGTCCATTGCAGAGCAATTATGAGCCTAAGTGGTGGGCAGGAGATGGCCAAGGAGCAGAACCAGCTCCTCTGGAACCTCAAGTCCCCGAAAACATGCTCCTACACATCTAAGAAAAGGAACAGCATGACTTCTGTCTCACCGCAGCCCAAACCCATACCACCAAAGAAGACCCTCTGGGAAGGAAAGAATCAGAAAAGGGGAAGAGGGAGACAGGAAGAAAAGTCCTCCCCATTCTTAAAACCCACCTCACACACCACTTCCTTCTTCAGCCCCTTCCTCATCCTCCAGTCCTCACTGGATGGTGGGGTGGGCAGAGGAGGGGAGGAAGAGGGAGGTTCTTTTTTACTGAGCCCCTAGAGCACTTTAATTTTTAAAAAAGTTTATAGGTACATAATAGTTGCACATATTTATAGGGTATGTGTAATATTTTGACACAAGCATACAATGTGTAATGACCAAATCAGGGTAATTGGGATAACCATCTCCTCAAACATTCATCATTTCTTTGTGCTGGGAATATTCCAAATCCATTCCTCTAGTTATACTGAATTATACAATAAATTCTTGTTATCTATAGTCATTTTGTTGTGCTACCAAACACTAGATCTCATTCCTACTATCAAAATGTATTTTTTTTTTACCCATTCACCAACCTCTCTTTATTCCCCCTTCACCACTACTCTTCCCAGCCTCTGGTAACTGCCATTCTTCTCTCTACCTTCATGAGATTAATTTTTTTAGTTCTCACATATTAGTAAAAATATGCAATATGTGTCTTTCTGTGCCTGGTTTATTTTACTTAACATAATGGCCTCCAGTTCCATCCACTTTGCTGCAAATAACAGAATTTCATTCTCTTTTATGGCTGAATAATATTCCATTGTGCATCTGTGACAGAATTTCTTTATCCATTCCATTGATGGACACTTAGGTTGATTCTACATCTTGGCTATTGTAAACAGTGCTGCAATAAACACGGGAGTGCACATATCTCTTTAACATGCTAATGCCCTTTCTTTGGGGTATATAACCAGCAGTGGGATTGCTGGATCATATGGTAGTTGTATTGTTAGTTTTTTGAGGAACCACTGTGTTTTCCACAGTGACTATAAAATACACATTAAAGAGCTTATTGCCACCTGCCTTAGGCCACACCATGTGGTAAACATCTTGAGGCCCAAGATTTCCCATTTACTATTGCACATCTTTAAATACATGGCACAATAACTAAGAACAAATTTGTGCCAAAACAAAATGAATTCATTGAGTAAGTCCCAGTGCAGCCAGAATAGACGCACGGCACTACACACCGGTGCCCGAGCTAATCCTGGGCACTTGCGAGAACCTCTCACTTCAATCATGAGACAGATCCTTCCTGCTTCCCCATCTTCTACCCCTCTTTACCCTTTCCCAGCTCTCATTAGAATTCCTTCTAGGGGCAATATTGCCACCTCTCTCTTTGGGATGACTTGTGTCTGGGAATATTTAGTGTCTGTTTCAGAGATCTTGGTGTTGTTAACTGTCCTAATAAGAAGACCATGCCCACAGTACTAATGAGGCTCAGAAAGCCTCTGGCACATAGACAGGAGTGATGCTCTAAAATTCTCGGGCTTTTCACTCACTGCCTTCAGGAGTATTGATGCCCTCTGCTCTATAAACGAGCTAAAAGAGAATGAAATTGGAAACAGGTCATTAATGAATACATTCAGAAGGACTCAGGGCTTCGAAATAGAAATAAATGGGGAGGGCCGGGCGCGGTGGCTCAAGCCTGTAATCCCAGCACTTTGGGAGGCCGAGACGGGCGGATCACGAGGTCAGGAGATCGAGACCATCCTGGCGAACACGGTGAAACCCCGTCTCTACTAAAAAATACAAAAAAAACTAGCCGGGCGCGGTGGCGGGCGCCTGTAGTCCCAGCTACTCGGGAGGCTGAGGCAGGAGAATGGCGGGAACCCGGGAGGCGGAGCTTGCAGTGAGCTGAGATCCGGCCACTGCACTCCAGCCTGGGTGACAGAGCAAGACTCCGTCTCAAAAAAAAAAAAAAAAAAAAAAAAGAAATAAATGGGGAGTCCATTCTTGATGTACTAGATGTCATGGTAAAGGTTAATGGTGGTATTCACCATCTGAGTCATTTGACTACTACCAGCCTTCTACTGAGATGGTGGGTGAGCATAAGTAACAAGCGAATTCACAGAAGAGCACACTCAATTTAAACAACTTTCTAGAGACCCTGCTTCAGAAAAACCAGGTAAGATTCAAATCTGGAGGTGTCTTCAACAAACACAAGGAAGTCAAATGGAGAAGCTATAACCTTAGCTCTGTCCCCAAGTAAACCAACAAGAGGTTTACATTTAAGAGGGTGAAGTTCCAGGAACTCAGGACAAACAAAACTAAGTCAATAGAACCAAAATACTCTACATTTGAGATAAAATGAGCATTGCCAGGAACTAAGGGATTTAAGAAGCAAGAGCTTAAAACAAAGGAGGTAAAGGACTCCATCCCTCCACAAGCTTGACAAGTGTTAACTGGTCACAGCATTAGCTCCTCTGAGCTTGGACTTGGCCTCAGAATCCTTCGGAACACAGTGCTTTCAAGTAGTCCAACAAGTCAGTATTGGCGTGGAAATCACTATTGGCCAACTTCAGTCTATATTATCCAATAAAGAACTCAAACTTCTAGGTTGGGACAGATTTAAGTTGTAACCACTTCAGGTGTCGTGGACTCTCCACGACTTCTTACAACAGCTTCACCTCTGTTCTCCGGGGTGGACCCTGAGTCTCTCTCTCTCTGACCTAAGCCAGGCTGCATCTCTGCTGTAAGCTAATGGAGAGTCAGAGGGAGGAAACGCCAGCAGGCTCTGCTTCAGTGAAAACAGGTTTTCAACCTGTCCTCACTGACCTACCACACATTTCTGCACTTGTCTCAAAGTCACCTCCTTCATCACAATATGAGCTCACAAAAGACCCACCTTTGTCTGTGATCTGGCTCTCTGTTCTGTGGGGTAGATGAAGGTGACAACTGGGAAATGAGTGGGAACAAATAGACCAGGGAGGCCCTGAATGCCAAGCCAGGAGTTTCCATTTCATCGCCTGGCAGTAAATATCAGTGAATCACATTGTAAAAAAGTGTGGCATTCTATGGAAATGTTAACGACAGTCTCTCACCTGGCAAAGCCACTCTTCATCATATATCCTGGAGGGATGCCTCTACATGGGTACACAGACACACAAACAGGAATTTCCATAGCAGTATCATTTGTTAATAGCTCCAAACTCAAAACAATGCAAACCACATACTTATAGCCCAGTGGATAAATTGTGACCTCGTTATTCAATGGACTAGGATATGGCAATGTAAATTAATGAACTATGCTACATGCTATATCAGCGATACACTGATAAGCCCCCCACACCTAAGAAAATAAAACATACTATGTAACTCTCTTAATATAAAACTCAAAACTAGGCAAAAATAAATTGTATTATTAGGACTGTCAGCATAGATAGAAAATCAAAGAAATGACTTTCCTAAAAGTTGGGAGGATGATTATCAAGAGGGAAGGATCAAGAAGAACATCCAGGGGTTTTTCAGGCAATGCTTTTTTCTTAATCCAGGTGGTAGTTTCATGAGTATTTGCTACACAATGACTTGTTATGTGATGCAGATATTCTGTGTTCCTTTACCATATATATGCATGTGTTATCGCATGTATAATATATATGTTATATTCCACAATAAAAAAGTATAAAAGAAAATCCCAGCTGATTCTTACAACAGCCGTGGAAGGAAGTCGCTATCCTCCTCATTTCCCAGATGAGGAGACGCGGGCACAGAGAGGTTGAGTGACAGTGCTGTCCTCACAGAGCTCCCAAGTGAACAAGATAGGATCTGAGCCTGAAAACCTGACCTTTAAGTCCAGGGCAGGACTCACCCTACCATCCAGCTTGTTAGTGGGAATGGGCAGGAGGGTAAGAATCCACAGAACTTGGCAAGTCATTGGGTGCTGGCATGAGGGAGGCTAAGGGAAAACATCAAAATGACCCCAGATTTTGAGCCTGAACAACGTGGAAGATACAGGGGTTCCATTTACAAACGTAAGAAAAACAGAACCAGGAGGTTGGAGAGTTTAAACATGCTTTCTGACATCAGCCAGTTTAAACATGCTTTCTGACATCAGCCAGTGTATCTGCAGTCCCTTATGCAGTTGGAAATGCAGAGCTGTCACGGGGGAAAACAGTATACAGCTGGATACATGGAACATGTTTGCACCTGCCCAGGAATGACAGTTGATGCCATAAAGGTGAAAAAGATTTCAGGGATGAGGACACAGAAAGAAAAGCAGCACAGATGCTGAACCTCATAGAGGTACCAGAGAGAGAGAGATGGCAAATGTAAGACTGACTGGGGGAAAGTGATGGAAAAGGATGTTTTATGACAAGGAAAAGTCAGTAAGAAGAGAAAAAATAGGCAGTGGTGACAGATGAGCCCAAGGGTCCTTCCACATGACGCAACCCAAGAAGGACTCCTCATGCCATGAGGGTGAGGAGAGGGTGCTGTGTTCGTTCAGTTAAGGCAGCTGAGGCCAGAACGACACTGGCCTTCAGGACACAGAAGTGAGGCAGAGAACGTGCACACCCAGAGCTGCAAGCTGCTATGCACAGATCTCTATTCATCACAATTCTAAGAGAGGTCACGGGCACTTAGGAGGCCAGGATCTTGGCAGGGGCAAAGGCACAATTGCCAACTCCATACAGCAAACACTGTGTTTTCTGTTAGGTGTTTTCTGTTAGGTGGGGCTTCAGTGTGATGTATGCAAGCATAGGTTTAACTGATCATTGAAGGACACCAGCAAATTCAAGTCCTCTTTCTTGCATGTAGCTAGCCACAAACACACAAACGCATGCGCGTGCACACACACACACACACACACACATACACTAATGATATTAATAGAATCAAGAAGAACCACTGTCTTGATAAACCACACAGAATTTTGCAAGGTAATTCATACACTTCTGATATGTTACGAATTTAAAGTTGTTCTCAAGATTCTGGCTTCACCCTCCACTATCTGTACACTGGCTTTAAAACTTCCAGTGGATAATCAAGTAGTTCTGTACGGTGCTCAGAGTGCAATTTGTATACGCACATTGAGTTGGAAGCCCTCCTGCTTAAATACCAGAATTCAGCCTCTACAGATAATTTTACAAAGTTACATAGTAAAAATATACATAGGCATTTTGGCTTTATATCAAATTATAAACATTTGGCAATCACACTTAATAAAGAAAAGCTTTTGTTTTCTTTCTGTTTTGATGTATAAATCTTGATGTATTGAAAATATGGCACTTTCAAAATATACTGCAATAAAATCACAGCCTCATTCCAACAACATTATGAGCCGTTGCATGAACTTTTCCCTAGATTTCATACTGAGTTTGTCCCTTTAATACCATCCTCATGCCTCACTCTGAGCATTTAGAGTCACCCCTCCTTCAGATGTGTTTCCTGGCCATCGTTTTGAACACTCTGAACAGTGTGTAACCCACTGGAGTATTACCTGGGAGCTGTAACATAATGTATGCTGCGGACACTCCAGCGTGGCACATGAAAGGAAGGCCATAATCTTCCATTTTCACTTCCAAGAAGGTGATGTTTACTGTGTACAAATTATGTTCCCGAAAAGAGGCATGGGTTCTATAAAAGAAAAAAGCCAGTCATTAATACATGAGTCGTATTTACCTAACATATTTTATGGTCTGTTTTCTGGAGATTAAGTGTTTTCTTGGAGAACACTTTGGACCATCATGTTATCCTAAGAATACTTTGCTGACTGGCCCAGTGAGGTATGTAGATTGTGTATTTCCAAATTTGCATTTTCTTCTGCATGGTGACAAGGAAGTATGGTTCTGTAAGCTACAGACACCATTCTCAGCCCCAAAGGCCCTTCCCCTATTCCTTTCCACGTATCCTAACTTGTCCACCCTGCAAGGCCCAACGCAAGTTCTCCTGCCCTCTGACTTCATTAGTTTTATTTACACCACTCTATTTATACCACCATAACTTGAGTTTATACCCATTTAATTAGCTAATGATTATGCACTGTCTTCCCTCAGAGTCCTTGTTGGTGCTTGTTTAGTATAGTAAAGAACTATACTACTATTTCTTCCTTCTACTGTTGCAGTATACACATCTGTGTCACTTCCAGTGTTTCCCTAGTATGCCCAGGGCGTTAAGCTTTGAAGGCCTATGGATCATGATATAATTGAATGGAGATGGTACTAATTTTAAGTAGTAGCTGAGAGAAACGGATCTTACTGCTCTCAGGGATACTTGGTATTTTACCATATCTCCCTAACTATGTGGTAGGTGGGATTGATAACATGAATCACTGAGAGGCAAAAACAAGAGGAGAAGGCAATAGTGATACCAGATTCACTCAGATGGAGAAATCCTTGCTAGCTTTTACAGAAGTCAAAAAAGCAAAATACCTACTCCACCCCTTCTCTGATTCGTTTGGATTCATTATAGTAATCATCCACCAAAGTGTTATTGACTCTCCAGCATCGTAGATTTGTATTATCCTTCGTGTCTGTTATATTACAGTCCACTATCAGGGTAGTACCTAAAAAATCAATATTATCAATATTCAATGAAAATTCTACAAACTTTCAAATTTGTTAACACCTGGATAACAAGTGCATCTTACTCTCAAGCCTCAAATACCTTTTGATTACCAGAAATACCCCCATAGGCTAATGTTAATCTATTTTTTTCTTTCCCTGGAGAGAGACCATGAGGGGCAAGTGGCCTTCCAGGACATCCATTGTAAAGGGATACATATACATTACCAAACATCATCAGGTACACAAATGTTATTTCTACTCCTAGTAACACTAGCAAAGAACTTGACAGTTCACAAAGTATTTTATGCATTTTCTCCTTCATTCTTTGTATCTTCAAAACAATCTTACAAGGCAGGAAAAGGGGAGGTGCGATTATCCTCATGTTACGGATGCAAAAACTGAAGTTCAGACAGATGGAGTGACTTGCCCAAATTAATTAGAGGAAGAAATGAGAGATGAACTCTAGATTTCTAACATCAAATCCAGTGATATTTCTACTTCAACAAATGTAACCCCCACCCTTTCCCTCTCTTTCCCTTATCTTGCCTCTACACACATTCACAAATTTCATAATTTATAGTCTCAGTGGATTTTCTCCCATGAGCCTAGCAAATTCTAACATTCAAGGAGTGTTCTTTATTCTAAATGATATGTTTTAAAAATATATGTGTGTGAAATATAACACACATATACCAAAGAGTATAGAATAGAAATGCAAAGTTAATGAATTATCATAAAGCAAATACCTATAACACTTTCACCTCATCAAGAAAACAGGATATTGTCCAAATCCCAGAAGTAATGTCTTTTGTCCTTTTTTTAATCAAATTATTTGTTGTTTTGTTTTTTAGGGTTTTTTTGTTTGTTGTTCAGCTATTTGAGTTCCTTATATATTCTGGATATTAGCCCCTTGTCAGATGCATAGTTTACAAATATTTTCTCCCATTCTGTAGATTGTGTTTTCACTCTGTTGATTGTTTATTTTATTGTACAGAAGCTTTTTGATTTGATGTAATCCCATTTGTCTATTTTTACTCTCGTTGTCTGTGCTTTTGAGGTCTTATCCAAAACATCCCTGTCCAGTCCAATGTCATGAGCACTTCCTTTATGTTTTCTTCTGGTAGCTTCATAGTTTCAGGTCTTATATTTAAGTCTTTAATCCATTTCAAGTTAAGTTTTGAATATGTTAAAAGATAGGGGTCTAGTTTCATTCTTCTGCATGTGGATATCCAATTTTCCTATCACCATTTATTGAAAAGACTCTTACTTGTTCAATGTGTGTTCCTGGCACTTTTGTCAAATATCAGTTGTCTGTTGATTTGTGGATTTATTTCCGGACTCTCTATTCTGTTCCATTGATCTATGTGTCTGTTTTCACGCTAATATCATGCTGTTTTGATTACTATAGCTTTTTAGTACATTTTGAAGTCAGATAGTGTGATACCTCCAGCTTTGTCTTTGGTTTGGGGCCTTTTGGTCTTTTCCTCAAGATTGCTTTGGCCATTCAGGGTGCTTTGTGGTCCTATATGAATTTTAGGACTGTTCCTTCTCTTTCTGTCAAAATAACATCATTGGTATTTTAATAGGGATTGCACTGAATCTGTAAGTTGCATTCAGTAGGATGGACATTTGAACCATATTAATTCTTCCAATTCATGAGCAAAGGATGATATATTCAGTGCTGAACGAAAATAAAAACCGCTGTCCAAGAATACTATACCCAGCAAAGCTATCCTTCAGAAATGTAAGAAAAATAAAGTCCCTTCCAGACAAGCAAAAACTAAGGGAATTCACTGCTACTAGGCCAGCCTTACAAGAAATCCCTAACGAAATGCTGCAACTGAAAGTGAAAGGGTGATAATTACCATCATAAAAACATGTGAAAACTAACTAGTAGAGGTAAATTCAAAATTGAATTCAGAATATCTCAATTCTGTAATGGTGCTATGTAAATCTTTCAAGCCTCTAGTAATAAGTTTAAAGGTCAAAATGGTCAAAAATAACTACAGACACAATTGGTTATTAAAGAACACACAACGTATAATGATGTGAATTAAGGCAACAAAAGTATAAACTGTTAGGAGGAGGATAAAAGTCTAGAGTATTTTTATGTGACCAAAGTTAAATTGTAATCAGCTTAAAATAGTCTATTATAACTATAAAAGTCTTTATGTTAGCCTCATGGTAGCCTCAATGATAGAAATTGCAGTAGATACACAAATAAAAAGAAAAAGGAATCCAAACTTACGACTACAGAAAACCACCAAACCACAAAAGTAAACAAGAGAGAAAGAAAGAAACAAAGGATCTGGAAAACAACCAGAATACAATTAACAAAATGTCAGGAGTCATGTTCTTACCGATCAATAATAACCTTGAATGTAAATGGATTAAATTATCTATTTCAAAGACATATAGTGGCAAACTGGATTAAAAGAAAAAACAAGAACCTACTATGTGCTGCCTAAAAGAGACTCACTTTACTCACAGACTCACAGTAGGTCCAGTAAGGATACATATACATGGAAAGTGAAGAGATGAAAAAAAGATATTCCATGCAAATGGAAAACAAAAGCAAGCAGGAATGGTTGCACTTACATCAGAAAAAAATAGACTTTAAGTTAAAAGTTATAAGAAGAGACAAAGAAGGTCATTATATAATGATCACTAGATTGTTGAATTCCGTTGTTGAATTCTCAATTGCATTTATTTCATTCATTGAATTCTTAAACTCAGACTTCTCTTGGGTTCTTCTTTATAATGTATATCTCTGTTGAATTTCTTATTCAGAAATGTAAGAAAAATAAAGTCCCTTCCAGACAAGCAAAAACTAAGGGAATTCATTGCTACTAGACCAGCCTTACAAGAAATCCCTAAGGAATTTTTTTTCATAAATTGTTTTTCTGATTTCATTACATTATTTGCTTGTATTCTCTTGTATCTAGTTGGGTTTCTTTAAGATCATTATTTTGGATTCCATTTCAGGCATTTAGTAAATCTTATTTTCTTTGAGGTTTGTTACTGGAGAATTATTGTGCTCCTTTGAGGTGTCATGTTTCCTGTTTTTAAATGTTTCTTATGTCCCTATGTTGATAGCTGCACATCTGATGCAACAGTCACCTCTTCTAATTTTGTGAAGTAGCTTTCATAGAGAGAGACTTTTTCTGTAGATGTATCCTAGCATGTCAGTTGGATAGGGTATGTTGGCTTTGGTTCTAGATAGAGACAGAAGTGTAGTCTTCATGCAGTGTCTTCAGCTACAATCCACATCTGCAATATCTTTGAGTGTTTCACTGGCCTAGGCTGCAAGAGTTTGTACTGGCAGTGGCATGGCTTTGCAGGATGCTGGGCTACCAGGTTGGTTCTCAGGCCAAGGGTGTGTGTGCACACACAGTAGGTCCAATCGAAAAGGGGTGTGGTCTTGCCAGGGGCAGGGCTACTGAGCTGGTTCTCAGGCTGAGGGTGAGTATATACACCCTTATGGGTATGAGGGTGAGCAGAGTAGATCTGCTAGCTAGGGGAAGCTTCCCTGGTTATGCAGGACTGCCTGTCCATACAGGAAGCAGGGCACCATGTGCCTTTGGGAACAGTAATTTCACAGGGCCCATACTCTAAGTAACCAGGATTGTGAAGTTGTAGCCACCTGTATGAACATGGTGGAATAATGGGAAAGCCTTGGGGATGGAGAGATGCAGGGGCTACTGGCCCCCAGAACAGGACTCACTCTAGCAGTAGCTATAATTCCAAGATAGTGCCATGACATAGCTCGTAGGTCATAGGGGATAAGGGTGTGCAATAGGTAGTTTCCTGCACTGGAGCAATGTAGCCATGAGAACCCCAGGCTGCTCCCCAAACTGGGCTCAGGGCCTGTGAGGGCTGCAGGTTTCTTCTGTAGCAAGAATTGCAGGTGTCTGTGGTAATAATGAAGGTTGCAGGGGCCTTCTGCTTACCTTTTCCCTGCAAGGAGAAGTTTCTCTTGGCGCCAAGTCAACCTTGGTGGGGAAAACAGAGTGACAGAGAAAGGGTGATTTCCTCCCCTCTCTATGCTGCCATCCTGGGTTTCCGTGCTCCGCAGAGATTCCATCATTTCTATGCTGTACTCTAGCGCCCTCCTTCAGACACACTAGTCAAAATGTAGCTATTAATTTTATATTTTGGCCCTTTTGTAGGGGAATTAGTGCTAGGAACCCCTAGTCAGCAATTTTGTTGACATACTAATAATCTCTATCTTTATAATATATTTTAATACTTACAAGGAAATGACTCTCTCTTTTTTCTTCTATTCAATTTTTTTCTTGGCTCTTTCCAGCATTTTTGACAGAAATTTTAGAAATGTTTTGACAAGTTTTAGGATATTCAGTAATTTAATTGGTGTTATATTAAACTTGTATATTAATCTAGGAGAAATAACATTTTTAATACTGAGTGTTTCTATTTAGGAACATCTTTTGAAATTTCACTAAAACACATATTATTTTATGTTCCACCTATAAAATGATAAAATGTTGCATTTCTAATCATGTAGGCAACTCTTCCTTCTTACTATTTTGTTTCTTGTATTGCAATTGTGAATGCTGTCTTCCCTGGTTACATAATATGTGCTATTTCAGGCATGTAAAAATGCTATTAGCTTTGAATGTTTATCTTGTATTAAAATAACATTAATAAGCAAATGCTAGTCATTTTTTTACTTAATTTTCTTAAAATTTCTAAGTAGAAACCAATAGATCATGTTTTAAAAATTATGTTTGTCTTCCTCCCTCCAAGACTTCCAAAACTCCTTCTCTTGCCTTTTAATTGTCTCAATACATTGGCTAGAATTTCCAAAGACAGGAGTAGGGGAAGAAAGTCAACTAAGAGAGAGAAAACAGCCAAATGTGTCTTTTAAGACTAGTCACATAATGAGTAATGTGTAGACAATTATCCTTTTTATGGGTATTATTATTTCCTTGAAAGTTTAAAAGAATTCTCCTAAAAACATATGGGACTAGAGGCATTTAAACAGATTTTATCTTTTACCATTTGTTGTTTTATATAAACTTTCCCACGTTTCTAATTATTTTATATTTGGGTGTCTCTGCATTTAGGGGATTAGATTTGCTGGAAGTTTATCTTTCTCCCCAACTCCCACCTCAACTCTTCTGCCCTTAACCAACTTTGGGACAGATTCAGTTAGTTTATTTTCCTTTAATAAATTCATTATTTTCTACTTTTATTCTAGTTGTTCAATTGGTCTTCTTATAGAGTCAAATGGTTAGTTGCATATTTTAATTATTTCCACACTTACTAATAATAATGTTATTTAAAGATATAAACTCGTTTAGAGTACAGCATTGGTCATATGCCATGAAATTTGATATGAAGTATTCTCACTATCATTATTTTCTAAATATTCTTTAACTATGGCTTTGGTTCTCTAAAAAAAAAAAACGCAAATAATTGAGATGGATTTTTTGTCTACATTTTTAAATTTTTTTTTAGTTTTAATTGACAAATAATAATTACATATATTTATGGGTACAATGTGATGTTCTGATACATGTTTATATTGTAGAATAATTAAATCAAGCTAATTAACAAATTCATCACTTCACATACTTAATGAATGTGATTATTTTATTGTTTTGGTTTAGATACAAATTTTTACACTTACTGCATCATGATTATACCCCATGATCTGTACAATTTCCTCTTTTGGACTCTGGGTTTTTCATAGATGTTTCTGAGAGTGATCTATGTATTAGACACATTACTTTTGCTAGATTACTCGAACCATGTAGACTCTTACTTTTCTAGCAAATTTCTCAAAGCAAGAGTATGTTAAAACCTCCCCCTACAACTGAAACAATTGTGTTGTTTTATTGTATTGTATTTCTGAGACTTTTAGCATTATATATTTTGATACACTACTATTTGACACTTAAAAGTTTCTATTTTGGGAGGTGTTGAGATTTTTGTCTAATTTGCTTTTTCTTCAGATGTAATACAGCATATTTATTTTACTAGTGATTTTTTTTTTTTTTTTTTTTTTTTTTTTTTTTTTTGGAGTCAGAGTCTCGCTCTCTCGCCCAGCCTGGAGTGCAGTGGCACAATCTCGGCTCCCTGCAAGCTCCGCCTCCCGGGTTCACGCCATTCTCCTGCCTCAGCCTCCCGAGTAGCTGGGACTACAGGTGCCCGCCACCACGCCTGGCCAATTTTTTGTATTTTTTAGTAGAGACGGGGTTTCACCGTGTTAGGCAGGATGATCTCGATCTCCTGACCTCGTGATCTGCCCGCTTCGGCCTCCCAAAGTGTTGGGATTACAGGCTTGAGCCACCGCACCCGGCCACTAGTGATTATTTTTTAATTTAAAAAAATAATTTGACCCCTTTTTATCTACTTAGATCACAAACTGAGGCAATGCTTATTGATGCTTTTCCATGCAGATTAAGGAATGTAACATAATATTTTTTTCACTCCTTTCATATACCTTGCATTGTGAGGTAATACAATCCAGAACTCCTGGTCAACATTATTTAATAGTAGTTTTATAGTATACTACATATTGTCTGAAGAATTATTTGCATCTTCATTGCCTTTGCATAAACAGATTTATAATAATCATTTTGGGCCCAGAGTTCTCACTGACAGACTTCTCTGCCACCACAACTTTTCCAAGCTTCAGCTCTCTGGTGTTTTATTTTGATTCCTCTCCCCATGAGCTCAGGTATATCAAAAGTTGGAAACTGGGTGTGTCTGGGATTTATCTTCATCCTTAACATTCAAATATTCACCAGAATACGCAAACATAATGAGCTCTTCCCCTGGTGATTTCAATGGCTTCAATGATTTTACTCACCAAGCTGTACTTCAATTGAATTATTTTTTGGATAAATGATTTTAGGGACACTTCCTCCATATCCAGCTCTTTCTGCTAAGAAATCATACCCACAGGAAATTAATTAGAATCACATATGATACATTCCCAAGTACTTTGATGCAATAGTATGAAGCCCAACACAGCAGACCATCAATAAGCTCTGGTCAAAATCTCACTCCATAAATACACATTTTTAACCGGAAGGAACTGAATTGCCAAAAAAGAAAAAACAATAAGCTAGAAGCTGACCTATAAAAAGAGTCCACTTTGGCCATTATATTTTGATATAAACCATAAACTATATTGTTTGTAATGTAAACTAGTAAGCTTGTATAATAAAATCTCATTACTTAGTAATCCAAAGACACTTTTCAGGCAGTGGCTATAATAAGCAAAGGCCTGGCTTAGGTGCTAGCTTGAGAGAAATAGTAACCCTCTTATTTCACCTTCAGAAAATTTCCTCATGCAATTCCTGTTCCATGGCAACCATTACTGTTTTCTATTTCTACAGTTTTGTCCTTTTAAGAATGTTATAGAGATGGAAAAACACATAATATCATGTTTTTGAATTACTTTAAAATAACCTTGGGAACTGGTGGGAGTGAGTAGAGGTAAAGATGAAAAAAATCTAACCAGAAGTTGATAATTGTCAAAGTTGGGTGAGGGATCTGTGAAGGTTCATCACATCTTCAGTTTTGCTCTTCCTCCTCCAACTCTGCATTTCCATATTCTTTTATATCCCATCCTCTTCTATTATTCTTCCAACTTTTCATCCTACCACTAAGCTTTAGCATTGTCTCCCTGTATTGACTCCCTGGACTCCCTGCTCCTGAGTCTTTCTGTACTTCTTCCCTCTCCCATTTGTCTACCAAAATTTAGCGATCACCTACTTAGTTCCATTATTCCTCCTATATATTTGGAGTGGGATATGGAAAAGTTGCAAGAGAGAAGCTAAGAAAAACGCAAAAACACATACATTTTATGATGGCAATAATAATTGTGCATTCCACACACTGTTTAAATGCAGCATGTCCCAAACAAAAGTTATCCCCAGCTAGTTAATGTACCATCACCCACTAGATCGCACACATGTAAAATCCAGAAGCCATTCTGGGCAACAGCTTTTCTTTCACCTTCTTCAATCTATCAATCACCAAATTCAACTACTTTTACCTCCTCATTTCTCAGTCTGGCTTTTTCTTTACTCCTAAGCCTTCTATTTTCCATTCTTTTCCTAAGCAATCTCATTCACACCCACTTCTTCAAATATCATTTCAAGGCCAATGACTTTGAAAGTCATGTCTCCAGTCCTTCCTCTAAGCTCCACACCCATACAGGCCATGACCTACTCTGCACCTCCACAATCCAAAGGCACCTCATCCTCAACGTAGCAATGACCAAACTCATGGTCTCACCCCTAAATCTGGTTTTCCTCCAGAGCCATTTTATTTCACTGAATAGCATCACCATCCAGTCAACAGTGCATGTCAAAAAGCCTGGTTAACTTTTTTGACCTTGCCATATTTCTCCCCATATTCAGTCCAACACTAAACCTTGTAGGTTTTACCTCTTAACATGCCTTGACCCCATCCACATCTCTCCATCTTCAATGACACCATGTTACCTGTGCCTTCATGCCTTACCTGAACTTCTACACCTGCACTTCGGATCCACCCTAGAATAGATCATTCTGTGCACAGCAGCCAGTCTGCTGTTTCAGAAGTGAAAATCAACCCACACTACTCTCCTGCTTTCAATCTGTCTGGCTGCTTGTCATTGTTCTTAGAATAAAATTCATGCTATTTACTCTGAATTGCTGGTTCCTACATGATCTTGGCTCCTGACTACTTACCCAGCCTCATCACCTACCATAATTTCTCTCATTCAGGATCACACTAGCCCTGCTTTCCACTCCTCAGACATTCCGAGTTCCCTGTTGTGCTAGGGTCTTCACATTTGCTACTTCCTCAGTCTAGAAAATATCTCCCCAACTCCGTCATCCACATAATGCTTCCTGACCATCAGCATCACTATTATCAGAAAGCTCTCCCTGAGCCACTGCCTTCTCACCAGGCCCTGGTCTGTTTGATCTCAGGTTTTTCCCTTCCTTCATTGCTTTCATCTTCCCTATAATTACACATCTTATTAGTGAATTATCTGATTAATCTCTGCCTTCCTTCCTCTCAGCCTTCAAGCTTCATCAGAGCAGTGGTGGTGGCTGTTTTCTTCACCACAATGTTCTCTCTGCCTGGCACAGAATATAGCTTTGTTCAGTACTCAGCAAAGAGTCCTTAAATGATTGCTTGAAGAAGAGCTCTCCCATGGCCTCTTCCCAAATTGAGACTATCAGTGCTCTTTTGGATATTTTATCAGCCTCCCAAGTGGTCTCCAAGCTGCAAGGCCCTCGCCAACTCTGGCTTCAAACCATCTCAAAACTGACATCTCCCATCACAAATGCAGCCCAATGACTCTGCATTTGCACTGTCCCAGGGCCCTTCAATGGCTGCGTGGTAAAGCCTATGCATATGCAGCCACCTGGACCTTGCCCCCGTTTAACTCCATGGCCTCAGCTCCCACCCTCCCCACCCCGTATTCACATAGGCTCTAATGAAAGTCATTTTAGATCCAACATAAACATAATGCTTAATACTTCCATGCTTTGTCCTATACTGTTCCCTCTGTTCTCTCTGCCTAGAGACTCCCTTCTCGCCCTCCTTTACTTTTGTGAATCCTACTCATTCTTCGAAATTCAGCTGAGAACTTCTTTCCTCTTGGAAGCCTTCCCAGACCATTTGCTTGCCACACATGGACCCTTCTTATTCTTCTCCTGCTCCGCAAACACTGTCTGTGACTCTACCTTGAGCACATGATGTTAAAATGATCCATTTAACCCCTAGATTCACCACCACCAGGCTGATAGTTTCATAGTAGCAGAAACAACGCTTTTCATTTTTGAATTATCAGGACCTACCATAATACTGGCATATAACAGATCATAAATAAATGTTTATTGAACATGAGGTAGTGACTACTGAACCCAGTTACTTCTTAAGGGATTCTTCATTTTACCTGAGCAATTTCACCTTTCGAAATTTCCCTTCAGTTACCAATGTAAAGTTAATGCATTATAGAAGTCAGTCATTCGCTTAATTAATAGATCTGTGCTTAATCTAGGCCAGGCACTGGGCTCAGTGCCAGGGATTCCACTGTGAACAAGATGAGGAAGGTGCTTTCTTTCAGAGAGATAATGGTCAGCAGAAAACCCAAGAGCATTAAAATAAAAATAAAAATAAACCTTGTACAATTAATTTTCTTAATTACTGCGCTTTTAGCAAGAACAGTTAAAATTGAAAACCACCCAAAAATATTTAAATCAAAGGAGCAGTTGCAGCAAAGAACATGGAAGGACTAGAATGGGCTCTCTACAAGAACAGCTGGAATGCAGGGAGTCACTGGACTGTACAGAATAAAGAGCCCTGTCCTGCAAAGGCAGCACCCAACCATGCTGGCTCCCATCCATGCTGAACAGACCCCCTAGGGATCCACAGCATCCGGAAATAGCTCCGTCTCCCCCAGTACTCTGAAGTGTGTTGGAAACCAGTGACAAATAGGAAGCTCTACATCAAAGAAGTATCCAGCCTTTGGTTCTTCTCATCTAGATGAGTAAATATAGAAAACAACTTTCTACTAAAGAAAGAGCAAAAGCCGCTACAGCAGGAACTCCTTGTCCAATGTGTTTGGAAAAACCAATGCTGGCCTGGGCACTGAATGCCAGCGCTCTGGCTCTGTTTCTGACAATAACCAGCTTTGCGACCTTCGGTACGTTGCTTCTCTCCTGCAACTCTGTAAAATGTATAGTTTGGGGAGAGAATGTGGAGCAAGATAGCAGAATAGAAGAATCCGCCAATTGTCTCCCCTACAAGGACACCAACTTAACAACTATCTACGCAGAAGAAACACCTTCATAAGAACCAAAAATCACTCATAGTATCTGGTTTTAACTCGGTATCACAGAAAAGGACACTAATGAGATAGAAAAAACAGTCCTCAATTGCCAATGCCACCCTCGCCAACCCCCCACAGTGGCAGCATGGTACTGAGAGTGTCTCTGTTTGCTGGGGAAGAAAGAACACAGCAATTGTGAGGCACTGAACGCAGTGCCGTCTTGTTAGAACAGAACAGAAAACCGGACCAAACTCAGCTGCCACCGGCCCATGGAGGGAGCATTTAAACTAGCCCGAGACAGAAGAGAATTGCCGATCCCAGTGATCAGAACTTGACCTTCCAGAAATCTTACCACCAAAGGCTAAAGTGCTCTGGGTCTCTAACTAAACTTGAGAGGCAGTCTGGACTGCAACTCTTAGGTGAAATCCTAGTGCTGCCCAGAGACCGTGTACTGGAGTGGGGCATACAATATACCTCAGTAATCCCATCTAGGACAGCCAAGGGAGTGTGGGCATCACCCCTCTTTATCATCCCAGACTGCACAGCTTATAGCTCTAAAAGAGATGCTTTCCTTCTGCTTAAGGACAGGAGAGGGAAGAGTAGAGAGGACTTCATCTTGCATCTTGGATACCAGCTCAGCCACAGCAAGAGAAGACAATGATCAGAGTTATGAGGCCCCTGTTCCAGGCCTCCCAGACAACATTTACAGACATACCATGGGCCAGAAGGGGACCCGCTGCCTTGAAGGAAAGGATTCAGTCCTTGCAGCACTCATCACCTGCTCACTGAAGAGCCCTTGTGCCATGAGCAATCAGTAGCAATTATCCAGGTACTACGGTGAATGCCTTGGGTGAGCGTCTGAAACTTGCTGGCTTCAGGTGAGACTCAGCACATGACCAGCTGCAGTGATTATAGGGCAAAACTCCTTTTGCTTGAGAAAAGCAGAGGGAAAAGTTTGTCTTGCACTTTAGGTACTAGCATAGCCACAGGGGAGGGCAGATCATGAAACAGGCTCTTGAGGTCCCCGATTCTAGGACTTGAATCTTGCCTGGCACTTCTGCACATGCTCTGGGCCAAAAGGGAGCCCAATGCCCTGAAGAGTGAGTCCCAGGAAGGCAGCATTGGCCACAAGCTGACTTAAGAGCTCTTGGACCTTAAGAGAACATCTGCGGTAATCTGGCAGGACTCCTTGTGGCCGGTTGTGGCGGTGGCTATGGATGGTGAGGCTCATCTGCCTTAGGAAAGGGGAGGGAAGAGTGGGAAGAACTACGTCTTGTGGTTTGACTGCCAGCTCAGCTGCAGCACAAAAAAAACACTTGGTAGACTTCTAAGGTTTACTCTAATCCCTGACTCCCAGACGGCACCTCTGGATCCTCCCAGGGCCTGAGAGACCTCACCAATGGCAATCAGCCCTGATGGAAGGGACACAGGCCCGGCTGGCTTTGCCACCAGCTGATTGTAGAGCACCAGGGCCTAAAGCAAACATAAGCAGTAGCCAGGGAGTGGGTAAAGCAGGCCTTGGGCAAGACCCAGTGCTGTGCTGGCTTCAGGTCTGACCCAGCAGTCATAGTGGTCATGGCCACAGGGGTGCTTATGTCACTCCACCCTCAGCTTTAGGTGACTCAGAACAGACAGACAGACTCTGTTTGGGAGAAAGTAAGGGAAGAGAACAAGTCTCTGCCTGATATCCAGAGAATTATCCCAGATATTGTCCAAGATCATCAAGGTGGTACCTCTACAAGTCTGCAAGAACCACAACATTACTGGGCTTAGGGTGCCCCCTAAAGCAGATACAGCTTAGATCAAAACACTCAAATCCTTTTGAAGGCCTTCCCAAGAAGGACAAGTACAAATAAGCCCAGACAGTGAAGACTACAGTAAATACCTAACTTTTCAATGCCCAGACACTGAAGAACATCTACTAGCATCAACACCATCCAGGAAAACATGACCTCCTCAAATGAATTAAATAAGGCACCAGGGGCCAATCCTGGAGAAACAGAGACATGTGATCTTTTAGTCAGAGAATTCAAAATAGCTGTGTTGAGGAAATGCAAAGAAATTCAAGATAACATAGAAAAGGAATTCAGAATTCTATCAGATAAATATAACAAGGAGATTGAAATAATGTTTTTTTAATCAAGCAAAAATTCTGGAAATGAAAAAAACGCAACTGCCATATTGAAGAATGCATCAGAGTCCTTTAATAGGAGAATGTATCAGGCAGAAGAAAGAATTAGCAGGCTGGAAGACAGGCTATCTGAAAATAAACAATCAAAGGAGACAAAAGAAAACAGAATAAAAAACAATGAAGCATGCAAACAGGATCTAGAAAATAGCCTCAAAAGGGCAAATCTAAGAGTTATTGGCCTTAAAGAGGAGGTAGAGAAACAGAAAAGAGCAGAAAGTTTATTCTAAGGGATAACAGAGAACTTCCCAAACCTAGAGAAATATATCAGTCCCCAAATACAAGAAGGTTATAGAACACCCAGCAGATTTAATCCAAAGGAGACTACCTAAAGGCATTTAATAATCATACCGCGAAAGGTCAAGGACAAAGAAAGGGTTCTAAAAGCAGCAAGAGAAAAGGAACAAATAATATACAATAGAGCTCTAACACATCTAGCAGCAGACTTTTCAGTGGAAACCTTATACGCCAGGAGGGAGTGGCATGACACATTATAAAAACGTTTACCCTAGAATAATATATCCACAAAAATAACCTTCAAACATGAAGAAGAAATAGACTCTCCCAGACAAACAAAAGCTGAAGGATTTCATTCGCTGACCTGTCCTACAAGAAATGTTAAAGGGACTACTCCAATCAGAAAGAAAAGGACATTAATGAGCAATAACTAATCACCAGAAGGTACAAAACTCACTGGTTATAATAAGTACACAGAAAAACACAGAATATTTTAACACTGTAACTGTGGTGTGAAACTGTTCTTATCCTTGAAAGACTGAATAATGAACCAATCAAAAATAATAACTACAACAACTTTTCAAGGTGTAGTCAGTACAATAAGATATAAATAGAAGCAACAAGAAGTTAAAAAGCAGGGGAATAAAGTTCAGGTGTAGAATTTTTATTAGTTTTCTTTTTGCTTTTTTGTTTATGCAAACAATATTAAGTTGTTATCAGGTTAAAATAATGGGTTATAAAATAGTATTTTCAAGCCTCGTGGAAACCTCAAACCAGAAAACATACAATAGAGACATAAAAAAATAAAAAGCAAGAAACCAAATCATATCATCAGACAAAATCACCTTCACTAAAAGAAGACAGGAAGGAAAGAAAGGAGGAAGAGAAGATCACAAAACAAGCAGAAAACAAATAGCAAAATGACAGGAGTAAGTTCTTACCTATTAATAATAACATTAAGTGTAAATGGACTAAACTCTCCAATAAAGAGGCATAGAATGGCTGAATGAATGAAAAAACAAGACCCATTGATTGTTTCCACACTTCACCAATAAAGACACACATAGACCGAAAACAAAGGGATGGAAAAAGATATTCCATGCCAATCGAAAACAAAAAAAGAGCAGTAGTAGTTATACTTAGGGAAAACAGATTTCAAGACAACAACTATAAAAAAAGACAAAGAAGGTCACTATGTAATGATAAAAAGGTCAACACCCAACACTGAATCACCCAGATATAAAAACAAATATTATTGGAGCTAAAGAAAGAGATAGGCTCCAATACAGTAACAGCTAGAGACTTCAATATCCCACTTTCCGCATTGGACAGATCTTCTAGACAGAAAATCAACAAAGAAACATTGGACTTAATCTGCACTATAGACCAAATGGATCTAATAGATCCATTCACGGAACATTTCACCCAATGGCTATAGAATACATATTCTTTTCCTCAGCACATGGATCATTCTCAAGGACAGACTATATGTTAGGTCATAAAACAAGTCTTAAGACACTGAAAAAACTGGAAAAATATCAAGCATCTTCTCTGACCACAATGGAATAAAACTAGAAATTAATAACAAGAAGAATTTTGGAAACTATGCAAACATATAGAAATTAAACAGTATGCTTCTGAATGACCAGTGGGTCAATGAAGAAATCAAGAAGGAAATTGAAAAATTTCTTGAAACAAATAATGGAAACACAACATACTAAAACATATGGGATACAGCAAAAGCAGTACTCAGAGAAAAGTTTATAGCTATAAGTGCCTACATCAAAAAAAGAATGTGCCTACATTCAAATAAACAGTCTAATGGTGTATCTTAAAGAACTAGAAAAGCAAGAGCAAACCAGGCCCAAAATCAGTAGAAGAAATAAATTAAATCAAAATGAAAAAAACACAGATCAATGAAACAAAAAGTTGGTTCTCTGAAAAGGGAAACAAAATTGACAAACCTTTAGCCAGACTAAGAAAAAAAGAGAAGAGATACAAATAAATAAAATCAGGAATGAATAAGGAGACACGACAACTGTTATTGCAGAAATCCAAAAGATTATTAATGGCTACTATGAGCAACTACATGCCAATGAATTGGAAAATCTAGAAGAAATGGACAAATCTCTAGACAAATACAATCTATCAAGATTGAACCGGGAAGAAATCCAAAACCTAAACAGATCAATAACAAGTAACAATATAAAAATTTTAATAAAGTCTCTTTATTAAAGAGAAAGAAGTCTCTTTATTAAAGAAAAGCCTGAGACTCAATGGCTTCACCACCAAATTCTACCAAACATTTAGAGAAGAACTAATACCAATCCTACTCAAACTGTTCAAAACAATAGAGGAGGAGAAGATACTTCCAAATTCATTCTATGAGGCCAGTTATTACCCTGATACCAAAACCAGACAAACACATCCAAAAAAAAAAAAAAAGAGAGAGAGAAAACTATAGGCAAGTATCTCTGATGAATATTGATGCAAAAATCCTCAACAAAGAACTAGCAAACAAAATTCAACAATACATTGGAAAGATCATTCATCATGAGCTAATGGGATTTATCCCTGGGATGCAAGGATGGTTTGACATTTGCAAATCAATCAATGTAATACATCACATCAACAAAATAAAGGATAAAAACCATATGATCATTGCAATTGATGCTGAAAAAGCATTTGATAAAATTCAACAGGCCTTCATGATAAAAACCCTCAAAAAACTGGAAGTAGAAAGAACATGCCTTAACATAATAGCCATAAGTGACAGACTCACAACTAGAATCATACTGAATGGGGAAAAACTGAAAGCCTTTCCTCTAAGTTCTGGAACACAACGAGGATGCCCACTGTCACCACTGTTATTCAACATAGTACTGGAAGTCCTAGCTAGAGAAATCAGATAAGAGAAAGATATAAACAGCATCCAAATTAGGAAAGAAGAATTCAAATGATCATTGTTGGCAAATGATATGATCTTATATTTGGGAAAACCTGAAGACTACACAAGAAAACTATTAGAACTAATAAATTCAGTGAAGTTGCTGGATACAAAATCAGCATACAAAAATCAGTAACATTTCTATATGCCAACAGTGAACAATGTGAAAAGAAATTTTACAAGTAATCCCATTTACAATAGCCACACATAAAACCATATGATCATTCCAAAAATACTAAAATGCATAGGAATTAACCAAAATTAAATACCTGGGAATTAGCCAAAGAAGTGAAAGATCTCTATAATGAAAACCATAAAACACTGATGAAAGAAATTGAAGAGGACACAAAAAATCAACCAAGAGTTTTGAGTGTTCTGTTGTTCAGAAGAGGGAACTAAGCTGCTCATGCCCTTTTGCCTCACTCTTCCCACCTTCTGATTCTAAGAGTGGCACATCTGAGAGCCTACTAGCCTTCAGGGAAACCAAGACCTAGAATCACTTCTGCTCAAATCCCAAAGCCCAAAGCCAGAAGCCAGTTCCCACAAAGCCAAAAGAAGACAAGGCAACAGACATACATAAGCATACTTACTGATGCTCACAGTGATGCCATTTAAAACTTTGTACTGCTTTCCTGAGTGTGTCAGTATGACTTGACACGCGTAGTTCCCTCTGTCCTCTGCTGAGACATTGCTCACCAAAAGCCTGGTTTCCAAAACAGTGAACCGCTCCCCTGTAATCTCGTTACAGTCCTAATACAAATAAAAACAAAATTCAATTCAATGAATACTTAGAAACCTGTGTGATCCCTAGAATTTAGGTAATTTACAATCTAACTGAAAGACAACAGATAGCTAGCTAGCTAGGTAAACAGAAAAATAGGTAGATGACAGATTGGTGATAGACAGACAGACACAGCAGAATTCCTTGCCCAGTCTGTATATAATGTGTATATATATGTGTATGTGTGTATAGATATACAGAGATTTGACAAAGGATATTTTACAGGCTGAAGCGAATGATACAAACATTAAGTCTAGCAGGAGTTGAGAGGAGAGTGGCCTATGTGAGATGGAAGGAAGACTTCATTGAGGAAAACTGAGCCTGGGTCAGTTTTTCACAGGAGGACATGAACAGGCAGGAACGTCCTCCACCTTCAGGGGCCCACGTCTGCCAGTGGACTCCCACTTAATGGCCCAAGTCCCTCTGCCAAGACTGGAAACCCGAGTTCATAATGACTGCTCCCACTGCGGGCCCAATTTCTGCACTTATCAAGCATTGGACTTTATAGAAATCCAAAATAATTCTTCGCCAACATCCCATTTGAAGGTCTGAACAGTGAGCAAAGGAAGCTGGCCAGGTTTATGGAAGGCAGATGTCACATCACTTCTCCCGCTTTCCCCACCTCCTCCATGGACAAGGCAACAACCTCACACCCAACCAACCAGAAGACCAGTGAGTCTCAGGAATGCTTTCTCTCCCAGCAACCACCCAGAGGGCAAGCCTCACCATTCCTCTGTCCTGTCCTAGGCTCACATTCTCATGCTAATCACCACTTCTTTTATACCTTGGGCCCACTTCTGAATTCTCCCACACCTGTTCCCTGTCCTTCAAGAAGCTGCACTCCACAGAGTGACTGCTTAGCTAAGTGGTCCATTTGTTCATTCAAACATTTGAGTTCCTGCAGTTTGCTTGCACTGTGACAGGCCTGGCCATGCAGGACTAACATGTAATCCCTCTCTTCAGGAAGTACACAATCTAAAAGATAAAACCAACATGGAAACCCCTAATTAAATAAAGATTCACCTGCCCAAGTGTTAAGCTCTCTCCTCACTTAGGCACGGTTCAGAGTCACACTTCACTCTCCACCCCTGGAACAGCATGAATAGAGCCGCCCAGCAGGATGCAGTAAATAATTAATGCCAAACAAGCACTGGTTTATTTACAATGTGAAATGCTACTTCCTAGAAGGCTTACATTATTTCCCTGTAAATACCTGATATGGGGAACCAACTCATAATCTGACAACTGCTTATCAAACAAAATGGGAGTTACTAATCAGAGTTAGATGTATAAAGGCATCAGACTCTGATACTGTGGTGTCTCCTTCTTTAGGATACAGACAAGCCCTTTTTTTTTGTTTTTTTTTTGTTGTTGTTGCTTTTTTTTTTTGTGAGACAGAGTCTTAGCTCTGTCGCCCACTTCCTGAGCTCAGGGGATCCTCCCACTCCAGTCTCCTGAATAGCTGAGACTATAGGTATGCATCACCACACCCTAATTTTTTGTTATTTTAGTACAGAGAAGGTTTCACCATGAAGCCTAGGCCGGTCTCAAACACCTGGGCTCAAGGAGTCTGCCCGCCTCAGCCTTCCAAAGTGTAGGATTACAGGCGTAAACCACTGCACTCAGCCCGAACAAAGCACAAAGTCTAGTCCTGGCACTTCATAAGCCTCTTCCCTGGACAGTCTTCCCTGGATAGTCTCTGGCTAGGTATAATCTCGGGGCCTCCCTTTCTGTGCTTTCACAGTCCTCTTTCTGAAGGATGCATTTTTTCTTTCAAGATATACATATTTTAATCATCTTAAAGTTCAGCCTTGCAGCTGAAGGCCATTCTGTCGCTTTGCTATAACTTGAACTGCCTCTATTCTGATCCACTGGAGCATTATTTCAAAGGTTAAACTCTCAACAAGCTTGGATTTAAATTTAAAATCTTTAGGGTAATGTCTCACTAACAAGATTTAAAATTAAAATCTTAAGAACAACAGTGTCCACTTTTGAATACCTTATATATTCCAGGCATCGTGAAGAAAACTCCTGACCCGGGACGTACAATATTTCAGAAACACAAAATAACCTGAGAATTCTTACTAAGATGCAATGAGTATGAAGAGTGATGGAGATAAAACTGGTGAGGTAGTCAGGAGCCCTGTCACAGAAAACCATGAAAAGGAGACGAGCATCAGAAGCCTTCAGAGCAAGAGAATAAGACAATCAGATTTTCTTTTGAGAAACATCCTTTAGTTGCTGTGTAGTTTAAAGGATTAAAATAATGCAATGCTAAAGACCATTTAGATCTTATTTCCATAAACTGAGGTCAAATGGAACCTAAACTAAAGCAGGGAAGTGAGAATAGCAAGTAAAAAACAAAAAACAATGATTTTAAGCAGTTCCAGTCCACTGAATGTAGTGACAAATGTGGGATACGCAGAGGGAGCGGGACTTCCACAGTCCTAGCTTGGGTATGCAAAGGTGTTACTAGGAAGAAGAAAGAATGCAAAGAAATGGAGAAAATGGTTCTATTTGGGGTAAGATTAAAAAACAGCTCTAACCGTGGTGCATGAGATGAGTGGTGGGGATGGGAGGGTCTAAGGAGAATGTATATTACACGGTTGGACAAAGGAAACCAGAGGGTGGAAGAAAGGTCCAAGTGGAAGAGAACTGGGAGTCATACGGAGAATACAGAGTGAAATGGATGGTTCTATAAATCATCCACTTGAATGTAAGCAAAAGTGAGCGCAGAAGATGACCACGGCTGAAACTATGGGGAACCTCAAATCCTAAGACCCAACTATAGAGGAAAAAAACTCAGTGATGATTACAAAGGATGCGCCAGAAAAAATAAAAATAATAATTAAAAAAAAGATAAACAGAGACAAAGAATGAGTAAGTCTTGGAAGAAAATGAGAAAGGAGTTTCCAGCTGATGGGAGTGCCCAGCAATGTTGAATGCCACAATCAGGTTGAAAATGAATGTCACTTTAGCAACTGGAGAGCCTGAAGTAACTTTAGCAAGTCCAGATTGAGCACAGTGATGGGGCCCCAAACCACTGTGCTGAGGAGTAATTTGGGATTGAAACGAAAACAAAACTGGAGACATTACCACTTTTCCAGGTGCAGACAGATGTCTTAATACCCTAACCTTGTCCTCTGTCAGCTCTTCAATTTCAAAGACTTCCTGGGGACTTCTCTCAGTTTTCAATTCTCCCAGACATAAGCCAGGATTATCATAGGGATTTGCCATTATCCAGAACCATTATCCATCACTTCAATCACTTCAATCATTTCCTTTCCAATACCTCAACTCTGTAGCCCTCCATCCTTCCAGCATCTTCACCTGCAAAGCCCCCATTCTGATGAATCCCTTCATCCCTCTCCTACACACCTCCAACCAGAGAGCAGAGCACTATAGGAGCTAATCACATATACAGGCGTCTTGGTACCACTACAAATTCATGGTCTTCACCTTAGCAACTCTTTGCATCTCCATCTATTTACCTACATTACTCTTTCAAATTTTCCCCATAACATATCCTTACAATTATAAAAATTAGGAGCCCTCAGACATGAGTTCCCCCACTTCCTCTCCTACTCCTTTTCCCTCATTGTATCAGTTCTACTTTAGAACTTTCTGAAATGAACCACACTTCTTAACTTGATTTCTAGGATAGTCCAAATGATCAGCATGCCACCATTCTCAAGGCCTTCCAGTGGATTCACTACAGCCCCTATGGAAGGACTTTTCTCAAATGCGAATTTGCTCATGCCATTCTCCAGATGGTAGGATTCACTGTTGAAATGCTTTAGGTTGGCATAAACAGTGTTTATTTTCTAGCACCATCTTTCTACATGTGCCCTAAACTCTAACCAGGGCCCCCAAACACCATTCTCTTTCTCACCCAACACCTTTGCACCTGCTGCTTCCCTCTAATTACTGACCTTCCTTGCTGTACCCACCAGGCTAACTGTGGTCACTCTTCAAGCACAGTTCAAAGTCACCTTTTCTGGGAAGCATAGCCACGGACATTCCCAGGGTCTGCTCTGATTTCGCTTTCTGTATGTTCACCTCATGCTGTAATAAAATTCGTAGTTTACTTGTCTGCTTCCTCTGATAAATTGTAACTTCTTTGAAGACATATGACATCCCTTGGCACAGCACCAAGAAGATCACAGATTCCAAATACTTGAAGAATTGATTCCAACCCTCTGGTTTTATAGATGACAACACTGAGGCCCAAAGAGTGAGTCCAGGTCTGAGCACCTGGTAGTGGCAAAAACAGCCACACCTGGGTCACCAAAACTGAGCAGGTGGTATAGTATCAGGTGACCCCTCCCGCTTACACTGCTGGCCCCCAGCTTTTGCCTACTTTTGCAAGCCCAGGGGTTGTTTTTAAAATAAAGGCATCTAAGCCCCACCCATGGGTGACCTGCTTCAGTTAGTAGAGGGTGAGGCTGAATATCTGGATTTTTAAAAGGTCCAGAGGATCAACTCTGATATTTACTTAGGATTGCTAGTCACAGCTCTGAGGCCATCTCCAAGTGCTGCAGAAACAGAAGTTAGAATAACCAAGGCAACATTTCAGATAAAGGAAAAGCAGAGGACTTATACAAAACTTAAAGACTTATCTAATGCCATAATAATTAATAAGGATAAAGACTCGGTGTGGTGGCTCACACCTGTAATCCCAGTACTTTGGGAGGCTGAGACAAGTGGATCATCTGAGGTCAGGAGTTCGAGACCAGCCTGGCCAACATGGTGAAACCCCGTCTCTGGTAAAAATACCAAAAATTAGCCAGGCGTGGTGGCGTGTGCCTATAATCCCAACTACTCTGGAGGCTGAGGCAGGAGAATTGCTTGAACCCAGGAGGCAAAGGTTGCAGTGAGTCAAGACTACGCCACTGCCCTCTAGCCTAGGAGACATAGTGAGACTCTGTCTGAAAGAAAGGAAGGAAGGAAGGAAGGAAGGAAGGAAGCAAGGGAGGGAGGGAGGGAGGGAGGGAGGGAAAGAGAAAGAAATAGAATAAGGGAATGCTACAGAGGGCTCTGAAACAGATCTATACACAAAGACCAATATCATTTAAGTCAGAGGTGGCATGCAAAGCAACATGAAAAGAACAGGTAAACCATAAGTCCACACAGAAAATAATTACATTTGACCCTACCAACACTACACACTTAAAAATCAGTGGAAAAAGAAAACCAATGAAACTTCAAGAAGAAAATATAGGAAAAGGTCCTTTTACCTTGGGGTGGGAAAAAGATTCTTAAGTCACAGAAAGTACTAATCACAAAGGGAAATCAGTACATTAGACTGCATTAACACTAGGAAGTCTGAGACCTCATTGCCAGAGTTGAAAAGCTAGCCATTGCTTAGAAGGGCACATTGTAACAATTACTCATATCCAGATCTATAAAAAGCTACTACAAATCAATGAGAAATAGACAAGAGGCTAGCAAACCACACACTGGCCAAATGTGGCTAACCACCTGTTTTTGTAAATAAAATGTTGTTGAAACGCAACCACACTCCTTCTTTTCTATATTGTCTACAACTGTTTTTGTGCTTCCAAAACAGAGTTGAGTGGTTGAAACAGAGATCATCTGGCCTACAATGCCTAAAATATTTATTATTTGGTTTTTTACAGAAAAAAAAAAATAGAGATCCCTCCTGGACAAGGTAACCCGCAGCCACTCAGGAGGCTGAGGCGGAAGGGTCACTTGAGCTCAGGGGTTCAAGGTTACAGTGAGCTATGATTGCACTACTGCACTCCAGCCTGGGCAACAGAGCAAGAGCTTATCTCAAAAAAAAAATTTCACAAGCAAGCACTCAAAGAAAAAAAAATTACACACACACACACATCCAAGTGCCAAGAAGAAAATTTAAAGAAGATCAACATTATCAGTTATAATCAGGGAAGTGTTAATTAAGGCTGAAATGAGACACAATTACTCACTTATCCAAACAGCAAATTAAAAAGGCTAACAGTACCATGTGTTGTCAGATATAGGGGCATAAATAACTCTTATACACTGCTGCTGGAACTGTAAATTGGCACCAATTTGGAAAATGGTTTGGCGTTTTCTACATACCCTTATGACCCAACTATTTCACTCTCGTGTAATATGTCCCACAAAATTGCATTCATAAGTGAGAAAAGTGTTCATACCAGCTTTGTTTCTAAGACCCAGAAATTGGAAATGACTCAAGAGTCTAACAATAATAACAGTGAAATAGTATAAGCAATGAAAATGGATGAAATATAGCCACATGCAATAGCATGGATGATTCTCACTGGTTCGCTATTGAGCCAAGGAAGCTAGACATAAATACTACATACGATTTTATTCAAATTAATAAAATTCAAAAATTGGTAAATCTAATCTATGATAGTATAAATCAGGGAAGTGGTTATTTGGGGACTAGGGAGGCATAGGTTTTGCAAGATGGAAGAGGTGGGCCTTCAGAGGTGCTAGTAATGTTTTCTTAACCTTCGTGGGAAAGGGTAATTAAAAGGTATGTTCACTTTCTGATAATCCAACAAGCTTGTTCACTTATGATTTCTGCATTTTATCTGTATATGTCAAACTTCAATGGAAAGGTTTTTTTTAATGCATTGCAAACAAACATACCCAGGATATATAAATATATAAAATCTCTTATAAGTCACAAGAAAATGGCATGAAAAGTAAAATAAGAAATATACCAAAAGATATGAGTGGGCAGTTCAGAAGAGGATCCAGAAATGGCTAATAAACATATGAAAAAAAGTGGTTAATCTCACTAATAATTAAGGAAAAGCAAAATAAAATAGCAAAAAGGTACATTTTATACTCACCAGATTGATTTTAAAAATCAGTCTTATAACACAAAGTTCAACACAAGGTTGTAGGAAATCTAGACTACTCCTGGTGAGCCAGGCATGGTGGTTCATGCCTATAATCTCACCACTTTGGGAGGCCAAGGCAGGAGGATCACTTGAGGCCCGGAGTTTGAGACCAGTCTGGGCATCACAGCAAGATTCTGTCACCACAAAAAAATTTTTAAAATTACCTGGGCTTCCACATGAGCCCAGGAGTTAGGCTGCAGTGAGCCATGATCACACCCCTGCGCTCCAGCCTGGGCAACAGAGTGAGACTCTGTCATAAAATAAAATAAAATACTCCTGGCAAAAGTATAAATGGATACAAAATTCTGTAAAGCAATTTTTGCAACATCAACAAAGTTGAATACTTTGTTCATCTGCATGCCCTACAAATGAGCAATACTAGGGCTAGCAATCATGTATCTTAGAGAACTGCACGCACTAGCAAATATGCTTAAAGGACAGGTATAAGGACATTCACTTCCACATTTCTTGTGAAAGAGGGCAACTAAACAAACTAAATGAACATGAAATATGTAACAGAAAGGATCGACAAAACCAAAAGTTAGTTTTTGCAAAGAGTACTAGAACTGACAAGTCTCTGATGAAACTAATCAAGTAAGCATGTGTGTGTGTGTGCGCATGTGTGTGTAAGAAAGAGAGAATGAATAATGACTAAAGGTGAACCTTACTTTGAAGGTTTTAATGTCTGCAGACATTAAAAGAGAAGAGCTGATAAACAATTTTCCAGAATATACGAGACCTGTAATGAAACGAGAAACTTCCTAAGACACAAAATCTTACCAAACTCACACAACAGAAAGTAAGAAATTTGTGTAATCCTTTCACCATTAAAGAAATTGAATCAATAGATGAAAACCTTCCCATAAAGAAAACTCATGACCCAGAGGGGTGTGCTGGCAAGAGTTAACAAGCAGGAAAAACTAATTCCAATCTCAAATAACTATAGCCTGTGCTCCTCCACGCTAAGGGTTACTTTCTATGTCAACATATGCCAGGATCATCAAGAAAAGAGAAATTTCGAAGATGAAAACATGAAGTGCAGAAAGATGAGCTTGAAAAAGAAGGGCTAGGAAGAGTTAGACTATATATTTTTATTTGCTAGTATAGCATTATACAAGAATAATCACAGGGCACTAATCATGGTAGCCACGTGTCGAGGAAGGTGTGATGAGCCCAGAGCAAATACGGAACGGGAGCAGGAAAGAGGTTTTCCAGAGAGTGACCTCTTACGATTTGTGATTATTGAACCATGCGCACGTAGTATGTATTTAAACAAACATAATTAATGTTAGAAAATAAAGAACAGCCTGAAAAACAAGAATGACTGGAGGAAGGTGATGGATCCAAATAATAAAATATTACAAAGATACAATAACCAAAATATTTTTTAAAACAGTAATTAGGAAGGCAACATTATCAATGACTGCTAGCTAACTAATCTATCTTAGGAACACAAATTTCTTTACCAATTCTGCCTTTAAAAATACAACTTAACCTATAAAAAACAGTGGGTTTTAAAGAAAAGGAGGAACAATATCAATAAGAAATTTTTTTTTTTTACCTTATACCACTTTATTGGACCCAAAATACAACTCTTCGGGAAGTGCAGATGACATGTGAGACTATCATCTTTTCCAAGATGTAATATTTGCTTGTACTCATCTGATAAATTCGGTAAACCTTTTACGGAAGTGTCACACCATTGTTTTTCAAAAACAGTTAGGTTTACATGTATTCTATGACAGCTGTCTCTACCCCTGTAAGACAGATTGAGACCTCATAAACTCTTCTAAAAAATCACAAAATCAAATAATCCAGCTCATTTTCAAATGTTTTCAAATCATTTTCGCAGCACCACGCAAACCCTCTGCCTCTAACAAAGCAGTAAGCACCCCCTAAATCATTCATCACGAAAGGACAAATGGTATTCATACAGTGGAGAAACTGGACAACACCTTAACTGAGTGATCAAAATGGACATCACCAACGGGGGGCAAGTGGACGCCATGTGCCTCTGAGTAATTTTCTGAAGAGGACACAAAGCACTCACCTAGCATTCCAGCCAAAACGGCTGAACCTAATCATGAAGAAATACCTGACAAACACCAATGAAGGAGATAATACAAAATAATTGCCTATAGTCCTTAAAAATGACGGTATCATGAAAAACAAAGACTGAGGAACCGTTCCAGATTAAAATAAGTTACATATTCATGGCAACCAAATGTGATGCATGATCCTAGATTGGTAACTGTACTGGAAAAGAAAGAAAAAAATTATAAAAGGTCTTCAATGAGACCACTGATAAGATTAGAATATAGATTATAGATTAAGGTATTATATGATGGTTACGTTTCCTGAATTTGATAACTATACTGTCATTATGTAAGAAATAAACAGATACACATTGAAAGGAAATAGGAAATATACATTGTTGATAGGAAATATACATGGAAATATTAAGAGCTAAGAGGATATGATGCATACAACTGAAATGGTTTAAAAATGGCTTAGGAGAAAAATACTGTTTATAATTTATATCATATATATGGTGAAAGAGAAAATTATAAGATAAATGTAAAAATATATTCTTAAAAATGAGGAATCTAGATAATCTAGATAAAGGGTAGAAGGAAGTTCTTGATACTATTCCTGCAAAATTTATTTAAATTTAAAATTATTTCAAAGCAAAAAATAAAAATATAGTTTCCTAAATACGTATCCTATCTGGATGTTAGTAGTAAAAGTCTTGGAGAATTCACGTTCATTTTCTTTCATGGCAGATATCCTTGTCTAATTTATATTAAAGATTATTTTTCCTCATTTCACAGCTCCCAGATTTAAATAGTTTAAATCTAGCTTCGACATCCAGATTCATTTATGTGATGTATGATCTTCAAGTCTAGTTAATAATTCACAGCCTAGGCTAAAATAAGAAAGCAGACCTCCACATGCTCTCAGTGGTTTATTAGCGACTAAATCTGTGGAAAGGAGCCAGGCAGAGCTAACGACCACTTCCACTTGTGAACCACTCGATTTTGTGCATTTTGTCTGTCTGGTGGATAGAAATGAGGAATCTGGCAGAAATCAGAGTGGGACATGGGCCATGCTGGGACACAGAAAGGGGCCGGCAAATATCACGGAATCAAAACAAGAGAGAGAGAATGGAGTACCTACTTCACACCTGGTCTCAGTTAATTTGCACCTGAACCCTATCGGGCCAGCATTAATTCCATTTTACAGAAAAAAACCAAGGCTCAGAGAGATCAAGTAATTTGTTAAGGTCATGCAAGCCAGTGTGGGAGAGTCACAAAATTGTGACCCTCAAACTAAATTTGGTCTACAGATGTGTTTTATTCAGGCCCAACAAAGCTTTACAAATTATAAAAAGTCGCACACACAAATTCCAATTTCCAGATTCCCTTGAAAAGTGAGAGGATGGGCTTGATCCTAATAGACAGCTACCTTTGAGGGGCAGTCACCACCAGGCCTGTGTTACTCATTCACGTTTCTTAGCACGGGTTCTCCAGTGAGGTCTGGAACATGCTCGATGCTTACTCCCTGCCTTAAGCAAATTCCTTGTGAAAAGGGCTCATAGGAGGCTTATTCCTATCTGTATGTGCCATTTCCCACAAAAGCTTTTGGCATTTCAAGAAAGACGGCAGTGGCCAGGCTAGGTGGCTTAGGCCTGCAATCTCAGCACTTTGGGAGGCCAAGACGGGTGGATCAGGAGTTCAGTAGATCGAGATCATCCTAGCTAACACGGTGAAACCCCGTCTCTACTAAAAATACAAAAATTTAGCCAGCCGTGGTGGCACACACCATAGTCCCAGCTACTTGGGAGGCTGAGGCAAAAGAATCGCTTGAACCCAGGAGGCGGAGGTTGCAATGAGCTGAGATCGCGCCACTGCATTCCAGCCTCGTGACAGAGTGAGACTTCGTCTCAGAAACTAAAAAAAAAAAAAAGAAAAAGAAAACAAGAAAGAAAGATGGCAGCAATAATATTGGGACAGACACACTTTGTGAGTGGGTCTGGTCTGAGGTGCCATTTCCATGGGGAAAGATGCGTATCAGATTCCAAAACTGATTTACAAATCTGTTCTGTTTAAAAATGTGTTCACTGGAAACTGTCTTGTAACAATTATAAAAACATACAACAAAGTAATTCTTCTCAATGAGTTCTCTATGTTCATTAAGAATTTTCCTTAAAGAATTTATACATACACACACGAGTTAGTTCTATTTTAAATGAGGAACTTACTTTATAATACATTGGTAGACTCCTGAGTCCCCCCATTCCATAGGGAGAAACAAAATCCAAGTTTCGTCCTGGTGAATTCTAGACTGTATGATTTTGGACACTGGGATTTTGCTAGAATTTTTATACCATGTTACACTGACTTCCCCAGATGTTATGGGAGGGAATGTACAATTAAAAGCAAAAGGCTGGCTTGCTGAAAGCATCTCATTTTTCATAAAAATGTCGTTGCATCCATCTAGGGAAAGAAAAACAAAACAATTATCCGGGAAAGAAAACTTTAGTTCTATTTACTGTTAGTTTTTTAAAATGCCTCTTCAATTTTCCAGTCAATTTGAAATTTTATTTGGGAATTTTCTGAGTCTGAAAGTTTTCTAAAAATAGAATGCTGATTATAAAGTATATTCCAAGTTCTTCAAATGTATCCATAAGACAGAATTTACTCCGTTCCCTCCTCACTAACCTCTTCCCCATTGGGAGTGATTTCCCTCTTTCCTTTCTATTCTACGACCCTTAGTTCTTTTCATCCACAGAGTTCTTTACTCTGCACTCATTCATCTACAGAGTAAAGAAGCCCTTCTTGTCTTTTCTGTTTCTGCTCTGCCACCCAGTTACTCTGCCTTGAGTAAAAGGTATTTCATCCCAAAACGATTGTTAAAAAAACAAAACAAAACAAAACAAAACAAAACAAAAGTTGGTGCATTCTTAAAGTTCATTTCTACCAAATTTCTTAGAAGAAATTTGTTCTATTGATGGCGTCCTTGCTTTCATCTTGTCATGAAATAACCCTTTATCATATAAAATAGGCAGTAGTAACTCCATTTGAGCATTTTTACTGAAGTCTTCACTTGCAATTTGCCTAACTCCTTCCCCTCCCCGAAGTCACCTCCAAGCTCAAAGGTGACATTCAGGGCTGAGCATCCCAGCACGTGGAGCTGGCTGTTTCCTCTTCACGGTCTTGGCAGCGTGAAGCAGCCCGGCTGGCGCGATCCCCTGCGGCTCCCAGTGAGAGGCCAGCAGCCTGTGGACTAGGGCGGCCTCTGGGAACTGAGGACACACGGGACGGACGTACCTGCTGTGACAGACAGTGGAAGGGCGATGGACAACCCGCAGAGCAGCAAGGACCACATCCCCAAACCGGGCTGCAAGGAAGGGAGAAGAGGGTGGGAAGAGAGGGCGCTGTGGGGCGGGCCCGAGGCGCCGGCGTGGGCGACCTCGGAATCTCAAAGACAACCGCCCAGGCCGCTGACCTTCCCTTCTTCCTGGGGAGCCCTCTGACTTTGGCCCCACGTTTCCCCAAAGACTGCCTGTCCCCTGTCTCCTTCGTCTGCGCGCCCGACCTCTAGGATCCAAGGCAGGGACCTCGCCCCGCCGCGGAGGAGGATGGGCGAAGAGTGGGCGGCGGCGGCGCTGCGGCCCGCGTGGGAGCCGCTTCCGCCCCCTGACAGCGAAGCAGGCTCGCGTCCAGAGCTCCCGCGAGGGCCAGGGCGCCCCCCAGCGCAGCCCGCGCCCTGGGTCCCGGATGTGGGACCCCATCCCTGCCCGCGTCGCACGGAGCCTCCTCCCCTGCGCGCCCTTGTCCTCGGGATCCGCGGTCTAAACGGAAACCCCAAACACCGGCTTACTTGGGAGCAACCAGAGCAGGCCTACCTGGCAGGGGCCGGCGGGAAAGCAGAAAGGAAGGCAGGGAGCCGCTGGAGCTGAGAGTAGCCGCGAGCTCCACACCTCGACCCAGAGAGGGAGTCGTCTCCCCCATGGTCACCTAGGCGGTCGGAGGCCCGCCTGGGGGACCTGATCCCTGGCCTGCGGTGGCACACATTGTTGCCACGTCTTTTCCTGCACACCTCTCCTACTGTCAGGGCCCCACCCATGCCTGGCTCAGCCAGACTCCCGGCCCGGTGTCTACCTGCCTGCAGGATTGAAGCGTGCAGGACCTCGTGGAGAGTGGAAAATATGACAGGGACCTGAGCCCTGTCATGCCACTTCCATGCCTAGGTATTTCGCCGCCACCGTGGGCGGGGCAGACCTGCCTTCCCCAGTGGAGCGTAGAAAGGAATGTGACATCACTCTAGGAAGTGGCTTGAAAGTCTCTGAGCCTGATTTTCTGGCATCTAAGGCCTTCATCGCCAGGAGTGTCTGCTTAAGTCTATTCCAAGTTGAACGTCTAAATGAACTGTTCGTTCCTTTCCAAATCCCATTTGAGCAGTTACTGCATGCTCTGCATTGGTCTATGTGGAATGACCCCGAAGTGGAAGGCATCCCAAATGGCTTCTACGGAGAATTATGAATCTGCCTGAATCATGCTCATTAACTTCTGTAAGGCAGGCATCCCATGGTGCTCTTCAAGTACTTCAGAGCCTGAAGACTGTTCCTGTCTAAAACTTACCCATAAGGTGATGGCAACAGGGACCTGTTGCCCTAGCCATCTGGAGACACCCCAGAGTCGTCCCACAGGGCACTGAGATGTAGGAAAAGATTCAAAATGTAATCTCCATTCAATAGATGACTGGCCAAGCTCTTCCAGATGGTCTTTGAAAGATCAGAGACAGTGAGACAAAAGCAACCAAAGGAGCAAAGATGCAATAATTGTGCTAATAGCAAAACTTCCTGTGATGAGCTGAAGGTCAGTGGTTTGCAGATTTCTACGCTCTTAAAAAGTATTGATGATTCCAACGTGCTTTTGTCTATGTAGGTTATGCCTGTCAATATTACTATGTTAGAAATTAAAGTGAGAATTTTTAAATTTTTATTTTCTTATTTAAGTAACAACCCATTACGTGTTAACACAAATATCATACAATTTATGAAAAGTAACTACTTTCTAAAACAGGCTTATTGAGAAAAGTGACATTGTTCTACATAGATGCAGATCTCTTTGATGTCTGGCTTACTAGAAGATGACTGGATTCTCATATTTGCTTCTGCAATCAGTCTCATGATAGAATATGTCATATAGTTTCTGAAAAGGTCTACCATACACTAATGAGAGAATGAGAATAAAAAAGGAATAGGTCTTAATATCATGATGAACATAGTTTTGATTTCACAGATCTTTTTGAAGGATCTGTCAGGGACCCATACGGCTCCCACTCTTTGAGGACCTCTTTCTTAAGCTATAAATAGAGATTATTATTTATTTCCCCTACCATCAGCAGTAAACGAGGTTCCTCTATATATGTATATTCTTCAGGTTTATGTCCTCATCCAAAACAAAACAAAGGTGTTACTATTTTTATAAAAGTGATATGATTTGCATTCAGAACTATTGCTATAAGCAGTGTTGAAAGTTATTTCTAAATCTTTTTTTTTACGCTATCTTTTTTCATTTTCACTTTATGAATAGATGCATTTGTGTCCTATCTTCTTTCTTAGCCTGAGGACTATGTGCCAAGTCTAATGGGTATAGTTGCCCTAGAATGTATGAAGTTAAGACAGGTCATCCCAGTCCCCTGCAGTGCCTCTCACTGGACACTTCTGACATTGCACTTTGCTACTGATTCTGTGAATCTGAAACTTAACTTCCTGGGATGGTCTCTGTGCCAAATGGGTTTCCTGATACATGGAAAATGAACACTTGGCTTTGAAGGCAGAACTGATTCCAGGCATTGTAAACTTAGCAATTAAAAATAACAGGAAACCATAACATTTACTGCAGATTCTCAATTACCTTGAAAAAAAAAACCTTAAATGTATTCATCTCCTTCGAACATTTAAGTTTTACCACATGTATGTTTTGCTCTTATAAACATTGCTGCTCCTAAGATTCCTGGTAATGTCCTTCTCTGCGAGTATTTCAGGGGTCGTTTAGTGAACGGAATTGCAGAATCATTGGGTAGGTACATCCTCAATTGTATTAGAAAAGCCCCAATTTTTTGCCATAACTGTATCCTTTAGAGGAAAATAATTTCATTGCTTCATGTTCTTACCAATATTTGGTAATGTCAGACTTTTAAATTTTGCCAGTTGTGCTGCTCTGATGTAAAAGTTATCCTGTGATTTTATTTTATATATATTTAGATAGGGAGGTAAAGCCCATTTTTCAGAGATGGCAGTGGTAAAGCCTCCATAACAGGGTGTATAATATGTAATAGATGCTTATCACCATCCCCCTGCTTGTCTAATTCTCTCCCACTTGCAGATATTTTTGCAATGGGGAATATTCTTAATGTTTTCTAGCATTAGTCAGTGGCCATAGGAAATATATTTTCAGTTTTTTTTTTTATGAAGTAAATCAACTTCCTCTAGAGATTCATTACTTCATTCTGAGAGCAGACAAAAAGCAACAAATCTGTGTGTGAAGAAGGCATTACAGAATTCTGCTTGGTTGAATTTTACCTTCAATCTATTTGGCCCTCAGACTAGGATATGACGGCTACTCAGAAGGGTAGCAGGGCAACAATTTGGATTAAAGATTTCATATACAAATGTGTATTTTACATGATGCCTGATGTCTGATGTCTAAATGTCTGATGATTTCCCATTGGCCATAACCCACAGATAAGGTTTCCCAATGAGAATGAAACAGAAATATATTCACAAGCAACAATTAAACTTTGCAAAACTCAGTATTAGGTTGGGGTGGGGGTTTCGGGCTCCACCAAGATCTTTATACTTTTCAGGCCCTTAAGTTCTCATATTTCCGCTCCGTGAGGCTTGGGAATATATAGCAGCATTTCTGTAGTAGACTGCTATTGTTGGGATAAAATGAACTTCCAGAAATGGAAGAAGCAGCCAGGGAGACTAGAGAGAGGTCCTTAAAGCACTTGGTTTCCTGCAGTACTGGGCTTAATCTCTCCCTTGAGCTCCGTTCATTAGTTCGCTCAGTCCCTCATCAAATATTTATACAGTTCCCACTGTGTTCCAGGTGACATTCTAAGTGCTGGAAATGCAGCTGTACAGAAGACAGACCCTCCTAGAGTTTACAGTCATTCTAGTGTCAAATAAATAGAAACTTCTGAAGGATGATTTCAGGTTGGTGAGAACCCTGAAAGCAATTATGATGAAGTGATGGAGATGGTGTTGGGGAAGTCCTCCCTTCAGAAGGGTCTATGGTGCAGCAGAGGCCCGTGTCAAGGCAAGGAGTCCAGCACGTGGAGGTCTGGGAGAAGGGCTCTCCCCAAAGTAGGAAACAGCTAGTACAGAATCGCAAAGGAGGAAACAGTTTGTAAATTCCAAAATAACACAGATGAAGCCAATAGCCTCAGCTGCCTCAGCCTCCCACGTGGCTGGGATTACAGACATGCGCCATCATGCCCAGTTAATTTTTGTTTTTTGCTTTTTGTGTGTTTTTGGTAGACATGGGGTTTCACCATGTTGGCCAGGCTGGTCTCAAACTCCTGGCTTCAAGTGATCCTCCCGCCTCAAACTGTAATTGTTAAGTGAAACGTTCAACCATGTTAATAGTTAACTGGCAAAGTAGTGCTTATCGCAAAGGATAACCTTTTTTGTCTATCAAATTCGCAATTATTTAATAATGAGTATTCTCAGTGCCACACACTGCTTGTGTAAGAGGAGCAAATGTCTCTATGGAACATCAAGAACCTGAAAAGGAACTTCCCCTCTGAATATATGCTAAGCAAATGATTAGGGAAGTGAAGATATTAGAGAAAGGATAACTATTGCACTTTGACTACTGATAGCTAAAACTAGAAATAATCTGGATATCCAACGAAGGCAGCAATGCTATCAGATTATGGACCATCCATTTGGTAGACTTAGTGACTACTTATAGATTGTATTTCATATAATAGTAATGCAGGCAAATATTTATGCTAAGTTTTAAAAAGAGTATTAAACTCCATTTATATGGTCTCAGTTATGTCCATAGAAAAGTAATAAAATATCAATAATTATCTTTAGATTGTAAGGTTATGGGTGACATTTTTCTTCCTTATATGTTTTAGAAATTTCCACATTCTCTCAAACCGTTATTGCTTTCATAATAAAAAAAAATTTCTCCTATTTTATAAAATGTCTTAAATATAATTGACTCCCAAGGGGATTACTATACCACCTTCCTAACAACCTTCCTATGTAACCTTTTACCTCTTCCCAATCTTCTGCACAGTAGTGCTGTATCAATGTGTTTCTTTGTTCTTCCAACCTGTTGCCTCCAGTATCTCCCATATACCTACTCCCAGTGGTAAAGTTCAAATATTTCAGTCATGGATTTAAGACCCTCTATCATATGAGATTGTTTCCTGAACAACTTTCTCTTCACACTCTTCTTCTCTGGCTAGATTTCTGTTTTTTCTTACTTTGTAATTTTCTCCGTGTCTAGCATAATGTTATCCACATGATTAGCACCTTTTAAAAATCTAAAAGTAGGCTTCAGAACACAAATATTTCCCCTGTGTTTTTGCATTTGAGAGAGGACATGGGTCCAGTTTTAGGAAAGACAAGAACTCAGAAGCAATCAAGTATAGTGTGGAAGGCGGGACTACAGAATAGCATCTGATGATAAAAAGTGTTGAGACAGGTGGCGGCTGTCCACAGCCTTGAAAGCAAATGAGAAGCTGCAGTCTGTCCCTGGCTAAGCAGGGTAAGTGACACAACATGGCTGAGGAGGGAAAATGCAGTGTTAGCCGGGGAAGGATTAACTACATGAACCAAAGCAGGAGTGGGCCCCCACACAGGCTGTGAAACATGCAATACCCTTTCACTACAGAAGCCTAAGGAATCTCATTCTGAGGACGTGTAGATTGACAGGAAAACCAATGAACACTGTAGAATGGTATCATTGTAGCCCTTCCCTTCCGGAAGCAGAAACCAAATGACACTTGGGATCACTGCCAGGTCAAAGGTTTTAAGAAAAACAAGCTTCATTGACTTCACCCTGTAGGTAAATTAATCTCTCAACTGGTTGAGCACAGCTTTAGAGCAACAGCCTCCTATGAGTCTAGAGTCAGGTGATACAGGTTTAACTGGTCTAACAGCTGCAAATTTTGAGAGACTGCCATGCTAATGTTTGGGGCTCAGATTTAAGGCACAGGTAGGATTTACGTATTTTAATAGCCAAGGCTTCTTCAGAAGAAACCTGAGCGGTATGTGGTAAGATGAGCATGTTTTTGTTTTGAATGATTAATACTCATTTTAAATAGTATCACCTATTCCTGTAACTCTCCCTCTCCTTAAAACTTAAACACCCTGCCCCCCCACACACACTTTGGTTGTAAAATGAATGTTATCACATCAAAAATTATCCCTTTCCTCTGTCTTCCCACGCACATTTTTCCATGTGTACTCCATTTTATGAATTATTGCCACTGTGGTGATTCATTTATGTATTTTATTTTAGTAAAAGAGGAACAATTTTTCCCTTCTAGCCCAACCTGCTTTCTTCTCCAACTGCTATGCTCCCTATGCCCTGCACGCTAAGCCAACCTCACCGCACTCCCAGAGTCTCACGTCAAAGGCGAAAAGATTTTCTTTTGACAAATAAGCTGGAGGAAATCTCTGATTTCATAATTGCATGGTATTTATGCTTAGAAGTCCTTCAATTACTACTTGGGGAATGTACTATATGAAAAATGCTAAACCAGATCCTGACTTGCTAAAATGGGATTAGGTAGCAGCTGTGATCACTTAAAAGTTAACACCAACATTATATCGCCCCTCAACCCACACACACACCTAAAACCCTAGCATTTGAAAAATACATATTTTGGATGAATAAGTTTTTTTGTTTTATCTGTACTCATCAAGTGATAAAACTAAGAAAATATATTTTGAGATTCTATCCCACATACTGGACAGAGGCTTTCTACATATAAACATCTTGTAACATAGGAAGTCCTGTTTTACACATGAGAAAATGGAGGTTCCATACAACCAGGTGCTGTGTTCTGGTTTCAAAGCTGTGACAGTGCAGGAATTTAGTCCCGGGTCTTTTTCTACCAGATGGCATTCTTGTTGTAAAATAATTCCACAGACTCCCTAAAAACCTATTTTGCATTTACAGGGGAAAAGTTACCTGATGAAGAGAGGAAAAAGGATGACTTTTCAATGGTGGTTAGCACTGATTTTCCTAATGGTTTGCACATTAACTGGTATCATAACCAAAATGTGGTGCACAGCTCCCTGAACTCCTCCAGTGAGAAACATTCTTCAGGCTGGGGGCTGGTGGAGGGGCTGTGGGCTGGACAGGGCTCCTGGCCTCCGTGGTTATACAACTTCAATTTGACATTGTGTACTTTGTCCCTAGTGTCAATTGTCATTTCTAATTTTTAACTCCTCTCTATCCCTTCCATTTGCAGATTCTAATAGGACTTCAGATAAGCAATTCATAGAACTGCTACTAACAAAGCAACCATTTTCTGAGAACCAGCTTTACGCTAAGCACTAGACTTGTCATAATATATTTAATCTTTTTAATCCTAATTCTATGAGTTACATATTATACCTATATAATGAGTAAATTGAGGCTCAAGTACTTTGCCTAAAGTTTCACCCCAGGTAGATGGTGGAGGCAGTGTTCATTCATAGTGGACTCAGACTCTAAGCCAATCTGCCCCTTCTCCCCAGGTACTGACAGAGTCACCTGCCCTTTAGCATTGCTATGAGGTAAGGAGGCACTGACTGGGTGTCATCTCTGACCATCAGAGTTAACAAGCTTTAGAGCATGCATTTTGGAGAGCAAGTTCACCAATTTTACCCACCTTCTGGGTCAAAGGAAAAAATAAATAAAAGCCCTTTGTAAAATGTAAAAGTCTATACAAATATCCCCTTCATCATTTTTGGACAGGTAAATGGTAAGTTAATAGTAAATTCATAAGAAGCCAATAAACAAGTTAATGATAAGGCTCACATTTTAATCCATTTTAGAAGCAGGTGAGCAGAGGGAGTAGAGTTTAGCTAGAAGAAGGGAGTTAGGGCTCACTGTTAGGCCAATAGCCTCTGACCTCCACTCCCCTCCCCTCCTCCAGCCCCTCCCCACCCGCTCCGCGCAACAGGAAGAACTCTCTGCAGCGGGTCTCCTCACCTTGTTCAGGCCTGGGAATGTGCAGATGCGCAGGTAAGCTGTGGACCAGACAAAGAACAGATTCTCAAGGATAACACTCAGTACAAAGTTTGAAACTTTTATTGGAAAATAAGTACAGTCTATTGATCCGTGATGCATGCTGTACACGAATTTGGTGTTTTACTATACAAAAATTTGGCTTCTGCTGCAAAATTATATAAACAGGTTTAAAAAACTCCTTCATCATAAGCTAGTACAAACATAATTTATCAGAAATGTCAGTTAAAAAAATGGCTCAATACCTTTTCTTTTATCGCAAATAAGAAAGGCAAGAGAGGGAAAATATAAATTGTGCTAAACCAGTTTTAACAACCGGTAATTAAATATTTTGTTGCATTTGCAAACTCTTCTTCAACACTTAGGGCATCTTTTTAAAAATGCCATTAAAAACTGCAAGAAAATCTAATTAAAGCGGAAGGTATTAAACGTTTTTTGTTTTGTTTTAGTGGGGGGACAGTAAGTCAAAGGAGGTTCACGGGGAACTAGGAATGTGTCTTCTTCCTCCAGAATCCAACCCCTGGAAGATGGGGAATGACTCTGCACTTTTCTGTTTGGATCCTCCTCCACCCAGGCTTATCCACTGATTCTTGTCCTTCCTCAAATTCCAGCTGCCATGCTACTTGTAATTCTTGGTCCTCGTCACCCCCACTCTCTGGCCAATTCTGTCACTAACCTGAGTTTCCAAATTGGCTTGCTTTCTTGGCACTATGGGTGCTCACACATTTTCTAGATGACAGACTAAAATAATCTGCAAAATTAAATTTGTAAAACTTCTAACAGGCTTTTCGGGACGTGACCTCCCTGATCCATGGGCTTCTGGCTGCAGTCTGTGTGCCAAATGAAAGCTAGGCCCTGTCTGTTGGAACAGCAGTTCCAGAACAGCACTGTTCCTTAAAACAGGCAAAGTGGACCCAGGAGAAAGCAGGTGGAAAGGCAAGAGTCAGAGACTTCAACTCAATGTGTTTTTGTTTAGGAGGAATATTATTATTCCAAATAAAAGTTTGTGTTCACCCGTATTAAATACGAGAAATATAAAAACCAGAGGACCCGCCCATGTTCATACAACTCATAAAACTGTGCTTGTGTCCTGCAATTGGTGGCATATAAATCTGGCTTTCTGGTTTTGCAGGGTTTCTCCAATTATTCTGAGGCCTGTCATCCCATTTTTAAAAATGTTTTTTCTATACCAAAAAAAAAAACACAACGTGCTTTCATTTTTAATGAAAATGAAACATTTTAGGAAATGTTTGCCTCTAGGGAAAGAATATATGAAAGTAGAAGAGTTTTTCATAAAATCTAATTTTTGAAAATTCCAACATTCAGAAGTTCGGAATTTGGTGTCTTGAATAAAAGCATTGCTAGACTCGGTCGCTTCCTAGCAAAATGTCATTTCTTCTCACAGATGTGCCAGTGTGGAGTGGGGGGGGACCATGATTGACCTGAAATCAAGTACTCAGAACACCAGACTAAAGCCAGAAATGAGGCTCAAGTCCTGGGTTCAACAGAACTTAGAGTGTGATTTTTTAAAAAAATAGGTCACTTTCTCTATATATAAAATTAAAATAATTGCAAAAATTAAATAAGATAACTGGGGAATGTTTTTAAACATAAAGCACTATATAAATCTATGTTACATGTGCAAATTGCTCCTGGAAGGCAGTGAGGGACAGAGACAGCCACCCACAGCCTTTCCCTCAGACAGCAGCGATTCCAGCTGGAGGGAGACCAGCCTCCCTGACGTGCTCACTGCCGTCACTGCCGTGGGCCTGACCGGAGAGAGAGGGCTGGAGAGGGAGTCGCCTCTTAGGGAAAGAAAGTCTCCTGGAGACTGTGGAATTGGAGGATGTTCTGAATTTCGGTAAAATTCTGATCAGCTGGAGGAAGCAAGAGAAGGCCTTTTAGGCAAAGGAGGAGGAAGGGGGGCAGGCAAGAGCACAGACAGAGGAGTGCTGGGGGCAGGCGCCGTGGCCACCAGGCCAACCTGGGAATTCACACAGCGGGACAGCAAGGGGAGGCTGGAGGACAGGACAGGGAGGCGGGCTGGGAGTGACGTGCTGGTGGGAGAGCATGGGCTTCAGCTCCAACAGGTGGAGCCTGCGGGAGGTGTTTGAGCAGGAGCGGGATGACAGAAGAGCAGCATCACAGAAAGGACGGTTCATGTGTGGGCTATGCAAGGGACGTTGCGGAGGGACGAAGCCGTTAGGGAGCTGTCCCTCCGAAGATGTAAAATGCAGAATAATAACAAAGGACAGGATGGTCATGCCAGGGAGGAAAGCATTAAGAAGTGGATCAATTCCCTGCTACTGTTGCTTTTTAAGTTCTGTCTCTCCTGTGGAAAGCTAAGATGACTTCAAAACCTTGGAATACCGGAGAATGCCTTTGTTCAGTGAAGTGAGCTTTCAACATATGTAAAATAAAATTCGGTCTTTGGAAACTAACTTCTGCCTGGGGATGTGTATGGAAAATGCAAGCAGATGGAAAGTTCTCCAAGAATACATCTCCCTTCCTCAGTGAGGTGTCAGTCTCACTTCGCCTGCAGCACCTCTCAGGAGAGCCGCTCCAGGGCCAGTGACTCCACGGGATCCCCAGACAAGGCACAGCCCCGCCCTTGGGCTGTGGATGACTTAACAAAGCCATCTATGGATGGTGGCCATTTCCTGCATGCCCTTTCCTCTAGTTTGCTGTCTCCATGCCTTTTCTTGGCAGTTCAAACATTCAGAGAGGGCATTTATTGCCTCTTTTTTTTTTTTTTTTTTGAGATGGAGTCTCACTCTGTTGCCAGGCTAGAGAGCAGTGGCCCCAACTCAGGTCACTGCAACCTCCGTCTCCCGGGTTCAAGCAATTCTCCTGCCTCAGCCTCCCATGTAGCTGGGATTACAGGCGTGCACCACCATGCCCAGCTAATTTTTTATTTTTAGTAGAGATGAGGTTTTGCCATGTTGGCCGGGCTGGTCTCGAACTCCTGACCTTTGGTGATCCACCCACTTCAGCCTCCCAAAGTGCTGGGATTATAGGCGTGAGCCACTACACCCAGCCTATTGCCTTTCTAAAAGATCTTCCCAAGCCCTCTCCTGCGAAGCGCCCTGGGCTGCTATTGACATCATGGCTTATTCCCTTAACAATCTGATTCCAGGTGACCTCAGGGATAAAGGATGATACAGTTACATTCCATGAACTCTACAAGTCAGCATGAGGCACAGCCTGGCCTGCAACGCCATAAGATAGGAGGCACCCAAAGAACTCTTGGTAATTTCTCCATGCTACCCGAGAGGCACATGAGCCTCTCTTTGCAGTTTGTCCTTAGTGGCCGGTGACAGTAACTGGTGTTTAGATGAAGGTGACCGTCGCTGGACTGGCATGTGGTACCTGACATTCTTCCAGAACCTTGTCTTTGCAGACTGTGGCCCCTGTGTAAAGTCCCCTGACCAGCGGATAACCCCATGTTTCTGCTTAATGAATTTAATTGATTCTGGCATTTTCTCATAGTCTTGGATTTTCTCCAGCTCAAGCAGGACAACTTTAATTCCATCCTGAACAAGAGCATTATACATGGCTATTTGCTCTTCAGATGAACCACCCAGCCAGCTGAAGCCTGATATTTCTCTGACTAAAATGATAATCAGTCTTCTGCTTTTCTTTACGTTTTCATTAATGACCTCAACAATGTCTGAAAAACAGGAAGCACAATATAGTAAGTAAATTTCTATTTATCATCATTCTCTCCTGAACCAAAGTCACACACGGCTTTCTTCAACCCTATGGCTCCTAACGCCTCTTTCTTGCCTTATGTAAAATTAAAGGAGTTTCCCATTTTTAAAATTAATTAGTTAATTAATTAATTTTAAGAGACAGGCTCTTGTTCTGTTGCTCACACTGGAATGCGGTGGCATGATCTTGGATCACTGCAGCCTCAAACTCCTCAGCTCAAGCAACCCTCTTACCCTGGCCTCCCGGAGTGCTGAGATAACAGGCGTGAGCAACTGCAAACCTCCCATTTTATAGACGAATTCAAAAATTGGCCCTCAAAAGACAAATATGTCATTTAGAACTCAGAAAACTTTGTTGGAATTTTAAAAACTTACTATTCAATCATTTGATCTCTACCACTCCTGTTTTATTGTATCAGTTGTAAAGCAACTGTTGGGTTTAACTAGTCATTAAGTTTTTCAAAACGAAATGAAAATCACTTAATTATTGCTCTGACAAAATATGCGAGAAGTAAATACTTTGCATTTAATAAATGTAAAAATCATCATACACTTCTGAAGAGGTTCTTTAAATTGTGAAACATATACCCCTATGCCACAATCTTCTGGAAAGATGGAATCCACATTTTACTAAGTAGTTTTATAACAATAAGCCTTTACTTTGTTCCATGACACACATACCTTCCCCAACGTAGTCATCCCTTCCAAAAATGAACAGCTTATATCCACACTGTTTTTCCAAGACCTCAGGCAAGACTTTAAACACAAAAATATCACAGTCAGAGGTAGACCCTTCCCCAACGGTCTTTGGATACAGTATATATGCGTCATAGGTCTTTCCATCTGAAGCTAAAGGAAAAACATAATGTATTTAGAACCACAAGGCAAAAATAAGAGATTTGATAAAGTTAATATCACAAACATTCATTTCATAATGAACTATTCATCTTTTTTTGTACAATGGCATGACTGAAGCAGCAATACCAAAAATATAATCCCTTTAAAAAGTGTTCATCTCTTACAAGGTTTCTATTTCTTGTGTTTTACAGCAAATTTGCTCTTCTATTTGGAGGCTGCCTCGTATACTCTTAGTATAGAGCCATCCTTAAAGTCTCACTGTTCTCATCTTCTTCCCCAAAGGTCTCAGCCCTGAATTCTATCCATTCATTTTTTTTAGACATTGTGGTATTCCTTTTTTTTTTTTTTTTTGCAAAGTTTAAACAAAGAAGAGAGAGAGAACCTCCCCGATGCACGAAGATCTAGTCATTTAATTTCTTTCATCAAGGTAAGATCTATGTCTGTTCTACTCATCACAGAGCAAGGCCTCCCAATGGCTTGTGCATAACTGAATTTATAAACAGATGCTCTAAATACCTGTTTATTCTACCAATATGAATGTTGAGGCAGGAACTTAGAAAACAATGATATTCAGCCTAATGAGTTATAAAACTATAATTCTGTGTAAGAATAACTAATATTCTTGTATATGCCACTTTTCATTTTAGAACTTAAGTAAAAACCCTCTTAGTTATCTTCTACATCTCCTAACTATCCCCTATCTCTAACAAGAAATACTGCATGGAATACAAAATTATACCTTTTATTGGGAGAAAATCATAGCAGGAATCCCTGTACCAAAGCACAATGTCAACCTTGAAGATTTTATAGATGAAAACAGAACACATAATTATGACTGTCAATGTGACACATATACCAATCATGTGCTTCTGGAATTTAGTGACTATAGGAAAAAAAAAAGGAGGAGAAAAAATATTAGAACCAAAAAGAATTAAAACTTTGAGCACAGCAAATTAAATATCTTCATCTCAGAAAGACCATATTTGGGACTGGCCTGCATTCAGACAGTATTAACTCATTCATGATTATCACTTTGGAATGGATACTAACGTACAAAGCAATCTAGCATGGATTATATAAAACTAAGGTGCATTCTATGAAGTTTCTACCTAAATAGTATAATATACAATAACACGGAAAAAAAATACCAAAGACCACAGGATACAGCATTCCACAGTAAAACAGGGAAAAGTTAAAATCACTCAAAAGCCTACAAAAGTTCCCTGAGGTCAGAGAGTCCACTGGGTAAAGACTGGTGGAAAGGGAAAAAGGTAGAGGCTTAGGGAAGTTTCACATTTCCACATTCTCCTGGCCTCCTTCTCTACTTAGTTATTCAATAATTACAGAGGAAGTCAGGGAGCAGATGGAGTAGGTGATGGGGAGGGAGCTAGAGAAGAAGAAACAGGAAAGAAAAAGAAAGTACCTTCTAAATATCAGGAACCATGTAAGCATCCAGAAAAGGGAATCTAAAAGCTTTATTTACTTTTCCAATTTAGATGATTTGGATACAAAATAGAAATCAAGTTATACCATTTTCCAGACAAATAACCAGCTGGCCCAAATGATAGTTCACATTTACGATCTTAAGTACTGTCGCTTCATACAAGATCATGATGCCTGTAGTAATAATCCTCCAGATTTAGTTTTCCTATTTAAGACCACCAGGACTATACTTGGTCCTTTATAGTTCCCTGTGACTTTTACAGGTGTCCACAAAAACACACCCATACAAACACTGACTCTCACTTGCACAAATGCTGCTGAGATTTTGATTAAAATTTTTTGGAATCCATACATTCATGTGGGGGAGAACTGACATCTTCATAATATTGAGTCTTTCAATCTATGAACATTGTATATCCCTCCATTTAGTTCTTCTCTAATTTATCTCAATATTTTTTGGTTTGTATTACAGAGGTCTTGAACAGCTTCTGCTAGATTTATTCTTAAGTATTTGATGATTTTTGATGCTACTATAAATGTTATCTTTTAAATGTAATTTCTATTTGTATGCTGCTAGTATTTAAACATAGATAGAAGTTAATTTTTAGGGTCTTTCAGATATTCTTCCATGCACACAATTACAATATCCTATTTTTAATTAAACCACAAATTACCTTAAAATGTTTCACAAATACTTTCAATATTATGTTTTATTATACCAATTCATGAAACCCAGTGACTTTTGATGTCCTCATTGAAAGTGGATATTTATTTAATCTTACTCTATGTATCCATCAATGTAGTCACTTACTTCAAAATATTCATTAGGTACCTACAATGTTCCAGACCTCACTTGCCATTAGCTGTGGAAATAGAATGATTACTAAGATAAATGGTTGCCACCATCACAGAATTGACAGTTAAGTATAGAAAACTAAGTACCAGAGATCCTGTGACATATGGTGCTACAGAAGTAGATACAGAGGCCCTAACCTCCTCTCTTTGGGCTGAGAGCTGGGTTAAGGGCAGGCAGCAGGACAGAAAAGCTTCCAAGAAGACAGAGTAAAAGAGAAATAGAAGTTACCTAGGTAATGAGGAAGTGAAGAGTGTTCTAAGCAGAGGAAATGGCATTTCAAACTTCAAGGTCACGGAATCTTACTACGGTAAAACAAAATTGTGTTTCAATTAGCTTGTTGTTTACCTGGATATATTAACTGGACATATGCTGCATCCATACCATATGTATTCCTGGCTAAACAGGTAAATGGATGTTTATAAAATCTACTTTCAGTTTCTGATATATTAAGCACTGTGATGAGGGTACTCCTTCTTTTGTTTGCAGGATTTTCCACACTATTCACGAGAGAGAGTAAATAAACTTGTGTAAGTAAATTGCATCGATTACAAATACAACATGTATACCCTGTGTATTTCCTTATTGGTGACAAAATTGCAGCTGAAATAATCACCCTGCCCAATCATAGTCACAATATTCAGACTGCTGGCAACACTAATCTGAGATTTTACAACCCCAAGACCACTGTCAGTAACAGGCTCAGGAGCAGAGAAAGCAAAAAATTACCACTTCCAAGAAGAAAAATGTAGACAAATGCATTGTGGTCTCCATGGGGCACAGAGAATAATATACACTATACTAAACAGAGGAGATTGGGGCAGATGACAAAGTGCTTCGCAGGTGATGTGAAGGAGAAGTCACAGGACAGGACATCCTTGTCCCATAGATGAGCAGTAGGAAACCAGGAGAGGCTTTTGACAGCAGTGTGGATTGCCTGATTCTCGAGCTCATTAATGAGTCTCTTCTAAGCTACTTGAGAAATATGAAGGATAATGAAAGATAATTGCTTCGTTGAAATGTTGCAACATGTATAACTTAAGAGAAAGGCTTCTAAGTGGCCTGTAATTTGCACCACAATGGCATGTACTTTTTATCTTAAATGTACAAGATCTTGTAAATTCTACTTAGCAAAATAAAAAGGGCAGCGAAGGGTGAGGAGCAACTAACACTTGCTTTTAAACTAAACCAACAAGGTTATAGAAAATACCATGTGGGATTTAATATCAAACTGTGAATGACTCTGAGCATACATACCTGTAATAGTCTTCCCCTAGCACTGGGTCATCTTCATCAATGAAGGACCCATTCCACTTCCAGTAGGCAGTGTCACTCAACTGGCCAGTGACATTACAGATCAGTTGTATCTGGGATCCTGCAAAGAATGTATTTTTAATCGTAACATTAATTGATCTTTTCTGATCTATCTAGATTAAGAAATGGCTATTGAATTAAAATTTTAAATATAGAAATGCACAAAGAAAAAGGAAAATTACCCTAAACCCACCACCCAGAGAAAACCACCATTAGTAACCTTATGTATCTCATTCCTTATCTTCTCTGTGAACACGTGCAATTTTTGAAATGGGGTCTTATTGCCTACTATTTTGAAATTACTGTGGATTGGGAATTTAGGCCCACATGATTTGTCTTCCAAAATAGACTGTGTCATGGCTGCTTAGCACTCCATAATACATATACACTATGATTAACTATTTCCTATTGATGAACACAATTTCCTAATTTTTCATTATTAAGATTAATATTTTAATGAATATCCTTGTTTGTACACATCCTGAAGTATTAAAATCTGGAAGTAGGATTGAATTAAAGAAACATATTTTAAAAGCTAACCCCCTCTCTTTAGTGAGGCTGTATCAGTCTACATTCTCTGCAGTAGAGTATGTGAGCACGATTTTCCCCAAAACCACCAGATAACAAGTGTTTTTGGTTAGACATTGCCTTTTGAGAGAAGAAAATGTCACTTAAGTTTTCATCTACATTTCTTGAATTCACGGTAAGTCAACATGCTTTTTGTTAGCTTGGTGCTCATCGACCTTGCTTTTAAAAACTGTTATCCCTCTATCCATTATTTAATTGCATTTTTTTAAATGAGACAGAGTCTCGCTGTCACCCAGGCTGGAAGTGCAGCGGCGCAATCTTGGCTCAATGTAACCTCCTCCTGAGTTCAAGCAACTCTCATGCCTCAGCCTCTTGAGCAGCTGGAACTACAGGCATGCACCCCCACACCCAGCTAATTTTTGTATTTTTAGTAGAGACGGTGTTTCAACATCTTGGCCAGGCTGGTCTCAAACACCTGGCCTCAAGTGATCTGTCCACCTTGGCCTCCCAAAGTGCTGGGATTACAGGCCTAAGCCACTACACCCGGCTGGATGCATGCTTTAAATTTCAGTTTTCCTGAGATTAATATTCAGGGTTTTGGTTTTTTTTAGTTTTTTTCCTCTCTTATAAATTCCACATATTTTCAAAGTTTTTCTAAGATATTTTATGGACACTTCTGAGACATTTACTGGTGCAAATGGCATTTGTTTTCCTATTATGCTTTCTAGCTGGTTATTGTTAAAAAAGTCTTATATTTTAGAACATTAATTCTAAATGTTAATTCGTTATCTGACTAATTTATATAGAATTAATTCTAGTATTTCCCAGCGATTTTCTTGGGATTTGTATGATCTGGAAACAATAATAAAAATGTCTTTTTTCCCTTGTGGTAAGCATACCTTGTTTTTTTCCTTCAATTGCATTAGTAGGCACTTCTAGACTGTGTTCAGTAATAGTGGTTACATGGGCATCTTTGTCTTGCTCTTGGCTTTAGTGAGAAGGTCTATAGTATTTCACCATTAAGAATGTTAGTGACTATTGGCTTGCACTGATGTTATTTATTAAGTTAAGGAAGTATCTCTCAATTCTTATTTTTCTAAGTCATCTTAGGAGTAATGGTATGGGATCTTATTGCCTATTTAACACCCTTCAGGATAATCTTATGACAGGGTACTATATGCTTCTGATCCACTGTCAATACAATACATTAAAATAATCATTTCCTAATTTGAAGCTTTTTTTTTTTTTTTTTTAGATTGAGAGATCAATGCAGCCTAGGCATCAGAGCTCTCACTTACACACTTCTGGGGCAGGCACTTTCAACAGGGGCTGTGGCCAGCAGGGCAAAACCTGGTTCTTGGGGAAGAGGCAAGAAAACCTTAGATATTACATGGTTTGTGGTACTCCAAAGGGCCACAGTATATCAGCAGATATAAAAATAACTGTGGTATTGAAATTTGAAGACAGGAAAGAGAATTAGGTGGAGGAAGACTTTTTAGACTCTAAAGGGGAACAATCTAAAACAAAAAAGATGATTGAGAAACATTATTCTAGAGCCTATTGGCCCATATTTAATTTTGAGTTTTGACATTTTTGTTTCTATCTAAGAATGTCTTTCTACCACCTTCCACCATAAATAACAAGTACAGAACTGGCCAAGTACAGAATTCGTAGATCACAAACATGAACCTTCGAACCTCTGTATGGTTCTTGACTGCTGTCATGCGGTTACTGTTACAGAAGGCAATTCCAAGGCCAGCCTATTTTGGGTCCTCTGATACAAAGAATCACTTTTTCTCTCTGGATCAGTGGTTTCCAGTAGAACTTTCAGTGATGATGGAAATGTTCTATATTCGTGCTTATCTCTACAGTAGTCACTGGTCACATGTGGCTGTTAAGCCCTTGAGATATGGCTAACGTGACAGAGGAACTAATTTTTAATTTAACTAAATGAATCGACTGACTTAATTTAATTTTGCACATCCGTAACCCCATGTGGCTAGTAACTACTGCACTCAACAGTGCAGAACTAGACGCTTGTGGGGTTCTTTCTTTATTCTTGAATAAAAAATGTTCACTAACTTGGAAAAGTACTTTTCTAGAATGACTACCATCTTTGGGGCCTGTAGTCTTACTCTTCTGACTCAAAGCTTGGATCTGGTCATAAGAAATCCAGTCCTGAAATTGTAACACTGCTGATGTCTATCGTACAATAATTAATTCTTCAGAAGTTCTCTAAGATGTCAAATATAATTTTTGTTTAATTCAGAGATAAGTAACACCTGCTCTATTGATTCACTATTACAGCAAACCCTAATTTTGTCATTAAATATTTTAACTCTGTACCAGTCAACAGCATTGCTGGTTCCTAGGCCTTTTAACCTTGGTGTCTGGTTGGTGTTTTCATGGTAGTAAGTGTCCACAGAAAAGTAGGGCTGGAGATATCAGACATGGCAAGATGTTTGCCATAGAGGCAAGAAATAGAAAAAAATTAAGATATAATTTGTGTCACTTTCCCTCTAATTATAGATATATGCAGTAAATGGCTTGGATTATATATAGTAAAGATACAATTTATCGTACTGTCACGTTTAAAAAAAAACTGATTCCAACATATCCTGACTGGAGCCCACTTACCCAAGTCTACTTCTATTGTCTCATTAGCTGGGCTCACAATCACAGGCCTTGTGGGTTTGTTTTCCTCTGAAAGAAAAACATTCATAAGGTTTGTCAGTCTCTTATAGATCAGAATCTCAAGTGACGACAACACTTAGCAAAATACACTAAATTACTTCTGGCCAGATACTCCATCAAGTGTTCAAAGCACATATGCCAGGAGACAGGAGGCAGAAAGTGAAGGAAGAAAGCTGAGGCAGAGGTCACAGCACCCTGTGAACCCTGGGGCAGAGCTAGACCTTGTGAACCCATAGAGTGGGGTGCAACTGAAAAAAAACACATCACCAGGTCCCTGGGTCCCCAGACAAGTGCCTCTCATAAGTGAAAGCACATCAGGAAAGGCAAGAGTAGTGGGAAGTTAGTTCCTTGAATTGGGTGTTATTGGCCAGCAGGGCTAATCAGTACTAGACCTGCTTGCATTTAATGACTGTGGTAATGACCCAGTAGTGAGAACTACAGGGTTATGGAATAATGCTGTAATTTATTAAAATAGGCAAAAAGAAGTATCAAGGAGCCCCAGAAATTAATCTGACTTATTTATGAAAAGATTGGCTTCAGGGGTTGACCTGTGGCCATGAAGAAACTATGAGAAACTATAAAATTGAGTACTTGGTATTCCCCCAGTCAAAAAAAAAAAAAGTGAACACCATGAAGGTAGGATATTCTCTCTTTTGTTCCCTAACGTATACCTATAACAGTTCCTGAAACATAGTAAATGCTTAATAAATATTTTTGAATCCCTGAGTGAACAAAAAGCACTAAGCATCATTGGGGTGGGCCTTGGGAAGAAAACAAAATATTACCCCACCCGGAGTAGAGTATATTGTTTCTACAAATGGGATCAGAAAAGGGAACAGAGAGTATCTGAAACACACTCAACCTAGCTTAAATATTCCCCAGTGCCCAGTTCTTTCTCAGGTTCTACTTGCTGGTTTGGTTGCTATGTTTCAGGAAAGACAGACCACAGCTACCCAATGACAGGCTGCTAAAGACTCAAGAACATGGTTTGATACAAAGACCACTGAAAATTAGGATTCACTGATGCTTGTGAATGGCAAGGACCATGGCAAGGAATTAACTTTTGTTTAATAAAAATATTTTTAGGAAAATAAAGTAGTATATAACTAGAAAAGTGAAGCCATTTATAGGGTGATCATATTCTGAGATTGCTTGGGATAGTCCCAATTTATACCTGTTGTCCCAGCATAACTACTAATAGATACCCCTCTAACCTACAAAAAAGTTCTGGTTGGAATAACACTTCTTATATTACATAAAGCTTACAACATCTCATTATTTACAAAAAGTTTGAGCATTCTGACTATCCCCTGGTAATTTGCGCATTTTGTTTAATTTTGTTGTGATATAGTTTTCAATATGAAACATGGTTAATGCAGAATTGAAAGACACAAGAAAATGAACAAGAACAATCACCGTACACCTGTTAATTGCATAGCTGTTTTGCACCAAGCATTTCTTTGCACCAGGCACACGAGTTTAGTGGACCCCATATCTCTAATCTTCCCAATAATCTTGGGAGATTGCGTCATCTTGTTACAGAAGAGGAAACAGGCTTAGAGAGGTTAACACCTAACACAGAACAAACAGGAGGTAGATGCTGGAAATGTGACTTATTCCAAAGCTCGTTAGTGTCCACACCCATGCTTGCTGCTAGACACTGAGACTCACTGAGATTCCCCAAGTGCAAGCTCTCAGAACATTCCCATATTCCAGCCAGAGGGAGCCCCAGAGCTTTCAGTAAGAACCATTTTTAGCCATGCCAAAGAACAACCCTCTTAGATCAGTTGGAAAACACAGCTCATAATGTCTCTATTTAATTAAAACTACATCTGAAGCAGGAATGGAAAACATTACATAGTGTTTAGTAACAAAAAAAACAAAACTAAAGCCACGTGACTTTTGTGGTATCACTGAGGTCGCCTTGGATTCTGTTTCTTCATGGACAATGAAAGTAATATTACGATCATAGTCTCTGGGCCTTCCCAGATCTAAACCTTCTAAGGCTGGAGCTATGACTCACCTAGAGTAATAAATTCTATTACCCGGGTAATAGGATATTGCTTGCCCAAGTATGTGTAGGATGCATGACAAGTATAGTTCCCTCTATGCTTTTCAGCCACATTCATCACGATGAGCCTATTTTTGACTCCACTAAAGTGTATATTGTCAAGAAGTAGAGGTTTGCAATCCTAGATAAAGGGAGAGAGAAGCATTGAAAACCAATAACCAATAACTTTCCCCAATCTACCAGTCAAAGGAACTCCATTTTTTTCACCTTAGCAAACGTTATATTTTTAGAAAGAGACTGGAAAACTTCCTTACATAGAGTAAGTTTTAATATTGGTTTTTTGGAAACAGTTAACTATATTCCTATGACATTAAGTTTTCAAGTCTATGAGACTTCATAGTACAAGAAGTGAATGCCAATTTATTTTGCAGGAAAAACATGTTTGAAAAAAAGTTAACACTATATAGTTTCTTAACAATACTGCACTTCATTTCTTCATTGATATTATTTATTTAGTATGTCTTACGCTCTACGAGAAGATTCCCCATTTGAGTTCCACCAGACTAGGCAGATTAAAGATACCACAACATGGGGTGTTACATGGAAAGCTAGTCGACTCACTTTTAAGACAGTTATGGAAACTAGCAGGTTATTTGAAGACCATAGCTTTAATAAAACACACATAGTATATTTTATAATAAATAGTTATATCTTAAATACCTTAAGCTTATAATCAGCCTTCTCTTTAAATATCTATTTATAGTACTTTTCTCAATTACATCTTATTAAATTAAATAAAAACAATAGCAAGTAAGTTTCTAGTTAACCTTCAAATTAAGTGAATGCAGTCTTATTATTCTTTTTAGGTTCCCTATCAAGTGTCACCATTAAAGAGAAAACAATATGCAAAATAAAAAGGTACTTTGCAGATTCATTCTATTGTCCAGGGAACTATTTTATTTTCCAGAAAAGTGAAATGTCATATTTAAAATAAAATTACCTTATACCACTGTAATTTAGGTAACTCATTATTTTCGTCTTTAAAAAACTCCATATAAGGGCACACAAGTCCTCCATCTCCTGCAACGGGTAGTCTCTGCTTAAATATGGCTTCTGCATTATAACACAAGTTAGGCTCATTCTCCACAAATTTTGCAGTTATTTTAATTCTGAGGCAGTAAGATGAATTTCTAAAATAAAATAAAATAGGTAAGTTAAGCATTATTAAAAGTATTTATGTCCTTAACAACTGCAGGAAACTAGAACACGTTTGTAACATACTAATTCCTCTCTCACCTTACCACACAGTAGTAATGTCCTGAATCTTCTACCTTAGCAGGAACAAACCAAAGTTTCTTTTTGTGCTGATGAATCCTGGAGGCTTGTTCTGTAGATATAGGTGTCTTGCTGTCATTTTTATACCATGTTATAGTGCCTTTGTATTCATTTGGGTTAAGAGGACAGGGACGAACATCAATTTCATTTGCAGATGACACTAAAATTATTTTTTCTTCACGTTCATTGCATTTATCTTTAAAAGGAAGAAGGGGGGAAGCAATTTATATAAAAAATCTGCCAGTGTCTCTTGATTTAATATCTACGAAGAAATACATCGATTATTAAATATATCAATTCACATTACATATAAAAGCTTCACAGCCTTGTGATAAGGGCATTATCCTGGGAGTCTGAGAAGCATATTCAAGTCCAGCTGTGTCACTTACTGCCTGTGTGCGATGCCTTTGGCAAGTTATTTAACCTCCTTCACCCACTTTTCACTCATCTAAAAAGTGGGGATAATGTAGGAGAGTCATGCCTTTCAGTACAAGATGGAGTAACAGAAACTGGATTTACCTTCTCACATGAACAACTAAAAAATGGACAAAATATATGAAACAACGGTATTCAAGACATTGAACATCAGAAAACAAAGGACAGAAATCTCAGAAAGATGGGGAAGAAAGGAGGTGAGCTCTACTGTTGTCCAAAATTACAGCCAGGCCATGACATTGCCGAGAAGAAACACAGGCAAAGCCCAGTGAGTTGAAGAGATGGAGCTGAGAACCTGGGTAGAAAAGTTTGCAGGGCAGAGTCCCCAAGTACCTAGAGCTGCATGATGACAGGGAGAAAGAGTCTCATGATAACTGAGAGTCTCCCCCAAGTTCTCAGCTGAGTATCTATCAGTCAGCGTAAGCATATAAGAAAATTACCCAAGGCCAGAGGGAGTATTGTCAGAAGAACTGGAGGGAGTAACACGTGGAGCACAGGCAATGCTGGAAACAGTGGCTGTTCCCAACAGCCAGAGTGGAAAGCCTCATGAATGACAAGGCATCAGGCACAGTACCCAGAAGGCTTCTGACTCAGGCATTAGGGAAAATTAGGCCTAGAATAAACTTTTTCCTGATCCTAATAAAGCTTAAAAGCAAGACCTGAAAGGATTAAACCATTTCTAAGTAACAATCATGTGGCAGAACAAAGCTCAAGAACATTTTGGGGAATATGAAACTATCCAGCACCCAACATGGTAAAATCCACAATGTCGTTAGGCATGCAAAGAAGCCGTAACATACAACCAATGATAAGGAGGAAAAAAATCAATCAGTCAAAACTGACCCAGAAATGACAGAGACAATAGGCTTAATAAATTTAAAAATTAAAATAGTTTATTACTATTGTATTCCATTTATTCAAGATGCTACAGGAAAGATCAAACATGATTAGTGAAGACATGAAAGAGATTTTTAAAAACTTTTAGAGATGAAAACAATAATGTTGAGTTACAAAAAACAATGGATGGGATTAACGGCCGATTTGACATTGCAGGGAAAAAAAAGATGAGTGAACTTGAAGACACAGCATTAGAAATTATCCAAAGTTAAGCACAGAGAAGAAAATAACAGAATAAAATGGGCAGGGAATTATTTTACTTAGGACAACTTCAACACATGTAGTATGAATCGCTGAAGAAGAAAAATGTGGAAAACAGAAAACATATTTGAAGTTTTCCAAGATGTGACAAAACTGATGTATACATAGGCTCCCAAATCACAATGAACCCCAAGCAAAAGAAACATAAAGCAAACTACAAACTCATAATAATCAAATTGTTTAAAACCAGTGACAAAGATAAAATCTTCTATGTAGCCAGGGAGAAATGACACAATTATTGCAGAGGACAAAGACAAAAAATGATGCAGCCTTCTTTCCAAAAACAATACAAGCCAGAAGAGAGTAAAACAATATTGTTAAAGTGCTGAAAGAAAAAGTCTACCTAGAATTCCATGTCCAGTGAAAATATATTTAAAATTTAGGAAAAAATATTGACTTTTTCAGATTTGCCAAAGCTGTAAAATGTCATCACCAGTAGGCCTGCATTACAAGAAATATGTAAGTCCTTCAAAAAAGACAATATTCTAAGATGAAAATGAATCTACACAAAAGAATGAATAGCAACAAAAATGGGTAATTATAAGACCATCTTTCTTATTATTTAAATCTCTTTAAAGAAAACTGAGTGTTTAAACAAAAAATAACAAAATGCTATAAAGTTTATAGCAAATAAAGAAGTAACACGTATGGAAAGAATAGGGCAAAGTTCAAGAAAGGAGAAATGGGAACATACTGTCTTAACTTTGTATACTATATGTGAAACTGTATAGTGTCACTTGAAGGCAGACAGAGATAACTTAGATATGGCTATTTAAGCCCCAGAGCAGTCATTAAAAAACACATACACAACAAACAGTTATGACTAAAAAGCCAAAAAGCGAAATAAAAATGAATCCTAAAAATGCCAATTAATCTAAAAGGCAGCAAAAAGAGAGACAAAAATAACAGAATTGATGGGACTAGTAGAAAAACAAATAGCAAGATCCCAGAACTAAGCCCTAATATATGAATAATCACACTAAAATTTCAAATAGTCTAAACACTCTCATTGAAAGGCAGAAATGATCAGATGGGCTAAAGAAAGGCCCAACTATGTGGTGCCTAACATAAACACATACACCTACATACACAGATTTTATAAATAAAGGTAAAAATAGATTAAAAAGAAAAGAAAAATATTTGCCATGCTAACACTCATGAAAGTTTGATCAATTAGCTAGGGTTAACCATTTCACAATTGTATACATATACCAAAACATCACATTGTACATTGTAAATATATACAATTTTGTCAACTATACCTTAATAAAAATTAAAGCTTGAGTGACTATTATTATCAAAGTAGATTTTACAGTAAAAAAATTACAAGCAAAAAAGGGGCATTTCATAAAAATAAAGAAGTCGGCCGGGCGTGGTGGCTTACGCCTGTAATCCCAGCACTTTGGGAGGCTGAGGCAGGTGAATCATCTGAGGTCAGGAGTTTGAGATCAGCCTGGCCAATATGGTGAAACTCTGTCTCTACTAAAATACAAAAAAATTAGCCAGGTGTGGTGGTGGGCACCTGTAATCCTAGCTGCTTGGGAGGCTGAGGCACAAGAATCACTTGAACCCAGGAGGTAGAGGTTGCTGTGAGCTGAGATCGTGCCACTGCACTCCAGCCTGAGTGACACAGTGAGACTTGGTCTCAAAAATGAATAAATAAATAAATAAATTTTAAAAAAGTAAAGAAGTCATTAATCAACAGGAACACAATAATACCAAATGTTTAGGTAGCTGCTAACAGTGCTTCAAAATACATGAAGCCAAAACTGATAGAACTGCAAGAACTACAGAAACTAGTTCTGCAAGAAACTAGAGAAACCCCACTCACAAGGACTGATAGAACAAGCAGTAAAATTAAACAGACAATGAGTAACAACATAGAAGATTTGAACAACACTATCAACCAATTTTACATAATTGATATTTGCAGAAAATTCCAACCAACAACAGTAGAACATTACACTCTTTTATAAGTGCACACATAAAACTGAGCAAATTTTCCATATTCTTCCCCATAACCCAAGACTCAGTAAATTTAAAAGGATTCAAATTAGACAAAACTTATTCTCTGGTGACAATGGAATTAGATTAGAAATCAATAACAGAAAGATATCTAAGGAATCCCCATATATTTGAAAACTAACATACTCCTAAGTAACTCATGAGTCAAAGAAATCAAAAAGAATATAAAGTATTTTTATCTGAATGATAAGGAAAACATAACATATCAAAACTTGTGGCATTCAATGAAAGCAGTACTTAGAGGGAAATTGCTAGCATTAAATCCTATATATTTTTTAAAAATTTCAAATTGATGACTTGAGCTTCTACCTTAAGAAACTAGAAAAACAACAAAGTAATTCCAAAGTAAGCAGCAAGCAGAGATTTTATGCCTGAGTCTTCATTTATGGAGCTGACTGAGTGACAAAACAGAGACTAATGCCATTGAAAGATCTGTATTACTTAGTGGTTTGGACAGAAGGGGTATGCCATACCACGCGAAACCACAGAGAGAATCACCAGATTGGGTTAGGAGGCAGAAGCAGAAACAAAAAGAAAGCCTAGGCCAGAGTCTTTACTGGGGTTCCCATGGGAAAGGCAAGGCAGGACAGCATAAACAGCTTCAGACTGGGCTGTTTGAACCATTTTTGCAGACTTTGGGCATAGAGGCTGTCCCTAGTTCTCTGGTACCTGGCCCTGTGTTGATTGAGGCTGGGGTAATATTGGTTTGGGTGTGTGAGAGTTGGATAAGGAGGTGAGTGGGGTACAGTCTTGGGTCAGGCAGTCTCACATGAAGGGCAAGCTGTAAGCTGTCCACAACACACCTAGGAACTGCTTAGCCCTTGGTGGGGCAGTCTCTCCCTAGATATGAAACACCTTCCAGAATGTCAAAATATGGTAAGATACAGAAAATAAAAAAGATAATTAATATAGCAGAAGAAGTAAGAAGAAAATAGTAATATAGATCAGAGAGGAAATCAATGAAATAGAAAACAGAAGAACAATGAAGAAAAATCAAAGATACCAAAAGCCAGTTCTTTCATAAAAACAATAAAATTGATAAATCTTTATCCAGACTAATCAGGAAAAAAAAAGAGATGACATCTCTTTTTTTAAATAATTTGTAAAGGGTCATGAGGGAATATTATAAACAATGTTATGCCAATAAATGTAATAACATAAATGAAATGAGCAAATTTTCCAGACTACTAAAGCTCCCTCGAGAAGAAGTACATAGCCTGAATTGCCCTATATCTATTAATACTATCTTCTATTCAAAGAAATTGAATTTGCAGGATTTCCGATATGGCGGGGGGCGGGGGTGGTCTCATAAATCATTCCTCCAAAAAAGCAACAAAAAGACTGGCAAAAAATTTCAAAAATCAAAGGCTTGCAATAACCAGAAGAGCATTTATTAGAAAATAAGGAAACAAACAGAAACACGCCAAATCACAGATCAGCAAGGTTTGTAGCTTTATAACTTAAATGACTCCCATCCTACTCTTCCCAGCTCTACAACAGCCATGAATAGCAGGAGCTTTGCAGACACAAAGGCTTTGAAAACCAGCAGGCTTGCAAGAACAGAGAGGGTTTGGAGCACCTCAAAAAGTCCCATTTCCAGAGCATTGCCACTCTTTGACTTGACCAGTAGGTCCTCAAAGTCACATTCATAGGGTGGCGTTGTTATTGACCTCACCAAGAGCTCCACAGAAAAAGCACTAGCCCCAAGGTGTTTGCTGGAAAAACTCAGTGTTAATTGCTTTTTACAACTACCAAAAGCTGCAATACCAGAGCCATAACCTCCAGAGGGCCTTGAAAAGCTCTGACACATTCCTGGGGAACCTAGAAGGGTGCCCATGTATGCAGGGCTGTGTGCATGCCCAGGAAATTGCATAGAAGGCACCAGACTCATTTCTGGATGACTCTGAGGTCATACACAAGCAGGAAGTGAAGGCTAAGGCAGAGTTGTAAACAGCCTTAATGTTGAAGGCATGCTCCAACACACATGGAGCCCCTCAGCAAAGGGGAGAAAACTTACTGGACCAAGTAATTTAAGTCAATCTCTGGCTCAGTCCTTAAAGTTCTTACCTTTCCTAACTACACTCCATGATCCCATTCAGTCTCATGGTTCTCATACCAGCCGCTTGCTGAGGTCTCCAATTTTATATATTCAACCCAGACCTTTCCCTCAGGCTGTAGACTGCCTAGTCAAAGCCACCATTTAAACATCTAACGGACAGCTAAACTTAACACATCCAGTCTGAAAACCTGATCTTCCCTATCCCATCAATGGCTAAGGCCAAAATTTCCTAAGATAATTCTTGATTCTTCTGTTTCCCTCACACCTCACATATGACCCAACTCCAAATCCCTCTTGGTTCTGTTTCCAAAATATTTCAAAATTTGTCTGCTTCACACTTCTCCTTGCTATGCTTTGACAAGCCATCAACATTTCTTGCCTAGATAAAGCCATCATCATGGCTTCCCTCTTAACTGGCTTCTCTGTTTCTCTCTTTGGCTCCCTCGGTTCTATTCTCAAAACAGGAATCAAAACATAAGTCAGATCACCTCTCTGGTTTTGAACAAAGAACCCTGCAGTTTTCCCATCTCAGCCAGACTACAAGCCAAGACCCTAAGAAAGGGTGCAACATTCTATATAATCAACCCTCTGCCATCTTGCCATTACCCAGATAGCCTGGCCCCTTATGACTTCCCTCATCTCTCACTATGCTCCAGCCTCGCTGATATTTTTATTCTGAAAGCACGCCAAATACTCTTGGCCTCTGGGCCTTTGCACATGCTGCCTGGAATATTTCCACACCCCAATCTGATATCCAAATAGCTCTCTTTTCCCCTTCCTTAAGGTCAACTCAAAAGTCAACTTCTCAGGGAGGTTTTTTCCGGCCACATTCAAAAAATTAACCTTCTGCCCACTCTAATGACAAAACCTTATACTCCTTTTTCCTGCTTTTTTCCTCCCTATACTTGCCATCATATGACACTATATATATCTACTTATCTGTTATCTGTCTCTTCTACAAGAATATAAACCCTATGCAGGCAGGTATTTCTGTCTGCACTATTCCCTGCTGTATCCCCAGTAGCTAGCACCTGGCACACAGAGAACAGATTAGAGAAAATGAAGAAATGGAAAGAAGAAGAAAAAGAACTATATCTTGATGACTTCCAGCTGTGGGTTCATAAAGACTATACATAATATCTCCTCCAAAAGAAAGTCAGAATTTCCTGTATCACACTTTCAACCAGCAGTCAAGTAGAAAGAGGCCTGGACCTAGATGGGAGACCTAGATTTTAGCTTTTGTTCCAAAACTAGCCACATGACCTTGGGCTCTTAACCTCACTGGGCCTCAGTTTCCCACTCTCTATGTGAGAGAATGAGAGGAAGATGCTGAAAGGAACTTCCAGCGATACAGGTCTATGACCAGGAGGCTCTGTGCCCAGGGATTCAACAGAAATGAGTATGAGAAATGACTGTTAGGGAAGGCACTTCATGTATTCTAAATAACAGATTTTCTTAGCAGACAAGAACACAAAGAAATACTTAACTTACCAGCCTCCAGAAAAGAAATCAGTAGAGCAATGAAACAAATAAGTCGGAGTAACACTTTCATATTCTCCTGGAGAAATGGAGGAATGGAAGAAAGACAAAAGCAAAAATGTTACTTTTCCAGCAAATCTCTAAAACTAAATATACCGACACCATCCCTGTCCCCACCCTCACCGCCAAGACAAACTGATGAATTGGTTTTTCTACATCATGAATGTTATCATGTTTGACTTTTGGTTAAAAAATGGGATGGGGAATGAAAAGGGATAAAGAGTTTTCACAAAATTGAGAACAAACTCAACAACTTAAGATTTTAAACATTTCTACCTTCTGTCCCATTATACATTTCCAGTCTTACATCCCATTTAAATTTCCCCAAATCTAGTTTACATCCAAAGTCAGCTATGCACTCGCCCCTAAACCAGTTCGCCTCCATTTGTGTGAGGATTTGTTCCCCACTTATGTCCCCTGCCGTCAGGACCCATTTGCAAAAATCAACCCACACTTTTGGCCAGTTCAAAGGTCATGCCTTCATTTTATATTGCAAGATACTGAATTGCTTGTACAATAGGATACAGCTACATAGAAATTCACCCAAAAAACCTAAAAGAAATGATAACAACAATTAAAATTGGGTTGGGTGGGTTTCCCCTTGTCGGGGCTTTCTATACTTTCTAAAATATCTACAATGAACTTTGTATGAAAAAAAGAGGAAAGGACAAAAGAGAAAAAAACTCTTATCCCCTCTGCTCAACCTTAGGAGCAATGTCTAGAGTAGACCATGTAATTCTGTGCTTTGAAAACATCTGCCTCTTAATTTTTACGGGAGATTAAATTTGCCTATATTCTTATCTGTAGCTATAAGTAAATAAATATGAAAACACAAAATATTTTAACACAACACTCATTCAGATTCTAATGACATGCAGTCATTTAAATATTAGCTGGGAAATGTCCTATTTAAGAAGATGTATTGTGGCCGGGCGTGGTGGCTCACCTCTGTAATCCCAGTACTTTGGGAGCCCAAGGCAGGCAGATCACTTGAGGCCAGGACTTCAAGACAAGCCTGGCCAACATGGTGAAACTCCATCTCTACCAAAAGTACAAAAATTAGCTCGGTGTGGTGGTGCATGCCTGTAATTCCAGCCACTTGGGAGGCTGAGGTAGGAGAATTGCTTGAACCCAGGAGGCGGGGGTTGCAGTGAGCCAAGATCATGCCACTGCATTCCAGCCTGGGTGCCAGAGTGAGACTCCACCTCAAAAAAAAAAAAAAGAAGGTGTATAGGTATTTTTTTAAGTTACAACATGCTTTTTAAAACAAATACAGGGGGGAAAAAAAAAAAAGATTATCTAACCATGCGAGACATACCTATTCATATTCTCTTCACTTTACCCTTAGTATCAGGATGATGATCCCTAAGCCTGGTTCAAGCCTTGAAACCTACCTCAGAGCAGCAAAACTGCATTCCTTCAATATCTTTTAACTCTGACCCTTTATTTACATTGCTGGCTTCCCAAAATAGTCTAGAATACCAGTATTATTACCATATTTACCTTTAAACTATTTTCAGATGACTAAATAAGATAGAAGCCTTTGAAGCCCTGCAGCCTGGTCTATGAGCTCTTTCTGTGACTGCATGAAGTGTGTTTTAAGTCTTTGTGATAGAGAGGAAGGAAAGAAGGGTTAAAATGTTTCCCAATCACCAGTTCCAGGCCAACCAGCTATTTGCATTAGTTTATCAACAACAAAATAAGGGCATTGCAAAATCAGCTGAACACTGCCAGCTGTCGGTTCATTCAGGTACAAGATCTGGCTTGTCTGATCATTAGGCAAGGGAGAAGAAAAAGAAGGCGTGTGACTGAACTTTATGGAGTGTATCATGAGATAATAATTCCAAATTAATTGTGGACAATGTTTAATCACAGGTCCGAGGTGGGTGACCTGTACCACAAGGCAGGGTGATATTGGACGCAACTCTCCCTGGGCCACAGTGTGCTCATTTGCACAAGGGGTAATGAACCAGCTGAAGTTGGACCTCATCCTCCTCTAATAGACGATAAAAGGACAAAGGGCCATGACCCCTGGGTCCAAGTTTACTTCTGCCCCAGAGCTGCTCTGGGAAACAGTCAGGGGGGGTGGGAGTGGCCCTGTCCTCTCAGGAGCAGGCTTGTGGGATCCATGTTGATCCCCAGGACCTTGGGGCAAGGAGTCAGCACTGAGCTTGGGAATGGGCGTTAAGGGTCACATGACCAAAGGGAGCGAGGACATCAGAAAGGAAGGAGATGAGGGTTGTACCTAGATTAACCCACACACTCCCAACAAAAATCAACGCAAACCCCATTATGCCCCTGAATAACAGAAACTCCAAGGCAGGGCCAGGCTGACTGGCCTCCATAGTGCTCACAGTTGAATGGCCATACAAGTCAGAAGTGCCTCAACATAGATGGCACATTGAGTAAAAGCTCAGCCTCCATGCCCCAGTTCCCCCTTTTGACAAGCAATGCAGTGACAGCATGTCACTGATGGTGCTATGTGGGTGAAATCAATGGCCACATGCAAAGAGCTTAGAACCGTGCCTGGCAAATGGTCACTCCCAAATCTTAGCTATTGGAAATCAGCCCATGCTCTGATGACAAATAACAGTTTTGATAGAATGTTTTCAGTTAACCATTCATGTCTTTATTCACTTACTGCTGCATTCAACAATCATACATCAAATATCTATTTGACTCTGGGAACAAAAATAGGAACAAGAGTCCCACGGCCTGGCTCCAGGGGCTCAGCAGTCACAGGAAATATGGACACAGAGTTAGACAGTGATGTGGGGGTGTCTAACAGAAAAGCCATGCCCAGGGCAGAAGGGGAGACAGAAGCTAACTCAGCCTGGAGGAGGCAGAGGGGAGGGTCCAACAACATCATGTTCTGGAGCATAAACCAGAGGTGGGTTCTGAGGGGGAGGCTGAGAAGCCCCAGGTTCCCACAACATGCGGAGGTTTGATGAGGAACTGGGACTGTCATTTGCAGGTGGCAGAGAAGCATGTACAGGTTTTAAGCCATGGGTCAATGTATGTTAGATCTCCATTTTTTGCAGACATTTTGGCACCTGTGTGGAGACAGGGGAGCCAGGGACAGCAGGCCACCACAGAGGTTCATGGGAGAGAGGATGAGGGCTGGGCCAGCTGCAGTGACAGAGAGGCAGGCAGGGGCATATTTGAGAACGCTCGGGGCCAAAGGGGAGAATCAGGGATGGACTGGGCCAGACTCACTGAGGTCGGGGCAGGGAGGGCAAGGGCCAGGTTGGGGGGCAGGTTTAGGTACCCACAGACAGCTCGGAAAAGATGCTCAGAGGGTGTCACCCACAGCATCATAGACCCAGGTCTCCTGGGACAAGGTGAGCAGTACTGACTCAAGCAGAAAGCAAGAATTTGAACATGCAGTGACAGTGGAGTGAAAATGGACAGCAAGGCCTGGAAGGGGCTGAAATTGGGAGAGCTTGGACACAGCACTGGAACCCACCATTTTACTGTAGCACAGCCAAGGTGACCTGGGAAAGTGGACAGGCATTGACTCTTACTGGGGCTGAAGCCTCTTTCCAAAATTTAATAAAACCATCAAGCTGCCCCAAAGACTAATGTGTCAACAGAAATAAAATATTTTTGCATACAATGGGAGATAGTCCAGGGCCCCTGGATCTGAGTGTGGAGGAGTTCAGCTATGTGTGAGAAAACGCCGTCCGTGGGACCCTGGGGTAACACAGCCCTGTTACCTTGGAGAAGGCCTTGTCTTTTACCAAGGGGTCCAGCTTCTCAGGAGGGAGTCACCATCTTCAGAGGGTGCGTCTACCTGGGGAAGGAAAAACACATGAGTGAAGTGTGAATGAAGAGGTCCAAAGGCACCAATTGCTGTGAGGATCTCAAGAGGTGTGTATTAGTCCGTTTTCACACTGCTATAAAGAAACCTCAGACTGGGTAATTTATAAAGGAAAGAGGTTTAATTGACTCACAGTTCCACATGGCTGGGGAAGCCTCAGGAAACTTACAATCATGGTGGAAGTGGAAGCAGGCACATCTTACATGGCAGCAGGAGAGAGAGCAACGGGGGAAATGCCAAACACTTTAAAACCATCAGATCTCATGAGAATTCACTCACTATCATGAGAACAGCATAGGGGAAACAGCCCCCATGATCTAATCACCTCCCACCAGGTCCCTCCTGGACACGTGGGGATTATAATTTGAGATGAGATCTGGGTGGAGATACAGAGCTAAACCATATCAAGGTGTCAGAAAGGTCATGACATTTAAATGATCATGAAATGATCATGAAAATGAGTCCAATGTTTAACAAGTGTATGTTCCACAATCCTTGGGGACAAGATACTTTCAGGAAATCAAATCACAGGGAGAAAAGAATACCAAGAGCTTGACAACCACAAGCTATTTTGATTAAACACAGGGAAGAAAGCAGTGCAGAGCAGACCCTCCCGACTCCCACACCCATGAGGCCCATCCTACACATCTTGCACGTCTGTCATAAGAGCTCAATAAATACTTATAGAAGAAAGGAAGGAGGGAGAGAGGGAAGGAGGGAAGGAATCCACCTACCTACCTACCCACCCACCATTTTTGCATGAGACATACAGGGATGAAAACCCAGCCTAGAATCAAAGAAGAGAAAGGATGGAATAAGGGTACTAGATGTGGGTCAGAGAATAGGATTGCAAGGGGAACCGTCACTGGGGTCTGGAGATGGCCGGAATCATATAAGAGAGGGTAGAATCCTACATAAGGAGTTAGATAAAGAGTTCATACCCAGAGGGTTGTCGAAAGAGTTGAGGGGTGGGGATGACCCCAAGGAGAGGGAACTACAGGAATAGGACTACAGACTAAGAAATGTTACTGCCAGAAGGCATACTAGGTAAAGAAACCTCCCTTATTCAGAACTAGTTAATCAAAGTCCATTGTAATTTTTTTAAAATGACTTATAGTAACATTCAAAACGTATCTTTAGAAAATACCAGTAAAAATAAAAAGTCACAGATGTGTGTATGCCACTGTGTTATTTTTCAGATTGAATTTTCCACATAAAATAAAACAAGAAAGAGAAAAGGATTAACTTACTGAATACATTAATAAGCCACAGCATACGGTTCCCCCTGTTTAGCCTTCAAGCAAGGATGCCTGTGTTATGTGTGAAATCCCCGGACTGGCTAACATCCTCTCCATAGCAACTTCCAAGAACGACAGCAGGGAGTGCTCAGATGCTGATGTCCAGACCCAGGGAGTCAGCCAGATCCTAGGGTGACCCGAGGCCTAGGCTGGTCATCCCCACTTCTGGAGGCCTTGTCCATTCACTGCAGCACACCACGGCTTTATGTGACAATCACATCCAAAAGCTTGCGATTGTGAAGATCTTCCCAAATACGGCCCCCATGGCTGTTTGGTGATCGTGACGTATTTGGAAACACTGGCGTATCACAACATGACTACAGCAGCACGTGCAACACACACAAAAAGTTATTTGTTGATTAAAGATAAAATGAAAATGCATATTTGTGGCATAAAGTAATTTCCCACTAGTCCCAGAAGGAGAAACTGTAATGTGAAACAAATTACAAAAGTAGAAATTAAGTACAAGAATTAACAATGAACATATTGGCCCCCAACAGAAGCCCCCCTTCCAGGAAATACTGACTTCATCCAACAACGCCTTCCTGTCCCTCTGCAAGGAATTTCATACCCAGGGCACGCACGGGAAAAGTGGCAGCTGGGGAGAGAGGGGCTGTCACAGGAACCCAGGTTTCTTCCTCAAGGCCTAGGCCTAGTGCAGGGGAAGGAGGCATTTTTCCTGCTCTGTAGCCACAGTGCATTTATTAAACAGCTTCTTTTTCTTGAGGAATTTCCCACAATGTTGAGGAATTCCATTCTTATTCAGAGGAATTCCCCCACATTGTGAGCCCTGCCTTCTAGGATAGAAGCTCGGCACAGGCAAGATGGCACACAGCAGAAGCACCCCCGATCGTATCAGAATCTCCTGGAGGTCCACTTCTGGGAACAGCGGCAGCAGAGGTGCCCAGAGCTGGGGGAAGCTCATACTGGCACCTGGCATTCCATGTCTGTCCAAACACAGGCTGCGCTGTCCTCACCATGAGACCTGCACACAGCAGTCCCACCGCGCGGCTCCTGCTGTGTCGAGCTACGTTAATCTCCATTCCTCTGTCTCCAGCCTTTCCTATTGGGAGGGGCCCTGAGCATGTACACGCCAAAGTCTACCTGTGTCTATCCCGCTCTGCACAGCCCTGGCCAGTCTATGAACCAGGCAGTAGAGTCCATGGGAATGACCACACAGGCCCTGGAATTAGGGCCCAGGGTGTTTGGGGAGGGAATTCAGGGGTCCCAGGTACATGAGGGACATGATTAAGAACAGGGGTGCTGGTGGATTAGGATTAGGCCAAGTGGGCACATCCTCTTGACCTTCCACACTTCTTGCCATGCTGAGGGATGTGTCTGTCCAAGCTGCAAGAGCAGAGCCCTCCAAGGCACAGGGCCAAACCTCTACAGAGGCCCAAGAGGAGAGAAGAGACAGCAGTAGGTGACTCCTCCTTCTTCCAGGGACCTGACATAGCCAAGCCCCAAATCTGAGATTTACAAGAAAATCCTCACTGCACTTTCTACATTTCCACCTGATAGCAACACACTCTTCTACCTTCCCATGCAGTGATGAGTAAATGCATTTACAGCATCATTTAATACAGCCTCTCATCCCTAATATTAACCAATATGTGCATATGTGTAGATCTGATGTAATGGAGAAATACTCAGAAAATTAGGCTCCAACTTATTTGCCATAACTGAGAAGTGGCCATGGATGAGTCCTGAAAAAACAAGAGCTAAAGCAGGTTCTTTAGCTCATCAAATGTCAGAGCCCATGTGTTCTACTGAAAATCGGTGGAAACTTGTACGGGGAATGTGTTACAGTACTGAAACCAAGCCCATAATTATGATGTTCTCCTGTTACCCTTTATTTGTTTGCTTGTTTGTTGAGACAGGGTCTTGCTCTGTTGCCCAGGCTGGAGTGCAGTGGTGTGATGACAGCTCACTGCAGCCTTGACCTCCTGTGTTATTCCTTTGTTATAAGAATTCAGACAGTCCTTAAAAAGTCCCCATCATTGTTAAAAACAAAAATGTCAGTTTGAAAGAGAAGATAAAAGGAACTTACAAAGCCATAGAACCACACACTTATGGAAAAGACAGTATTTCCTGGAAGGGGGGCTTCTGTTGGGGGCCAATATGTTCATTGTTGATTTAGACATCCATACTTACCCAAGCCCTGGTTTAGAATCCACAAATTCCCAGGGAGAAGCTACAGACAGCCGGAGAGCCTGAAGTCTATCTCCCTAGGTTACTAATTTCACCCATAGATTTTCTCGGGGGAGTTATTTTTCTATTAGAGCAAACATGGCTATATTATGAAGCAGAAAGAAAAATCTCCACGATCTAAGATAAAACATGAGGCTTCAAAGAGGCATCACTTACAGTGAGCTGCTTTGGAGGGCTAGGTTGAACCTTTGCTTTTTATTTCCCAGAAGGAATCCCTGGGAGGTAAAATCCGAGAGGCACTGTCCTAAGTAAATGTTCATAATAATCTCTATGCAATTCTGATGAGAAATGGAAGCATCAGGGCCCCACACACTCACACCTCTAATTAGAGTAACCAATAGGGGTAAAGTAACCTACCCCTAGTGATCACAGAGCCCACCCAGGAACTTCCATACCCAAGCTAGAGCAGGAAAGTGTGGAAGTAACCACAGAGCGTGCTGGGGACCACTGTGTTATGTTCCAAACGTGACACAATGGTTTCCACACTGTGGAGATTAGTCACCCTCACGCTATCACATGCACACAACCCAAAAACCCAACTGTGTGTTCGATGTGGTCACCTCTGCTTTTCCCCCAGAGAAACAGCTCTACCAAACTATGAGCAAACACTCCCACGGCAGGGAAACAGAAGCTCACTCACCCTCTCAGAAAGCCCAGGAAACACCAAGCCTGGCAACATTCCTATCACTAGAGGAATTCTAAAGCCTCGCTCATAGTTATCAATGGCTTATTTACCCATATAAATGGGAGAAGGAAAGTTTTATTTTTCATTGAGGATGCACAAGGATATGAAGACAAAGTAAAAATTTCCCAAGAGGTTTCAGGTGTTGCTATGAAATCTCAATTATTCAGCTAATACAAGGCGAAAAGCCACAAGATTGGTGGTTTCAACTAAGACATGTGGATTTTAAGGGCAAAAGGGGCAATGAGACACAGTGAGACAGGATCACTGTCACCAGATGCCACAGATGGGGATGGACCTACCCCAAGCCTCTTGACCACTAGGTTCTAGGTTGAAGTCTGACTTTTCCACCTCACCCCTACAAACCTCCTAGGGCTCCTGGACAACAGAACCAGAATCCAGACACAGGGATGGGCCTCGTCTCCTCTCGCTTGTCCCCTTTCTAAATGCCCTGCCTTGGGTTTCCCAGCCTCCCCTGTACCTCCAACACACCTCCTCTCCAGCCACCAGGGGCTACGATGCCAAGGCCACTGTTGCACTGGACTTATCAAAAAGTTGACTCAGAACCAGAGACCTTTCTCCCTGGAGCACTGCCTCCCAGTCAGGCAAGAACAGCTGTTTCTCAGATTGGGATCCACAGACAGTTTTAGAGGACTAAGCCTTCGCTACGAGAAGTGTTACATTGTTTTCACTTCTATAATTTTTTTATTGGGGTAAATATTTTTCACCATATTGCACATGGTGAAACACACAAAACTTAAGTGAACAGTTCCATAAATTGC